AATGTTATTGATTTCAAGTGAGTTATTTAGTAAGAAAAAAATGGTCAGTTAAATTCGGAAAATTATGTTCATGAATTTTCTGCTTGTTTTGAGAGGGAGGCCAAGGGCTTCGTCGCTATCCGTAAAAAGGTTTTTCTCCATAATAAATTTAGACTACCGGTGAATGCGTAGCATGCGGCATCAAATAACCCTCCTGAAAAGCAGCGCGTCGCCATTGCTCGGCTGCGCATTTTGTGCACAAACAATGCCCGATGTCCTATTCAGTCTTTACAATGAAGATCAATGCATTCAACACGCGCCCAGGTGTTCGTGTTCAAAATTGTTCGCACGCATGCTCACGACATATACACTCGACCTGAGCTGTTGGTCTCTATTTTTGCCCTGGTACTGCGGAGGTTTTTGTCACTTCCTGAGACAAAAAACCTGGAGACCGAGCTTCTTTTTTTCAAATGTTTGTTTCCGATAATTAATTATAGTTAACAACCTTTGGCTGTAATACTGTGCCAACCTTTTCCTTGAATGTACCTTAATGGCCGCAAAAACTACAGATCGAAAAATTTCAGAGATTTATACACTTCGTGAGATCATTGACGAAGTATGCAACACCATTTAGCATATCTTGTTACAGCGAATCAAAACAAACATACAAGAAACTAGTTATAATCACTGAGAACAATTTTGCGAGAAAGAGCTTATGTTCAACTGTAAAGATGACTTTTCCCAGCCAAACGGAGGGTGACAAGACTTGGGAGCAGTGAGATTCCACAATTCAAAGTAGACATGCCCCGAAAAGTGAAGTTTACTCATGTTGATCTTTGACATTTACGTCTCATTTTTTTAAAACAAGAAATTGTATTGTTATGAAGTCATAAATGAAAACAAGCAAACTTATATCAACTTTTGAAATGTTACAGTTAAGAGTTCCAATATGAATTCTTGGATGTGCAAATGTGCAAAAAAATTAAAATAGTTCGTGAACGTTTTTCAATTGACAACTTGGTTGAAAAAAAGCAAGGTGTTTGCTTGAATAATACCAAAACAGCGTCACTGTTCGCTTTTTTGACAGTAGTGAAGCGATTTATCTCCACATCTATGTCTATGAGAACTGATGACTATCTTTTAAAGAGGCATTTGAGTGTCATGCATTTTTTGAAAGCGTTTCTGTAATTTCGGCTCATGGAGGCATACAAGTAAGGATTGATACAGCTGTTGGTCCACAGCATGTTGATCAAAACGTGGTGAGTGGTAGGCGGGGCATCTACATAAGGCTCGATCAAACTCAGGATACACCAAGGCAACCAGCAACACATGTAACCACAGAATATGAACAGCAGGTTCCTTGTGATTTTTACACTTTCCTTCGTCGGTCCCCTCCTGTGATTCTTACGACCTGCGTTCATGGGCACCGCCACCGGCCGGTTAATTGATTGCGGCCGGCCTACACGTAGTTCTGGTGGCTGTGCGAATAAGTTTTCCGGGGTTGGTATTTTTGTGGTTACATCGTTAGCCATATCCCGGTTGTCAGTGAGTCCAAGTTGGTCTTGCAAACTGTTACTTGGTCTAAACTTGTCTCCATCTTGGTGGTTGGTGTGTAACATCAAAGTATTCACCGCCAGTGTTTTGACAGTACGTCCAGCTGCAGTTCTAGAAAGAACTAACGCATCCATTTGGGGGCTGGCAGTGTCTATGTCAGTTTCTGCAATTGAGCGAGATGGTAGCCGCCAATCAGTGCTCTCCGGCAGGACTGTTCCGACACCCAGTCCTCCCCAATTTCCGATCCGCCGCCGGTGCGCACGAACATGCAGGAAAGTGAGGCCATAGAACATCGGTATAAAGCCTAGAGCCGCAATCATTGACAAGGCGGCGAGCAGTTGCTGGTTGCGTCCGGTAAAAATGCAAAAGTGGAGCTTCGCGCTATAGCCAACGGAGCCGAAATTGGAAAAGAGTGGGACAAGCGCCAAAATACAAGTACCACACACGGCATAGACCTGCTGGCCGATGACCGCGGGTTTAGAGGTAAACCTTCGATAAACTGCATCGGATTTGGTCACTCGCAGATACCGAACCTGTGCCAGGAACACTAGCTGCTGCAGCGAGAAACCAATGAAAAAGATGGCAAGGTAGGCCAGGACTTGGCACCACGGCTCGTGACGAGGCCACTGACCAGAGTAATACTCCGTAGCGATTCGGCAAGGGACGAGGACTGCCGTTACGACAAGATCCGCAGCTGCTAAAATTGTGATGTTGAGCTGTGTTGATGTTCGAAGAGAAGGGGTGGTAACTACGGCACCCAGCGCCATTGAGTTGCCAAATACGCCGGCCACAGACACCAGGCTTAACCACACAACTTCCACGTAAAAAAGAGCAGGGTTGTATGCTTGAAGACTCTCCATCCTCAAAGCTAAATGCAATGCATTCTGTCAATACGTATCTCAGTAGTGCAGTGTTTGATATTGTTTTAGCTTGTTTTAAATGTTTTAACTTGGCCTCCAGGGGAGCACCATACAGGCCCTTTCAAGAAAGAACGACGTTTCGTTACTGACCGTACCGAAGAATGGCCACATCCTTTTCAGTGTCACATAGAACTCAGGTTTGTCCGGTAAAACGGCAGATATCTAATAGAATATTCCAGTTCAGAACTGTGGGGCGTGGATTCGCTGGCGGCAGAAATAGTGGTGGTGCCTTCGTGTGGTTTGGCAAACTGGCGAAAAATTATCCCACTGATAGCTGAATCGCTTTGGCAGATACTAGAAAATGCTACGACGTCATTAGCGTAAAGGCGTCCCCCGTCACGCAAGATGTTCTTAGACCATCGACGAAAGGTACACTGGCGCACAGTATTCCCGGTGGATTTTTAAGAAACGTGCAGAACTACCTTTCAACACCAGAACGTTGTGATCATCCTTATGTCCAACCATACCTGTCTCCATCAGCTTGCTTGGTATGACGAATGAGGGTTTGACAGATGGGCTAAAATCGTTTGCTCAGATCCAGTCATCAAATTATATCAAACTCTCGCGAATTAACTTTGAATTAAATACCATAGCAACTCGGGGAAACCGGCAGACTCGTTAAGAGTCTAACAACATGAACGCCCTTCACACAGGCACGGTGTCATTTCATGGCACAGATCCTTTTAACTATAATATGCTGACCAGACGCGCACGATAAATATTTGCACTCATGATGTGCTGGGTATAGTTCAGGCCTGTCACTAAAACTGAAGGACTTTATTGCACTACAAAGTCTGATGGGCAACTGCATCACCCCCTTCACCGATGCACGTTCATTCTACACGCATGCGTCACAGCGCCCGTGGGAGCGCTGATCTCTCAAAGAAATTATTTTCTCCAATGAGGATTCAAGGAAATTATGTCATCCGCCCGAAGAAGAGAAAGCCCCCTTGTAAAAGAAAAATGAGCAAATGGAGGACAAACAGGAAAGCCGCGATAAGATCTGAAAATCTTGGTATTTTATGAACGTCCAAGTAGGGAAAGATATTCTGCTTGTAGTGGTAGGATTAGGGTTAGTATGCGAACTGATCTGGTAAAAGTGACGCAGGTACCATAAATATTGAAACGTGTGAACAGCCTTGAGCATTATCCGGTTTGAATTGACGCGTACGCCATCATAAACACTGAAATATGTCAATAGTCTTGGGCGTTATCAAATTCAGTGGGAGGAAAAGGTACAGCGTAGGCTGTTTACAGACGACCCACTTTCCACCAACGCGTCCTTGGTCTTTTGTGACCTTTAATTTCATCAATTTGAACTTGCTGTCCATTAAAGGACAAAACTGCTTGGCCACTTCTATAACATGACATACAAGGGAAACGGCTATACTTCAGAATGGGGGTCGAAGCGTGCTACGAGCGCGCGTTGAGAATTCCAATTACAACTTGGAACAGGGAGAAGTGCCAAAGGGTGTAATTAAATGGACTTCTCCTTCGATTCGGAGAACAGGAACAACTATTAGATACCAGTGAAACTATTATACTTTTTATCAAACCCATCGTTGCTTTCGTCTCCCTCTCATTTCCCAGCAATATAAACGATGAATACAGAAAATTAAGTTCTTTTTTCTCTTGTACTAAGAAATGGAACATTTTGTGTCCGACGATTAAAATAACAAATAACAATCGGATGCAAAGCTGGGGGGCAAAATAAATCTACAGCATGGCCACTGTCATGGTCACTGATAGGATTGCTTTCTCGCGGTCGGCCATCATGAAGATGATCAGTTGGTAATAGGAGTATTCGGTTAACTAAACACGTACGAATTCATCGGACGGAAGAAATGAGCTTGTTTGCGAGATGTGATGCTGGACAGACAGCCAATCGATGCTGGAAGCACTGACCTCGCTAACTCACACACATTAAGTGCCCATTTCAGTATCCATCTACCTGTTAACTTAATGCCTCTTCCAATGCCATATTTAAAACGTCTGTGGTTCAACCGTTACTGCATTAAAACCCTGTTACCGGTTCATGATTTAAGTTGGAATAACTGCAATAACGGGTGCATGCACACTGTGCACATACTCATTAAAAGCACAACTACAAAGAACAGCAGCCACTGGCCCGCAATAAATACACATAAAAAGACTTGACTTGCCACCGGCAAGCTGGTTCAGCCGCGCGAAGAATAACATGCCAAGAGAGAGCCCGTTGAACGTCGCGGTTACACTTAAAGAAGCACATGAAATATTTATTCATTTGAAATTCTGTTGCCGACTACATAATTATGAACATGTCCATAGGTTTCATCAACGGATGAGACTAAGTTTACGCAATGTTTCATCATTCACCATTCTTGTGTTTTTCTGTTTTTATCAGGAAACAAAAACCGTTGATACTGAATACAGATGGACGGGGGTCAGAGTCGTTTCGATAATGTTGTCTATCAATTAATCAGATTGTTATAATGTGTATTGAATATTATCTGAATGGGGTACAGACTTGTTGCGCTTTCAGAGAAATTTTTCGGTTGAATACCGTACCTTGATCTGATCAGCTTGCTTGTCTTTATTCCCCCCTCAAGGTGCGATGAGGCTGGTAGACAGAATATTTGGCGAAGGTTGATGGTGAAAGTCGTTGGTTTAAAGCTTCGACACATTCTCGTCCCTATGGAAACATAGATGAACAAAATGAAGATACCACTCGAAATGGGTCATTATAGGCACTTGTATATATAGAGCTTCCTCGCCTCTCATGAAACAGCCAGTAACATTTTCGACACGGGCTGTCCTTTTGTTCTGTCAAATGCTGTTTTCTTTCGCCTAGCAATTATGAGGTGAACAAAAGGAAAGAAGTGGATAAGGAGATGCAAAGCATTCCACTTGGTGAGGCAATGTCACAAGCGCCGTTTTGGGTATTGCTAAAAGGATAATTAGTAAAGTGTTGAAAAAAATCTTATACAAATATTAAAACAAACATTGAATACTTCAATACTTGCAATGTACCAACTGCATGATGGAAATGTCTCCCAATTCAACACTATTGATAATGCAAAATAAGTATTTGAGGTAAAAAACTGTTGCAATCAAGACTGAATTTCTGTACATTTTTTGCCGTCCATACAAAAGGGCAGATATATTTGTTAACAAAAGAGGTAAACTAGTCTGGTCAGAATACAAAAAGTTCAGCTTGCTTGGGAGAATATTTATTGGTCAGTATCCACCACAGTAACATGACCAAAATGGGGGGGCTCTTCCTGTTTTAAAGAATTCTGAAATTTAAGTCTGCACCATTGACCTTCGGTCACTGTCGCAAATGTTGGAAGGGGGTGTGGGGCAGGGCAGGAAGGGATGAGGCCACATCATGAGGCACACAGGTCATAGTGAGGGGACTGAAAGAGGAGGAAAAAGAGCAGCTCTTCTCCAGCAGTGTATCGAGGTCTGAAGTTGGCGAGGGGATTGCAAATTGTCAAATGTTTTTCCATCTCCCCCCCCCCCAAAAAAAAGGTGGCAGTACTGCTTCCAAAATGCTTGCACTTTCAATCTATAAAACGGGCAACATGCCTCTGAGGGGTCAACTTGCCCCTCTGCCACTACTCTTGTCTTCTGACATGATTTCTTTTCTCCACTGATAATGACGATTGATTGCTGGACCCGGGGAGCGCCCCTAAAACTGGGCAAGCACTCATAAGTTCCTATTTACAAATCAAGCTCAAATGCTCACAATGAAGGACCTCAATTTAAATCATAATGGTCATATTTCTAATACACAAGAGCTGACTCTGAGAAGACTGGGTTTGGACATAAATGGGACCAACAGGCCTTCTTGAAGCATGGCACACACAATAATAGGAGGGCGCTATTTGAATTTGGTACATTTTGGAGTTTACAAACACAACAAATTTTACCCGAACCAAAAAGAGCACCCTCCAAGATCCTATTGCGTCCGTCCCACCTCAAATTGCCCAGTGAAGACATAGATGTAGTGACTCCCGTGACGTGTGGTGCGGCAACAGCGACGGCACAACCCCAGTCCACTGACTGGGCACAAGACAGACTCATGCCCACAGGTACACACACAAGTGTGTATTTGCCTGCAACCGGGGACCCCCTATTGTTCCCCTTTTGTTTGTACTTAAACTTTTTTAGAAGACCACCCATATGTTTTGTACACAGTTGTCAATCGGGGACCCTCTGTCAATCGGGGACCTTATTATCCTCGTTGTTGTTCAGGGTCCCCAACTGAATGCAGAAACAAACTCACACACACACCCGACCTGAATGCACGACGAATCCAAGCCTGCTGAAACCCCGAGATAAATTAATCTCAAATGAGAACTCACTTCCACTGAAATTTACCATCCAAGCATGAAAAAGCCCTTCGCAATTTAATCTAAGCCTGCACGCATCTTGGCGTCCGGACGCAGTGGCGCCAGCGGCGCCTTACATATAAACCCCAAGCCTGCGTGCATTTCGCTACAAATTGTACAATGCTCCATTCTATCGTCTCGCTATCACTATCAAAAGTCACTACTTACTGGTACTTCGAGTCCACATTCTTCTCGAAGACTAACATAAAACCGGTCTATAATCATCAGCGGAAAAACTCAGTGGGTTTATTGTAATTGGATATTCTAATTATTTCTCACATGAGACGAAGAATCTCATGTTAAAATTACGATACCACCTCAAAAACTAGGCAGGCACACGCGCACATGCAGCAGTTAGCCTAGCAAGCATGTCTCTGGGGATTTACAATAGGACGTACAGTTTATGTCTATTGGGCAACTAACCCTAAAGGTAGAATCAGGCCACGTAACAACTGGAAGTAATACAACTGAAGTAGAAAAAGTATCAATCGTTTTTACAAAATTCAAAACCTAAATATTATTGCCCACTTCAAAGTGAGTTTCCCTCACGAGCTACGCGGTCAGAGTCGCCGCACGAGTTAAGTTCGTTTGTTTTTGTATGTAACCTCCAGGTGAGTGTTGCAGTCGGCGTTTGCCGAGACGGTGCAGATCAGCAGGTATTAACAAACTGCCGTAACATTAAAAATTACCTTAACGACTGCAATTAATTGGGCATCCCTCATTCATAAAGGTCCTTAATGCAGACCTTTAAATCACCCTTTTCTGTGATTTTCCATGTATCATGCATGCTTTTTACTGTGTATTTCCTAATTATTGCCACTTTGGGTTAATTTTGATGACGCTGACACTACTCGGACTGTACTTAAAATAGATGACCAGGAATCCCAACATATATCATTCTGTGTTTTTGTTTGTTTGTTTGTTTGTTTGTTTGTTTGTTTTTTGACCGAGGTGGCTACGTTAAACTGGCGTCAAAAACATACGAGGCTGTTACTATGTTTGGGCACTGGTGTGCACATGTATAAAACGTAGGACTACGCACAGCCGCCATATATGGGTGGCGTATCCAGAATTTGATACGCCACTGGGGAGGGGCAAAAGGGTAATTTTTTTCAACCCCATCCAAAAAAGGAGACAGTACGGTTTCTAAAGTAGTGGCGTTTCACTTCCTACCCCCTCCCGAAAACAAGTTTTGGCAAAGGGGAACTCTGCCCTCTATAGTATGTGTCTGTTTCCATGTTGCTAAGTTGCCTGTATTAATTTGGTACTAAAGACCACACTAGACCTGGTAAATTTCTACATTTTACTTTTTAAACAGGGTTCTAAAAAGGCTTAAAATTAATTTCTTAGATTAAAGAGATACAGCATGCTCTCCACTGCAACTTGGTTTCACCTACTAATTGGTGTGTGACATGGTAGAAGACAGGCAGGATTGAAGCAATTAGTTCAATCTTAAATAATTTCCAAATAGGCCAATCCATTTAAAACTTCTGACAAGTCCATGCCATGACAAGCCTTCTACTTTTACTGCTGGAATCACTAACCCAGGCCTAAATCAGGGGACGGGCACTACCTGAAGTGCAAATGAGTGCATTTTGCACGCTGCAGATGACTGGTGGACATGAACAGCCAGCCAGGGCACATTATGACTTTCGTAGGATCATGTGTTATGCTCAAACATATGTGCAAACAGTGAAATTTCCTGAACCAGCTTACCATTGCAATGATCAATATTTTCTATCAGTATCTTCCCCACAGATGTTGCCCACATAAGCTGGAGAGTTAAGATTCCAGCTTGGTCATATCCACGCCGTCTGGAAGTTTGTGGAACTCCATGCCTTACGCGTACCAGTACTTGGGGAGGGGGAGGGTAAATACGTCCCATGTTCTGGCTTTTGACTATTCATTTATCTGTCCACGCTTTTCAGTTATGACCCCATCTCAACGTCCCCCGAGGTTAATGCGCGTGTGACATCATGGCACTTGAAGGACAACGAAGTCACGCCGCAAGAGATACACACAAACACTTCATTTAAGAAACCACGAGCCATTTTTATTCACGAAATGATAATGAAAGCCTCGGAATTTGAAACATTTGACGCAAGATACGCGACACCTGTTACAGTCCTTGAGTGGTGTTCTTTGTGTTAAGGGAATCAAAGGAATTCTCTGGAGGTATCGAGCAGAAGTGCTCCGATATGATGAGCTGAGCAGCAGTGGTTGGGGTAGTGAATCTTATCTATCAAATCAAAGAAATCACCTTCTCGTGCACTTCCAAATAACGTCCTCTTTCTCGGAGTCCTTGTATAATTATTCCCAAGAATGCAGGTTTAAGATGACTTGTGATTAGGATTAATGCAGTATGTAAAAATCACAGAGATAGACACAGGTATTAGTATTGGACCACACTCCATCTTACTGATCCCAAGAAGATGCAATGCAGGAATCGTTTCCGTAAAAAGTGTTCTGCACTACGTTCGTATAGACCTTTTTCCTGCGATGTCATAATCGTGCTGGACCTGTATGTGTGAGTGCATAGTGTTGAGATGGTAATCTGGTTATTCAAGAAAAACAGTCAAGTATGCAGCGTTCGCATGAGCGCTTGCACGTGGTTGAAGATGCCCGTCGGATTTGATCACCATGGCCAAGGCGGTCCACATGTGGTTGTATTGTTTATATTTAGCGCAATCAAGTCCCGTGGGTGAAAAGGGTCTACACCTTTGTCACTTTACTTCAGGCTAAAGCTAGGAAACGGAGCATTTTATTATGAAACCAAAGCCTAACATGTTCGAATTTGACAGCAGCTACATTATAAAAGAATTAATACATGTAATTTTGTTTACAAATTCCCCATCAACTTTCATGTATCGAAAACTTGCATTAATGTCTCATCCACTGGTATATCTATTATTCAAACAGAAAGCACAACAAACCTACATCCACGGCTGACTTGTTTATCACGGGCACTTAGCTGAAACATTTTGTGAGTTACTTTTTCCGATCGGAGTCATACTTCAAACAAACTACTTCCTTAAACCGGAAATACAGGGATTTTGTAGAATATCGGCTGGGCGCGCGCCCACTTTACTTTCCTTCTGCGCATGTACATGTATTTTTAGTGCAAGTCCCGTCAGCAAAATCGTCCTCGATCCTTTTGTAGCTAGTTGCGGCGCATTCGCGAAATTTCTTAGCTTCTTCTGAAAAGACAATAACAAAAAAATAATAAAAACAAGCAAAGAGACAATTACGTTTGATATAAATTGATGTGAATCTTCTGAATGATAATTAAGAGAAAAATTATACCACTGTATACCACTTTCGAATATTTCTTGCTTTGAGCTGGCTTCAGTATATATACAACCTGCAAGTTGGACGAGCTTTGGTATGAATTCATTCCACAAGAGGCATTCTTTGGCCTTGATCCCATGCCCGTTCGGCATCGCCGGTGACAAGTCTTTGTAGGCCAGTTCCTCAAGGGTGAACGCCGGCCATTCTGTCACTGTCTCTTCATTAGTGTGCCCGACATTCAAGGAGGAAAGGTTAGGATTGCTGGAGATGGAATGTGTGGGGAGACTGATTAAATCCAACGGGCAAATGCAAAGTGGGTTGCATTTACTATGCTGTCAAATCGCACGGTCGAAAGAAATAGTTTGTAGTTAAAATACAAAGTATAAATCTAAAATAATTGCCTGAGGCAATTTTTCTAAACGTGTGGCCAGTAAATAAAGTGGAACCTATTTGCGTTTTAACATTTTAAAGTCATATTAAGAAGCATAAGTTGTAAACTTGGTATTTTGTTTTTGATCTTCTAATTTATGGTTGTTTGATAATGAGCAGCTCATACTATATCTTTATCTTTGATCATTATTTTTATAGATTACAATAATCAAATGTCGAGTGTTAAGCTGTGTTCTGAGGAGAAAAGACCTTTTTTTAGCACTTTCTGGAAACAGAAAGAGGAGCTGGGGAAGTAAATTGGGGCTCCATGACTGCTGGAGACCACAATTACCGGTAGTTAAGTTTTCGGGGGGCTTCGCTTAAGCTTATACACTCACCCACTCTTTGCCATGTTTGCCCAATATCTGATCATCATCAGGGACATATCTGCCTCTTCCTTTGTGTACCTGTACCTGTCCGACGCCATCAGGGGGAGGCCAAAGACAAACGGAACCTCGTCTGCATGGGCAGTCCTAGTCCACCTATTACCAAGGAAGTGTGACGATGGGGCATGGGTCATGTGATAACGGTATACCATTCGCCCGGCCTTAGCGAGAGCCCTTGCCGCGAAATCCTGCGGACACACGAATTGGGCGTCGCCCAAGGCTTGGACCGTACTCTCCAGAAAGTCACAGCGATGGGCGTCGCTACAGGAGGCGTTGCGGTACATCGCTTTGACGGCGTCAGCGACAATCGGCTCACCACTCATCAGCGATATCCAGGGTCGCGTGAGACTGTCGTAGATGTCGCTGTCCACGAACGGCGCCTCGTCTGTATGTTTTGGGAAGGCTTGCAAGACTACCGTGGCTCCGTCCCCTGCAGTCGAGCCCAAGATTGTCGCGGCGTCGTTCACGGCACCTTCTGCGTAGAGATCGCTTGGTTTACGAGGGAAGAAGTCCCCATCAACAACCGGTGCGAAGACGATAAAGGCTGCTTCGCTAAGTTCTTGGAGTAACTGCAATTCAAATGCAACACAACAGGTCAAAAACCTGAGTTTAGTGTTTTCGATATGTCAGTAATTTTGGTGAAATGCCAATGGCAGGAAATTGATGAAAAAAATAATACTCTTACAGAAAGGTACAGTTAAACTTTTTGTCGGAAAGTAATCACTGCAGCTAGAAATGCGCTTTTCTGAAAGCTATACTGCTAACAACTGAGGCTATGTTCAAATTATGACACACTTTACGTATGATTGACACAGAGGCCAACCTGTCGTGGTCATGGAGCCAAACTCAGTGTATTCGAAACGGAAATGACCCCAAATGAAAAGATATCAACTCTTGAGTTTGAAAGATGTTCTATGTAGCATCGTCAATGAAAAAAAAACACCGAAATTGCAAGTTACAACTGCCCGATTCAGAATGAATGAATACATGTATTGGATAACTGTAGGCAATGTAAGTCAACTAAACATTAACACAAGTATAGCAACGAGATAATGGCATCAATGCCACAAGTGAATGAATTTCCTGAGCGTGGATGGCGATATACTTTTTGGAACTGGTTTTCCACGAGAGTTTTGAAAGGCACCCTCTGCAGACAATCCAGTAACTCTCTGGATGTCTCTCGTTCGCAGTTGACCAGTTTCCCGAGGGCAAAAGCCCGCCTACGGGCCACGTCAGTCGGTAGGGTACCCCACACAGCAGAGATATCACCACTCTATCAAAACGAGCAAAACAAATCACCAAATGAGATTATGCAAATGTTCAGTAAAACACATAGAAGACAGATCACGGATACGACACTTTCTCGACTTCAAACACCTAGCTGACCTCCACAACTGTTGTCATGTTGGAACTCAACTCCCAGTCTAGCGTCCAAAGAAATGTATATCTTCCTATATCTTTTTTTTTTTAAATTCTTCATAGTATGTGCACTGAAACATATCCATACCGTAGGAATGGGTTACAGGTCTGTGATGGTCCCCAATGCATGACCAATGTTACAACAATCACAGAATTTACCTCCGACCTGTTTTGCTGCTGAGTTCTTGCTGAGGCAAACCGGCTGGTGTATTAAGTGGAAGAAAATAGTCTGGGTGGTGTAGTGTTTCATAATGTGTGGGGGTCCTACCTCCATGATCGCAGCGTGAAAGAGCCCGACACTCCCAGGCGAAACCACGTGGGCACTCACGCTCACTGCGCCGGCACTCTCCCCGAAGATGGTTACTCGTCCAGAATCACCGCCGAAAGCTGATTGAAATAAGAACGCAAAGACTTAGCACGAGCTGTTGTTGAATCTACATGAGGAAGAAAAATATTATCAGTCGGAAAAATCTGGTTGCTGTAACTTTTGTCTTGTAGACGCACTTTGAAGCGTCAGTTCATGTGCCAGTAGGGGAGAAGTTAAATAAAATCTCGTGTGAATGGTTCCAGTTCTGCTCAGTGTTACGTGGATGGAAAGTACCTTCGATGTTGTCTCTTATCCACTCCAGAGCGAGGCGCTGGTCAAATAGTCCCATGTTGCCCGGTACGACGTCATCACCTACAACAAAACAAACGTGAGCTCATCACTCACGCTGCACGACATCCAACGAACAAATCTATAGCTGTGCCAATGAATTATTCTTCATGAGTTTGTGTCACAAACGATCTATGTGGACCACACTTTAACTGTGGCCTAAAACATGCAGGGGGAGGTTCAGATTCTGGAAATCAGTAAGCCCACAAAATTGTTTAAATCAGTCAATGCAAATTACGAAGTACCAATGCCTACTCATCGTTTTGCGATTGAGGTGGTCATCATAATCGTGCATTCGTCATGCACAATGGTCCCATTCTGCATAGATTTTGTTAACTTTTCCAAATGAGCAGGATGATGCACTGATGAGCAGATTTGGTGGATGCACTCCTTCAAATCTCACCCGTGGACAGGAATCCAAGAGCCCCTAGTCGGTAGTTGAGAGCCACCACGATGACGTCACCGACAGCAGCTAGCTGAGTCCCGTAAAAGTCCGGCCTAGTTCCGGCCCCGACAATGAATCCCCCACCATGGATGTACACGAGCACAGCGGCCTTGGCCGGCTGTTTTGCGAAAGCAAATGAAATACTTATGGAATCTTAATAAATCAAACAAATTGAAAATTTGCCCTCTGCAGGCGCACTCTCTTTAGCGTGGTTGTTTGAGCCCGTATCATTTTGGAGAAAGACCATCATGAAGTTACTGTGCAATTTGCATGCATCGCAACACGCCGGTTATCCATCAAAACCTCTTTGCTCAACACAGTAACCGGCATGTTTATACCGTACACACGATGCAGCTAGTATAAACTTGTCATTGCTTACGTCATGTCATCACACGTCATCGACTGCATGCTGCACTGGTACTTGCTTGGCTTGCAGTCCCCTCCTGAGACAAGGAGGCAATAACCATGATGGAACACAAATATAAGGCCACATCACCTTTCAATTCAAATGCCACCCAAGGGGTTTAATAACGTACAAAGGGTAAACAATGGATAATTTGGACCACTGATGGGTAGTTCGAACAGATCTGTTTTGATATTCGTCGTAACAATTTACAGCAACACAATAGCGTAACTATAATATGGGCCACAGGGGCCCCTTCGGAAATTGCACACCAGTTGCACCGTGCAGCTCGCAATCGTTTGGAAGGATACGCTCCCCCCCCAACGCATTTTGTCTCCCATGATTGTATCTGTGGTCACTTTTGCGTAAAAGGTAGATTTTTCTCGTCTAATTACTAGGTGCAATAAAATCAAAAGCCTATCAATATTAATACTTTCAATTTTTATTAATTCCTCCAGTTTTGCTCATTGCAGTTAAACAATGAAGTCGCATTTTCAGCAAACTGTATGCAATGCAATTCAAATTTCCGAGATGATCAAGCAAAGAAATAAAATGTAAGTTGTTTTTGATAAGTACACGCACGTAAGTCGATATCAAAATGGAAACCTCACGTGCAGTCAAAAGGACAGGTTTAAATATTTTACGAAATATTCGCAAGTGTGGCAAGAACTCAGCATTAGGTATTGTGATCAATCAACTACACGTACAAAGACTTTTAATGCATCATCTTTCTAGTGGAATAACACTAAGTTCTCGTCAGGTCATGTAGAATGTATTTTATTGCAAATGCATTTTTCGTCACTTTTTTTCAATTATAGGAAGTCTCGAATTGGGCCTTACATGGTTATATCGTTTCACTTACTACTGGCTGAGGAAGGAACACATCGATAAACAAACAATCTTCATCTTGTTTTCCGGTAAGTATTCCGCTATTCCCCATGGGTGTCAGTGGTTGAGGACATCGATTGCCAACCTCTGCAGCCCACAGATCCCCACTCCATGACTTCGGCACGGGAGGCTTGAAGCGTAGCGGGCCGACAGGCGGCTCAGCATACGGTATACCGAGGAAGGCATTGACACTGCGGCGGAGCTCAGGCCGGGTAGGGGGGTTAAACTCCAGCCGAGTGCCCACAATGCGGCCCTGCTTGGTCGTAACGACCGGGGGCTCTGCACGAGAAACTCGGAAGAGTTGTAAAATCAGCCACAAAGCGTATATGAATTGAAGCTTCATCTTCACGAGTTGAACTGTCTGAGAAACCGGGTGGACTACTTGCACGTGCATATGACTTCTGTTGTATTGTCGCATGCGTACAATATGCAAAAGCATTTTATCCTCTCTTTTGTGGGGACAGTTTTTGAATAATTCATGTTTCAGGCACAAATATTCATCCTAAATAAATAATGGTGATCTAAGTCAAGCCGAGGAGACCTTATTAAATTCAGTTTATATTATGAATAGTTCTAACAATCATTTTTACATCACATAAATTCACCTTACGTACACTTAAATCATACAATAATTATATTCGGCAATAATTATTTTCTATCATAAAAAATTATTACTCGGCCATAAATAGCTTCGCAGTGTCGCTTGAGACTTTCTTGCATGTTGCCTAAAGTTATTCTTTAAAAGACGTAAACAGCCTATTCAAAATAGCGCTACCAGTAGGAACATATTACAAAATGTCTGAACCGAATTTACAAGGCGTAAAAGTGCACTGGCTGGGGCCAATTTCATAGAGCTGCTTAAGCACAAAATTTGCTTAACCGCGAAAAAACCTTGCTTGATAAATCAGGTAACCAGCCAAACCTCCATGTGATGTACACGTATATTGTTTTGGAATGGTATTTAGCTGTCTTTTGGTTAGCATGACAATCCGATAGAGTTTGAGCTGGTAACCTTTGTTTTTTTAAGCAAGTTTTTTTTCACAATTAAGCAAATTTTGTGCTTAAGCAGCTCTATGAAATTGGCCCTGCAGGGCTGCTAAATATAAAAACCTTCAATTTTTTTTTCGATTGAAGATGATCAGGCGCGCACAATGTCAATGTGTGTGTGGGACGCAGTCACTATGTTTAAGTGAGTGTAGATATCCGGACATCTGTGATCTCTATAAGGATTGTGTTCGAGGGCCTGACACGGCAGGGCGGGAGGATCAATACAGTGGATATAGAAAAGTCGATTCTGTACACCGACAACAGCCGTAAGATTGTTGGTCATATTAAACACACAAGACTAGGAAGTCTCACGGCAAGACGGATTGATCGCATGGCTTCTTCTACATATAATTGTACGCTATGACCATCATGTATCCGTGACTATTTTCAAATAGAAATCTGAAAAAATCTCAACTTTTAGCCAAAAAATGCTTCATAAGAATGACCAAATTCGTTTCATTTCATCATTTGCATTTCGGTTGAGTCAAGGGTAGACAAGGGTAGATACAAGGGGTAGAGGCCAACGGGGCCAACCCCCCCCCCCCGAGATACGGCCTTACCCCTAAGAATGCCATCATAGTTACATAACAATCTCCAAGAGTCTCGACCCCAATCAATTCTGACCCCCCGAATTTTTGGTTATGGATTCGCCCTTGGGTTGGATGGAAACAAAATGTCTCAAATGTTTTCGTTTAATTCCTGCCCACTTCCCTCATCGCGGAGTCCCATTTCCTTGCTCAATCTTCTGTGTGCAGAGACTTCCCGACACTTCTTGGCGTCCTCTGAAAATGGATAATGAATTCACCGTTCTCAAAGCTGCTGCCAAATCAAACATCAAAAACGTGGAATAAGAGGAACAAAGCGGGAAAGTGTGCATTGCCAAAAAATAGTAAGCTTGTAGAGGCTTTCCAGAGGAAATTCTTTTGCCACGATGCCTCTCTTTAACTCGTGAATTTGTCAAACCTTTTCCCTGGGTAATTGAAAGTCCAATATAATTTCAAAAACTAAACCCACAGTTTGTTTGATAGCAGAAAATCTGATTTCCAATGAGTGTAAATTTTAAAACGTTAAGGGCCAATTACAATTGACACAGGAGTGACCATGTACAATACCCACTGTTATATCTCATAGAGTGGGCTTTCTTTCAAAGTTCTACCAAAGAACTTCATCATTGATTTACCTGCAATTTGAACGAGCTTTGGTATGAATTCATTCCACATGAGGCATTCTTTGGCCTTGATCCCATGTCCATTCGGCATGGCCGGTGACAGGTCTTTGTAGGCGAGTTCTTCAAGGGTGAAAACCGGCCATTCTGACGCCGTGGATGTCTCTTCGCTGGCCAGTTCGGCGTCCAGGGATGACAGGTTGGGATTACTGGGAGTCGAGGCAATGAACAAAACGGAGGAAAATTCAACCTGTAAAGTTTTAGTATTGCAATCAAGACTGACAAAGGGAACAATTCTTGGCCGTATTAGGACTAAGATCAAATTCCATTTGACCTTGGAGAACTGAATCTTTTGTATTGGAGACATTAGACTGACGTCATTTAAAAATTGCTCTCCACACGAGTTTAAGTCTTTTGAGAGGTCTTCGCTTCTATTTTACTCATACAGATGTTAAAACATTCCTGCTTAATGATGACAAATAAATTTGAGAAGTAAGAAACCTTACCCTGTCTTGGCCACGTTGGCCCAGTAACTGATGGTCTGGGTTGACATACGGACCTCTTCCTCGGTAAACCTTTTATTCTCTGAAGGCACAAGTGGGACGCCAAAGACGAACAGCAAGTCTTCACCGTGCGTACACCCTGTCCAGTTGTTACCGAGGAAAGGAGTGGTGGCTGCATGGGTCATGTGATAACGGTACACCTTGCGTCCAGCCTTAGTGAATGCCCTGGCGGTCCTGTCCTGGGGACAGACGAACAAGACGTCCCCAAGGGCTTGGGAGAGGCTCTGCAGGTAGTCGCAGTCCGATGGGTTCCCGCAAGTGGCGTCGAGGTACATCAGCTCGACGGCGTCGGCAACGACGGGCTCGGAGCTCAGCATCGCCAGCCAGGGTTGCAAGAAAGCGTCGAACGCTGCGCCGTCCACGAAGGGCGCCCGGTTGGTGTTGTTGGGGTACGCCCCCTTGATCATGACCATTCCCTCGTCTGAGTTGGAGCCAATGATTGACACGGCGTCATTGACTGCACCCTTTGCATAGAGGTCAGTCGGTCTGCCGGGGAGGAAAATTCCGTCAACCACTGGACCGTAAAGAATCATGGGCGCTACACTCAACGCTTGAAGCATCTGCAAATAAAATTAAGCAACAACAGGAAAAAGTTCCCGTCAATAATAAGGTAAAGTACTACCCACGTTTTCCGTCAAAGAATCATCGTTTCAGGTTCCACCTTCTCAAATTGACTGTCGATGATGGCGCTGACGTCTAGCTCCTGTAGGCATGCCAGCAACTCGTCGGATGTTTCTCTCTCGCAGTCGACCAACTTCCCAAGTAAGAATGCCCGTTTACGAGCCTCATCAGCGGGCACTATGCTCCAAAGGGCCGATGCCTCGCCACTCTGCATGTAGGAGAAAAACAGAGACATGTTGGGAGAACAGAATCTAGAGGACGTTTGAACTGCCGATAAAAATGAATCATATAGTTTCTTCTGACTTAGAGCTCTTATTGTAATTTGCAGTCGAACACGAAAGGCGTATTCGTGGGATATTGGGGGACTTTCTGCTGTTCAACACTTACTGTTCTTTTAATTCAAGTATTTTGCACCGTTTGCTTGACTCTTGTAAGGACGATATGTACATGTTACCTATCCAAAGGCTGAAACTCACTTTCGAGGTTGTTTATTAGATAATTTCTGCACGTTATCCAGAGTGAGCTGTCACACGTACCTCTGGAGATCACGAAGGCTTTACATGTATTTCTATTCGCACTAATTTTTCTTCAACTTTTATCGAAACTACACCCTCAAAAAATGCAGGAGTTCGTGGCTGGCCGATTAATCTGTTAGGCCAATAAATTCATTTTTGGTTTGTAAATGCCGATGAAGCGCGTAGGATTAATTGCAGGTGTCAGTGGGAATTTCTTCCGGCCGTAACAGGTGAGCTGGATGAGGATGAAAGGTAAGACCTGCCAACTTTTTCAAGGGGTCGTTTATTGAAGATGAGCGGACCTCCATGATTGCAGCCCGTAAGAGGCCTGCACTTCCCGGCGACAACATGTGCGTTCCCACGCTGCATGCTCCGGCACTCTCCCCAAAGATGGCCACTCGAACTGGATCACCACCAAAAGCTGATGGACAGGCGAAAAAAAAACGAAATTTTCAGGTGTAATTCTCAAAGAGTCCATCTTGGCCATGTGCAGACATTTTTTATTGAAACTTGTCGTGCATTCGTCCACCCATCTTGCAAAGTCGCAATTGAAGAAAAAAACTAGGTGTAACACAGGCCATTAACAACTCCGTTCGTAGATCAACACCCTTCCTGTCGGGTGAAGACCTCTGCATCTTATTCTTACATGTAGCTGTACATATGAAACGGCCATACCTTCAATATTATCTCTGACCCATTCCATAGCAAGTTGTTGATCCAGCAGTCCCATATTGCCTGGTATTGCTTCATCACCTGCAAGCAATCAAAAATGCATACGTGTGCGCCAATTGGTCAGTTACAATGATTAAAGGGTCACATATACTCAAATTAGTAAAAAAAGTTCGACTATCGTACTATGTACAAATAGTTAGGCCTATGCGTCTTACACACGTTGCTGCTGAAGATACGGTGATGCAGTTCCTAAATATTTGGTGGACATCAATGGGTCAGACCAACAGCGACGGAATGGATTTAAAAGTGGGGGGGGGGAAGCCCCGGTCATTATACAGAAAAGAATACAATTATGAAGTTGCAGTGTACCTCCAACGGCTGGTAGGCCTATAAAGTGGGGGGGGGGCAAAGTAGCTACCCCCCGGCGGAATGAGGGAAACGCCCCCCCCCCTTGAGTCAGACTGGTACATGCTCGAGTAAAGTGCATGGCAACATATCATATCTCCTTACGCAAGATACAGCTACATGTGGTCATATACTCTCTCTTACATTCAGCCATTCATCTTAATTACCGGTGGAGAGAAATCCTAATGCTCCAAGTCGGTAGTTGAGGGCCACGACGATGACGTCACCCACAGCCGCAATGGGAGTCCCATAGAACCCATCGATGGAGCCAGCACCAACCAAGAATCCGCCTCCGTGGATGTATACAAGAACGGCTGCTTTTGGAGGCTGTATAGCGAAGACAAGTTTTGCCCTTAAACAGAAATACTGTATTTTCTTTCATCCTTTACACGAGACTATTACATTCCCTATCCCCTTTAAGGCGGTAAGATCAAGCTATTAGCTCTACCCGTAACACGCAATACGATAATTGTACTTACAACTGGCTGAGGGACAAACACATCGACAGACAGACAATCCTCGGCTATATTGCCCGTCAATGTGACATCGTTTCCCAGCGGCATTTTGGGCTGAGGGCATCGATTGCCAACCTCTGCAGCCCGCAGCTCCCCACTCCACGACTTCGGCACGGGTGGCTTGAAGCGTAGCGGGCCGACGGGCGGCTCGGCGTACGGTATACCGAGGAAGGCATTGACACTGCGGCGGAGCTCGGGTCTCGTAGGGGGGTTAAACTCCAGTCGAGTGCCCACGATGCGGCCCTGCTTGGTCGTAACAACCGGGGGATCATCGCATGATGTGCATCTAAGTGACACAGCCATGACCAGACATATTAACACGCACATCGATCTTGGCCGCATTGTCAACAGGTAGAGGATCTAACCTAAATGTATTGGAACGTGTGAATTATATTTCTGTCGATATTTTTGCCTTCAGCTATAAACGGTGAACGTACGTACTTCGCACTTGACTGGTTAATACACACGTACGTTTCTGATACCGGTCACCGATACAAAGGTCACATACTGTGCATTCTGCCCATCATCGTACAATGACTTGGCATCTCTTTTTGAATAGCCGCGCAGCATGAACGTTTCCCCCCCACTGATCGAACAAACAAGTACTATAAATATCTTGTTCTCAACCGAGTCATTTCAGGACATAAACCATACATGTACGTTTTCATTGTATATACGTGCATTGTACGTTTGTAATTGGAAACCAGGGAAACTGATTCCTATTCGCAGTTTCCTCCGGAGTGAATGCTCATCATGACGATCAATCACATATTATCCTTCCCGTGGGTCTGCAAGTGGCGCGTTGAGGGACAAGAACCCCAAACCCCAAACAACACACAAATTTAGACAATCATCAATCAAGACATCTTTTGAGACTATCAACCCATTGCTCTTGAAATACTGCGCACACACACACCGATACCTATAGGTTAGAAATTATCGAAAAGACAGATGAAGCACGGAGCTATCTTTTTTATAGCTCCATAGACGAAGTACTCTGGCGCACTGGCTCGAGCTTGGATTGATACAGGGAAACGTTTATTGGAAGTCTCTACACAATTATACAGGCGTTAACCTTTTTAATTATCCATGGAAGAAAGACTCCTTTTTAGTACAAGTAGTACAACCTTTCACATACAAGCTTTTGCATAAATCTCAGGTACAACGACTTTTTGGACGGAATAATAACTTTGTCAGTTTACCGAAATTTCCTTCAATAACAGCGAAGACAGAAATCGGTTTATACTACTTCAAGGCATCTGTATGCTGGACCGATTGTAGTGTCAAATATAAGATACTTCAAACTATATACATTCATATTTAATGGGTGGAATGAGAGCAAACAGTCGCAACTATTATAAACGTAACATGAGATAAAAAAATTATATTAAATATTAATATCAAACCAATCACACAGTATTCTTGACTCATTTGACCATGAGCTAATAATCCTACTCTTTAGAGCAACTGGATAGAATTCATATACAAAAATACTTTACAATAATTCTGGTCTCCAAGAATGGTGAAGAAAGGTACAAGCGTGTATTTAGTTTGGTCCGAGAATGTAGTAATGGCTTCCAGACTTCTCTTATCCTAATAATTCTTGCATAAGTACATTTGTGTGGAGATGTGTATTTTACCATGAACACAAAAAATGAACAAATTTTCTCCAACAAGTTTTTACAAATTAGAATTGTAAGTAATTTATCTATCAAGAAAATGAAAACCAGACTCCGAAGTATGTACAGATATCCACTCAACACTTGAATATTTTTTGTCACAAACAATGAAAAGAAAAACCCACTACCGCTCTAAAACTCTGCATTCCAGCTTAAGGCACTGCAAGTGTGGACTCATAACAATGTTACATTAAACCAAAACCTTTTAATTGAAATTATATGAGCAATATAGAATTATATACAAATTTCCAACGTGAGCTCATTTATTGCTTTCCACTTTGCATAAATCCAAACAAAGTTGATCCAAACCAGTTGATGTGGTAGTAGTAAGCTATGTTTACCAATATCTTAGAAATATTCACGAAGTATTTAACATTCGGTTTATGTGGTAGCACAGAGCTATATTTAGTAATATCTTTGAAATGCACACACTTTTTAAGATTCTTTAAAGATATTTTGAATACAAACTCTTCCAAAGTTTTCATAAGCATATCAAGAATACGCATTCATAAGTATATCTCAATGGCTTAATTGTCCAGTTGACAGAGCAGCGCCACCCCGCGACCGATCCAGTGCTGCGGCGGCAAATCTGAGGGCAGCATCATGCTGATGACAAAGTTGGTGGAGTGGCCAGTGGTGGACAGTGTGCCTCGCCGCTCACTTGTCTTGTAGAGGGGTGCTTCGTAAGATGGACGCTCGGGGATGTCTGATTTCTTGATGGGTTTCAGCCACACCTGTGGGAGAGGAGGAGAGGACGAGATTGTTTTGAGTGGTTCGAGAAAAAAATCATGCAGCTTTGCTGAATGGATAATGACAATATGTGATAAATACAACGTATTCGTATACATGTATACAACTGGACTTTACGAGGATGGCTTGGCCACTTTTCATTTTAAATGTTTCTTGATGTTTCATTTTCTTTTTATTGTAGGTAGTTTTCACTCTAATCTTGTAGTGCAGTCTTCGAGCTGCTGTAAGCAAGGCTTTAATGAAATGATTATGATGATCACTGAGCAGAAATGGGGGCATCAAAAATGCTCACGCTTTGTTCAGGACAGAGTGACTTAGGCTGAGGGCAAATTCTATGCAGCAACTACGCTCATAACCCTGATGAACAGCCAGGAAGCAATGGCCTGGTGTTCTGCTCTGTGAGTATCAAAATACTGGTTACATAATATTTTTTTCGCAGTTTACAACATATCTTAGATCGAAGACTGCTTGAGAATGAGTACATCTGATCTAGGACATACACTGCATAAGGAACACTAGACAAGGCACAAATGGCCTGACAAACAACTAGACAGCTTACCACTGGCATTGTATCCTGCAGCACCTTAGGGTGGGATTCTCCCAGTCTGCGAGTCTTACGATCCCAACGGGCTCCGTCCAAGAACAGACCGTTGACGTACACACCTATTTCAGAAAATGCAAAAGAGAGAAGTAGCTGCCTCATTTAGTCTGCGTATCGGTGCCATGTCAAAGAGTTCAAAACAAGTACAAGATAGCATAAATTAGGATTAATGGTCAAACTCTGCTTGTAAAGAACATTAATGATATTCTGCAACGATGAAGCAGCAGCCGGAGCATCATACCCAACGAGAATGTTGATTGGCCCAGGATGTGCCAGCACGATTAGCTTTGGAAAAATTCTTGTTTCTAAACCACAGTAGTTTTATCGAGTGACTGCAGGGTTTGTCCACTCTTAATGTAATCTTCCTAAAGAAAAGCATGTGCTCTATATTTTTGCCACACACAATTCCATTACTGCGAACTTATATAAAATGGCAAACTAAATGACAGTCCAATTTTGAAACATCTGTCAAGAAACACTGTCTCTAAGATGGTATAAAGATATCAGCGTGACCCCTCTTTCACTCTGAATTGCAATTTTGTCAAAGGGTGACATTCTTACACTATTTGGAGTGTGAGAGGGGAGACAAAATCTGCATTGACTTATGGAAACTGACAGTGCCTGTTCAAGATTCAAACTCAAAAAAAAAAAAAATCCCATGGCCTTTCTAAGCCTCCTTACCATCTTCCGGTGCCTTATCATACTTCTTGTCGTCCATGACCTCGTAGTCAAAGCCCAGCAGGTCGATGGGGATGGTGTACTTCCTGGCGTAGTTCTGCTGGGCACCAGTCAAGAAGGCTTGGGTGAAGAAAAACCCAGACAGCCAGAAGACTGGCGGGGGGCCGACGTCGTACCAATCCTGGTAAAAGGGACCAAAACATGAGACATGACTTTGGCAAGCCAATCAGGGGCTGAATGACTTTCTTTAGTATGATTTTGGGAGAATGTCATTCTGGAACATGTTCAAATGCTAGTTTTTGCACTGAGTGTTTTAGCTATCCACTGATGCTTGTGCGTGTGAAAAGCTTCACAAATTAACTTGGGCGAGACTTGGGCCCATGACCTCCTGCTTACTAGTGCAGATGTCTTACCACTAGACCAGCAAGCTTGCCGGGATCAGCGGGATGGTTTGAGTCAGAAGACCAGCACGCAGACATGTTTGAAGATGTCATGTTTGCACTGAGAATATATATTCCAACAGCACATTCCCAAAATGAAGCACTTCCAAGAACAGCAATACCTGAACAAGGTCTGCACTATCAGTGCGGCCATACGCCATCTCCCACACTTACTTTGTTCTTGAATGACCTTGCTTTCTTGAAATGCTAAACTGGCTCATTAAAGGTATTGGGGGAGTAACTTAATTCTCCCCTTGGAATAGTATGTGGTACCAGCAGTTTGAAGCAATGGAAAATAAAGTTGGCTCAACAAGGGTGATTCGCAATGCAATGCGCCACCAGGAGTCTGTCATGAACAGGCCTTTTTGTAGTGCATTATGGGATAAAAAGTCAAGAATGTCTCATTTGCCAACTGAGCTGTGTACAGGAAACTTCAAAATTTCTGAATGTTTATCTTGGTTGAAAATTCGAAATTGCTCATTGCGAATGGGTGTTAAGGTATAGTCAAAATAAGGGTTTTGAGTGGTGCAGGGAACGACTCAATCAATATCCCCAACTCACGATTCCAGCAACCGTAAACTTGAAAAGTGACCTGAATGCAGCAAACTCTTGGTGGCGCACTGTTTGTGAATCGACCATATTACACTTTGACCAATTAGGTTAGCCTTTGGCTGTCCATTTGAAACCAAACATTGTGGGAGGCTTGTGCCCTTCAGTCGATTTCAAGGAAATCTCCAAATCTGGAAAATGCCACATCTTTATGTAGTGAGAGAACTTTGTACCTGAAGGAACTTGAGCCTGGCAAGGAAGTCATTGATGTAGCCTCCCAGAGGCTTGAGGGAAGGGTAAGACTTCTTCATCCACATCCCCGGCACTTTGCCTTTTAGCATGCTGTTGACCACCTCCTCCAGTTCCGTCGACATCACCACCAGACCCTGTTTTGTAAGAAAAGCATGCAAAGCATGACAGCATTTACATCTGGAATGGGTCAGATTGAGAGGATGAAGAGACATCCATGAAATGTGCTGCAGATGGATTGTAACAGCGACAATGATCGACTGTGAATTTGGGGGAGCTTTTGATAGCTAGCAATTAGGCAAGGCAAATGGCTGTGATTACACGAACCTCGCACAAGTCTTGTTTGGTTTTGTTTTGTACAAGTGCCCAGAAGTAGCAACACCTGCGCAATAAAACCTTTCAAAAGTTACGATGGGGGGTCAAAATTGTTTTGTGCATTTTGGTGATTCTTACATCTTCTCCACAGAGTCAATGCTTATGTTTCTCCTTGTGTATTCATGCCTTTATCTCTTGCTTTGCTAATTGCTATCAATTTGATGCAGATGCCAAATGTTGCTTTTCGTGATTGTGACTAGAAGAACTGCACTAACTTGATGAAATTTTGTTTCACCGCAGCAAATACTTCTGATCTAGAATTGATGAGTTTTTTTCTGAGAGTTGTTAAATGGCCTGTCTGCAACATCCCTTTAACACAACAAAGTAATGCTGGCACTTGATTGCCTGAACTCATTGTCCTATTTTTGAAATGAGAGACCTATCTGTCTTTAACAGAAGTATGTATCGGTCAAATGTTGAATGTTCATTTTCTTAGAAGTAATGCAACTGAAGTGCTTGCATTTGTTATTTGTTTGTGAACCAGCTGAGTGCAGTCCCCACAAAAGGAGCCTCCTTTGCTAGGAAACTTGAGCCCTCTGTTGGTCTAGCTCGGGGCAGATTGGTAAACTACGCCTCCTGGGTAGCACCGTACAGGGACATGCAGTGAGCCTGGGCAAGCTTCTCTACCTTGATGGCCTTCTGGATGTTGATGAGACTGCTGCGCACGGTGGCCAGCAGGTTGTTGAAGCGAGTCATCTCCTGCACCAGCACGGTGTTCATGCTCTGCGTGTAGGTGGTCGGGTACTTGCGCAGGCCGGCGTCCGTGTCAAAGTTGCTCGGCAGCTTGCTCAGGATGTCGGTGGCCACGTCTGTCACCACCTCATCGTTGGACTTGGCCCCGCCTTTTGAGGAACGGGACTGCAAGGGGATTGGAGAGGTAGGGCCAAATGGAAAAATGTGAGCAGGAATTGAGTGCTAGATTTCAATAAAAGCTGTGGGTCAATAATACAGTATCAAAAGTGAGATTATGATACTTTTTCTCTATTCATACAAATTTATGGCAAAGTTACACAATTTAAGGGCAATCAGACGTATACAAAGGATAAATTCTCTCAATTCGTTCCCGAATATTGTATTTTGACTACATGCACATCAATAAACCAGAACACAATGGAATAAAGCATACTCCTCCACTTTCTGTGTTTTTTGTGTACTTTTCAACCGTGTAAAAACATAAAAGATGTGCAAAATTCTTAGCTCATAAACACTTTTCAGGTAAAATTTATAAATACATTTTTTTTAAATGGCAATTTGACCAAAGAAAAATTACAGGGTTTGAAACATTACAGGGTTTAAAAATACGTGTTCATCTAATTAGTAAGAGCTGTTTTAAATCAATAATTTTCGGGGGTAGTATACAATACCTGAGCCTGGAGCAGACAGCAATCATGGGATCATTCAGGGCATGCGATGAAAGCGGAGTTGAAGAAAATAAAAATCAATGTTGAGGAAAAGAATGGTAAAATGTTAGAGGGGGGGATGCACATGCCTGGGGATACGGATGACGGACACTACCTAAAAGATGGCAGACACTTCAATACATGATGGTGGCAACAAATGCTGTATGTGGGGGGGGGGGGTGGGGTGAACAACGGGGGGATCTGCAAGAGGTCCACTGCAGTTATTTGGTATAATGGATAACATGCACGTACAAATCACACTTGAGGAGTGTTCCTGCTACATGTAAATGCTGAATATTACAGTGTTTGATGTGGCTAACATATGCACTACACTTATGAGGCAATTTCTAGCTGTTGAGCTGTTAGATGTTCACAGCAATTCAAGGTAATAGTGACCTATCCTATCAACGGGCATGATATCTGATCCAGGAAAAAAGGAATTATGAAGAGCAAACAACAAAAATGATAAACATACAGCGTACCTGACTCTGCAAGAATGAAGTGAGTGGTGACATACACCATGCATAGCATCAAGGCACACGGGAGTAGCCGGAATGTCCGTGGATGGTCACAGCAAACAGTATGAAGGGAAGTGAGTTGGAAGTGGATGCATGGATGCGCAGGATAAAAGGCCAAGTTAGATTAAATGATAGGATTTGAGAAGCTCTTTTTCGGTTCGGGGCAGCATTCATTTTTTAAAACCAATTCCAAATATTTTCAACCTCACAGAGATCCTAGAAATGCTAATCAGTTTATCACTTTTTTCTTTTGGTTTTCATCTTTTTGTTATCAGATTGAAGGAAAGAGGATTAGACATGCAAATAACAAGACAGAAAAATATTTATCAAACAGATATTTCGACTTGCAACAGTCCCTTAATATTTTTTGAGGAGGATAAACAGAACATTAAGATCTTAGCACAGCAAGTTTAATTGTTGAAAATTTAGTGACACACACACAGCATGCAACTACGGCAACCATTTGATTTTTTTTTTTAATAACGAAGGGTTCCTTAGGATAGGCGGGGCAGGATGGGGCACTGCAAGAAGGTGGGTGACAATATGGCAATGCAAGAATCAGGCAATGGAATGTGTCGATTGGCACTGTGCCATTAATGACTCGGTTCGTCTCTGGACGGCTTTACCTGTGTCAGCAGGATGTTGTCAAAGAGCAGCTTGGTCTCCGCCTGCTCCTTGGTGATGTCAGCGTTGGGGTGCATGCCAAAGATCTCGGGGCTGGCTATGATGGGCAAGTTCCTGGTGTACTCCAGGTAACTCTCATACTGCAGTCAGTGGAAACAAAATCCATGAGAAGCTGGTTGACAATTTTACTACTGTTAATGATGAACGAATGACGTGTGCCCTAATTTTTTCATATCTGCCAGAACTGTCTACTATTTGTAGAAAACACCTGCAAGTACACAAAGCAAGCATGTGACGGAACCACCCTTCCCTGACCAATTTCCATTTCTCAAGGGAACAGAATACTCTCAGTTTAAAAAAAGGGGAGGATGTTTACAGAAAAATTCTTCATGCACAAACTCCTGTGTCCATAGCCTACTTTAAGACGATATAGCAAGCTACCAGCACTGGCCTTCTGACAGACTTACCAACCTCAAGCAAAATGGCTGACTCCATCGTACTGTGCATGAAAGGGATGGATGCTGTGTCTGAAATCCTTGGCTGAGGCTGACGTAACACATGCATCTACAGACTGGCTTACAGTACTTGGCCAGTGGCTTCCATAGAGCAAAGTGATATCCTCAGCCATAGTCTCAACAACTGGATACAGTGTAATTCTTACTTGAACACAATCTGTTTGTGCAGCAACATAACAACTAAATCTGATCCTCTAATGCAAGAGAGAGTGGACTTACATCGCCAGTCTTGGGTGCATAGTACAGTCCGCTATTGTCAAAGTGATAGTCGTCGTTGTCGATGATCTCTGGGCAGTACATCTTGGCCAGGATGTTGTGCAAGTTGCGCCTGTCCCAAGGATCAGTCACACGGCCCCCATAGTTGCACTCGCCCGTCAGGTATTTGATGGCGTCGAATGGTGTCTCCTGTTAGTATGGACACATTGGTGAGATGGTTGGATGCAAAGAAGAAAATTCTTTCGCTTCTCGAATGCTTATCCCTTCTTTCCAATATTTGAAAACCAGAGGTATCACCTTGGGCTTTGTTTGGCAGACATCAAGGGTTGCAAAATTTTATTCTTACTCATAACTACTGCTTCATCTTCAACCCTGTAATTCAGCACTATTCAGTAGACGGCAATCTTTCCAATCTTTTTATTTCAGTGGCTGGATCTTGCAAGTTCGTGCAGAGACTAACCCTTTGATTGTTGGATGTTGCCCGAGTCAACATCATCCTAAACAAGGAGCAGAGTTTGGGGTTGAGACGTTGAAAAATTGTCAAATTTGAGATTCTAAATCCTTGTAAGACCAACCGTAGGTCAATCTGGAAGGAAAGCTGGATCAACATTCTGAAGGGCATATTAATTTGAAATGTGAAGGATGAAGAACAGTTTCTCTTTATGGGAAAAATAACTACTTTGCTGAGAACGTGAATTGATCTCAATATATCCTGTCTTCAACATGTAATAACGCCATCTTACATACTTCGTATTCATTCAGGAACATGGCCAGTTGGCGCACGCTGATCCGCAGATCCGTCTCGTTGAACTCGTAGGGGATGTTCCAACCAATGGGGCCAAAGTTCCGTCTCTCTTGCACCAGGGCATGGAAGAAGCACAGGCCGTACAGAAGCTTCTTCCAGGCTCTCTGTATTGAGGGGAAAAAAGCAAAGCAAAATTTAAGCTTTACTGTTAAAAAAATGCAGTGTTGGCAAGTATTGGGAACACAGCAGCCTGATGATGATTTTTACATAATGGCACAGAGTGAAGGATAATGCAGTACTTTTCACAGGCTATGTCTACCACAGACAGTGTACAAGGTCATGCAAGAAGCTGAGGTGAAGACAGACCAGAGTTATTCCTGTACTATTTACCTATAGGTGTGGCATCGTGTCAATGCAGTTGACATGGTATATGCTAAGTTTGACATAAACAAAACTAAGTGGGCAAATTAAATTCCACAAGGTGGTTCACAGGGAATGGCTAACATAAAGAGCCACAGGTCATTTCAAGATTTAGCATGAAGCATGTCAAATCATCCTTCATGCTAAATCTGGTTGAGATCTAACCTTATTCCGGAAGCACACACAAGTTCAATGAGGTCAAAAGTCATTTTTCCGCCAATTTCATGAAACATGATGTAAATTTGACCCATGCGTGAGCCTTGCAGCACAAATTTGAGCCACAGCCGTGCAACATACTAACGTTCCATTTCAAGAAAAGTTGCATGGCTCTGCCATGTTTTAATATTCAATTTCTTGGACAAGGCCAATAATGGCTTTTACAGCAGCTGTTACTTTTCAGTCGCGGACTTATGAAGGGTGTAAGTTTCATGAAATCGCTCTTAATTTGTTGCACTACGACGCAATAAAATGTGGCATCAGTGACGTTTCACCACTGTGAAATCGGCTTCTAGTCTTACAATTACATTAGCTTCTGTCAACACTTCTAGAGTCATTGTATCATTTCCACATATTTCGGCAAAATAGAATGCAGAAAAAGTCCACTACAATGGCATACCTGAGCCTGCAGATGTGACAGCACATTCATGTGGAGACCAGGTAGATGATGACAGTTATTCATGGCACAGCATGAGATTTCCCAACAAGCAGGGGCATTGGGTAGGAGGAGCAAGAGAAAATGCATGAACTATGTGTTTATGGGTGAATGATTTGACGGGTGATATAAGCATGAACCAATGGGAGAGTAAATGAAATGATGTTGGAATGATGTAATTCTAGCAACATGCATGGATAAAAATGGCACATTTTCAAGGAATGCAACGTTAATTGTGGGAAAAGTACACGCCTTTGCTGTTGATAATTACAGATTGGGAATCTAGTATGGTTTCCGGTTCACTAATTTCTGTCAAATGCTGTATAAAAATCACAACCAAAAACTACAGGAAAAGTGCGATGTGATCACTTTTCCACAGCAAAATACCAGTACTTCTGTGAATTTCAACAAGTTGTTGGATATTTTTGACACAAAACTGCAGCATTTTTAGATTTAGATTTTCAGACACATTTCCTGTTGGTCTTCTATGAACATTTTGAAGAAGCCACAACCTTATTAAATTCCAATAACATCAAGTTAAAAACATCCAAATTGGGATCAGTCATTTTTGATACAAATTCCCCACAACCACAATGTATTTATTTGAGAGATGAATGAAGTACATATAGAGATGTGGAAAGACATGGCATGCAATGGAGTTCTACTTCATGTCCATCATAGCTGCCCATGCAATCTCAGCTTAAACTCAACCTCACCAAATCTTCCCCAACGTAATACCTGGTTTCTTGATTTATTAACAAGTATTGGAGAAATGCACCGGCCAACCACTGTCTAAATGCAAAGAGACAATGTTCCACTGGCTGACTGAAAAGAAGTGGATTTGGAGGGGATTCATGAAGCAGAAATGTTGAGGGAGTAATTTAAGCCAAGGGTGAAAAGGCAACTCAAGTGGAGGACAGCGCTGGTTTTTTGAAGGGGAGGTTTTGGTGAGCTATTTTTTCTTGGCTCTGAGTGTGCACAGACCTCAGCCTTGACCCCGTTGAAGAACTCCGGGTCCGAGATGGGGTCACTCAGGTAGGAGCGGATGACGTTGGAGCGGAGCCCCTTGGGCGGCTCGTTGGTCATCTTGACGCCGTTCTGCAGGACGGCGACGGGGAAGTGGGGCGAGGGGTAGGAGGTCAGCCAGAGACGGAAGTCCGGATGGGTGGTCTCTGGATTCAACTCCTGCAAAAAGAGGAACGAACCCATGATTTAGTGTGCCTGCATAAATGCACAAAGCATAAAAAAGAAATCAGACCTTTGATCAAATCTTGACGAGAAATCGCAAGTCCCGTACAAGCAAATCATACACTTGCCATCTAGTATATAAAAAAAGCGACTATTGGGACCTGATGTGAAATTTGATTTGTGATTAACAAAAGCACATGACTCAGAAGCAGCGTCACTAGTTTGCCCCACACAGAAATCTGGAATGGCATTAAAATTTAGCATGTGCTGAGCAATAGCATTTTTCAAATGAGGGATTCCTCTCCAGGTTCAGCTCCAGTTTTCACCTTCAAGACATTCAATGACACCTCCAATTTCTGCTGGAGAAATGCTAGAAACTGTCTAATACAGATATTGATATTGATTCCGGAGTACAAAAATAGCCATAGATAAAACCGAGATTTCATAAAGACCCATGCTACCATGCAACTACAGGTGCACAAGGTGGTCGATTATGACGGCTAAATCTGACTGTGTGATATACCTCACATATCTTCTCCAGTGTGGTCATCCAGGACACCGCCAGGTGACAGTTCTGCAGGACCACCCAGGTGCCTTCCTTGATGCCCTTCTCAATCAGGCGCATGGCGATGGGGCCTTGTCCCTGGCCCAGGGAGAGAGAGCTAAGCTTACTGCCTCCAAAACCCTGCGACCAACAAAAGCAAACACAAGCCGCATCAAATTTCGCCATTACAGTCGATGTAGTGGCTCATCTCATGTCTGAGAGCAAGCAAACTTTTCCTAAGCCTCAGACAGGTTTTACCCAGAGACTGAATCCATATTATTACTCGATCTATGGTTGAAAATAATGCATGGATGCATCTATGAAAGCCACTTACTGCGAGCCATAGCCAGACACAGTATAGAAAGGCTTGATCAGCCCTACTGCCAATCTGTCAGGTGTGATTACCAGTAAATAACTTCAAGTGGCTAATAAATGCCTTTTCCACTGACAGTTCAACTGGAACGGCATCTAGCAAAGAATATGTGACAATCCCCTGATTTCCTTCAGTCCTCAGATATCCGGATTACTTTTCAAACATTAAAAAAGCTCTTTTTACGGCAGATATATGAACTAATTACATTTTCACTGATGGTGAAAGCTGTTGTTAATACCATATTAATCACTGTCATATATCGGAAATAACCCATCACTATCCCACGCACACTGACAGCTGTAATTGAGTGCACTACAATGTGTTTCTTGTCATTCAATTGCTCTGGGTGCACACAAAACCACGTACCTGATCGTCTGCAAACTTGAGCAGAGCGGCTGTGGGGTCACTGCCGGGTGACAGGACAAAGATGAGCGGGGCGCAGCAGTGGCTGTCGTTGAAGGCCTTGCCGAGGTCAAAGGGTGGCGGCTCGATGAACTTGCGGTGCAGCTTGGCGGTCACGAAGGCCTGGATGGCTGGAACTACCTGTGGAGTGATGGGATGCGGGCAGGATCACATGTTGTAGTTAGCTCAGGTCTTGGTTCACCTCATGAATATACACAAGCTCATTCTATTGTTTTCACAAGCGAACATTTACAGGCGGAAGGATGTTTAACCCCTCCCATTATGCAAATCAAATTTCATCACTCCTGTGCTGCAAGGCTACATGTATATGAGGGAATCTTAATTGAATACTGACGCAGCAAGTGCAGAAACTAACCTGTTTCTGGCCTGGTCAACCACAGACTTCCATCTGTGATTTTACTTCCACTCCAAACAATCATACAGCACTAATTTCCAACTACCACTATCCTTGGACAAATTCACAAGAAGGTATATTTTCTCTGAAAATGTTAGCTGGGTTACTTTACAGGCTTTTCATCATGCCTATATTCTGGTCACAATATCAGACAGCATCTTGATACTCAAACTGTTTTTAGTTTTTTAATGTGTACTCAGATTTGACAAAGGTACCCAGGAGGGGAGGGAAGGGATGGTTTATACTGTACATGTACCTTATCCGAGCGCAAGCATCTCAGGGTAAGTAGCTTCTGGAACATGCCTAGGTTCTCGTCCCATTCCCCAGGCAGCGGCATGTTTTGTGGTTCCTAAGGAGGAATTAGAGAAAAAGGTACAGGGGACGTTACTGTAAATCCCCACCCGTGGAATAAATAGAAGGTTAATCACATCATGTCCAAGGTAAAATTTAGGGTCACAGCTTGCGGTTAAAAGAAAAAGCAAATTCATTTGAGAAACTCTGGTAGTGGCAAAACAATTTTTGAAGTCATCATTACACAATTTTATTCTTTTTTCCAAGAGGTATCCTGTTGTAACTGAGTGGGCATATGAGGGACATGGACTCTCAGGGGCATGTCATGATTTTTGATGAAGTCAAAGGGTAATGTAAGGGACTTTAAAGGAATGTGACGACTTGTCAGGGACTTGTAGCGGGATATGAGGACTTGTGTTAGACTTGTGATGGACATGAAGGGGCATGTCAGGATTTTTGATAGAATCGAAGGGCAATTGCAAGGACTTGTGAGGGTCTTTGGGGGCAAATAATGAGGACTTTTGAATGACTCGAAGGGGCATATGAGGACTTGTGATGGTCATGAAAGGGCATATGAGAGCCTGTCATGTACTCCATCATACAGTCCTACTCAGGACACCATTGAAAAACAATTGATGCTGGACGAGGGTCAATCACAGGTTTCCACCTACCGGACTGTCATAAATGGCCTTCCAACCCTCCTTCTGGGCAGGGAACTTCTTGCGCATGCCGCTGAAGCGGGGCAGGTCGTCCAGCCGGCAGATCTCGTCCCAGGACATTGGTGGAAGCCAGGAGGTGGGGTTGGAGTGGGGGTTGTCCAGGCCAATGCCACCAGTCAGCAGGAAGCGCCACTCATCCTCGTCCACTTCCTTGGCATGCTTGAGGAGGTTGGTGCACAGCAGGAAGGAGAAGAGAAGCTGGGGATGGAATAGGGGCAGGAGGGATGGGGATTCATTGATTAATACGGTTATCAAGCCCTTTCTTGTTTAAAATAAAAGATGTGCCTTTGATTACTTGAATGTGATATTTGATTCTTATTTATTTGACAAATGTCAGGCCACAAAGCGATGTCATCATGATAATGACAGCTGTCCATAAGTTTGCCTTCATCCCAAAATTAGAAAGAGGTTTGGGTAGTCAATTTTAGAGGATTGAGAATTTTAAGCCTTATTTTAACATTTACCAGAATTTTTTTAAGTTTAAAAGTTTAAAAGAGTTGACGGCAAATGCCTCATAAAACAACATTAATGACAATACAGTTTTATCTTTTCCTTTGCTTTGGCTTGTATTAAATTTTGCCAACCAACCATAAATGTACCTTGTCTTTCTCAAAGAGAGATCTGCAGACGTTGCAGTACAAAGAATAGGTGAAGTACTCCCTCAGGTTGAAGAGACGCTTCTCAAGGTCGTCCGACTTGTCTGAATTCTCAATGGCATTGACAAAGAGATTCACAAACCTATGGATCAGATGGGAGAAAATGGGAGACCAAGTTAGGATTATGATAGCGTATAGCCATTGCAGATAGAGTACTCACATACTGTATATACATGTATTCTTGTACCAAATACATTCAATGAAATGAAAGCGAAGTTCCCCACTTTTAAAAATTCACAAGCCTTTAATGAGGCTTAAATACAATGTCTGGACAGACTGTTTCATGTGAAGATACAGTTGGAAACAAGCAAGCTTTTAAAAGAGATATGTATGGATGAGGTAAAATGGTTTGGTCTGCAAAGTAACATGGGACCAGCTTACATACAATATGGGTGACTTCAACAGAGTATTAACAAAGCAAGCAATGATTCATTGTGCGCTTAAGTTTGCTCAAGTTTCTGTGGAACATATGTCTGATTTGTAGCCCCACCCATGCTACCAAAAAAAAGTCAAACACTCTTCTTAAATGCACACATTTGAACAATATGACAACATTAATTAAATCAAGTTCCTTGTTTACTTCACACTGTGGGGTCTCCACTCAACAAGCTTTTACTTCTTGGAGACCTCCATCCACACCCAATTTAATATGTTCAATAATTCTATCTATGTGATGGTAAACACAAAAGATTTGAACTAAACTGAATTGAATCAAGTGCGCACACATAAGACGGCTGGCTGGTACAAGCCAAGCCATTTTAAGGAACAGTACAGTCAGGAAAAGAACACTGAAATCAGATCAGCGTGTGAGGAAGACACTTCTTCAGCTCACCAGGTCAGAGAGTACTGGTACATAGGCTCAATGTTGGCCAAGTCGGCGATGGTGAAGAACAGGATGCTGGAGTGGACGGCGATGGGCTTGTAGCCCATGCGGGTTTTGTCGATCTTCTGCTCCGTCTCCTCGGCGATGGCCTGTTTCTCCGAGATCTCATTGGCCAGCACCTTGGAGGAGGACAGGACCTTGATGGCCGTCTCATCCTCCAGGATGTTGCCCTCGGACGTGGAGAGGACCTCCAGGATCTTGTCCTCGATCTCCTTCAATTGCCTGGGTGGCCACAAAGTCGAAAAATTATTGTATCATTCCACTGCTTATCCTTACAGTTATGCCAGGAACTCTTACTCCATCGACTTCATTTTTTTATATCTCAGACTACTGGAGTGTGACAACACATGTAAAACACTTTACAAAGTGAAATCAGAGATTCTGTTCCAACTTTTGGAGGGCATTTACTCTAACTCAACTGCAATAGTGGAATTTAAAGTAGCAAATGAAAATACTCCTAGAAACTTAGAGTGTTGTTCTTGTCATATTTCCTTTGAAGTAATTTGTAGAGTAAAGCATAAATTCATCATGACAGGTGAACACACACATGCATATGCATCACGAACGGTACGGTACGTATATTGTAGCAGTGGATTTGGTAAAATGACCACTGAATGCAGAGGCTAAAGAGAAGCTTTAGCCACGAAAAATCTTTCTGGCTTACTGTCGCTGTCAAGTTGGGCCTGATGGACGATGATAAACATGTGCACCGGGTCGTGTCTTTGCAATTACTGTAAGTCATTTGTCAAAGCTAAGAGCACAGCCATGGTGAGGCAGAACAGACAGGACACTGCAGCAAATACATGGCGAGCGTAACTAATGGTTACGACATTTAGATCAGCTCAATTACTAAAATGACCACCAGATCACTTAAGTATGTTAAAGTATGGCAAATCAAGATTGTTGAAGCATGTGTACGTGTACAACACGAAGTCACAACATGGCATTTTCCACGACAGGACGGTTACTTATGCTAAAAATGACAATACAAGGTTTAATGGTGTGTGGAGGGTGTATCCTATACATATCGGTCAATCAGTCTTAGGAAGAAATGGAAAGTTGGAATTATGAAAAATATCTAAGCCACATGTTCAAGTGGAAGACATTACAGTTAGTAGAAAACATCCAAGGCTTTGAGGAACAGTCATTTGAGTCTTTGTTTAATGCACAATGTCAAAGCGCCATATCTCAGGCTGTGCAGACTTAGTTCAGATTCTCTTTTTCCCCATGAAACATCCTACCAACATATGTCATTAAACTGATCATGAATATATTGGCTCATGCACTGATGTATAACATGGCAAACATCGATTCTCTTGGTACATGTACCTCTGTAATACACAGTAGACATAAAAATGCACAAACATGATTGAAAGGGATATGGACAGCTGTTTAGCATATATGCACAATGACCTCAACCACAGACATGACAGATGCTGAGTACCTGTACATGTTCTACCTGCACCACGGAAGACAAACAATAGAGCAATGTACCATACATGTACATGTATGTCTATCTGGATACTAAGTGTAAATCACTCCAGTTTAAACCACGCCCAGTGCACATGCACTGCACATAGAGTCACATGCACTGATTGCCGGTTACATGGACCATGGAACCGGAAGTTAATGCACAACTTCAGCAATCATCCAATAGGAGCCTGCAAATTGTGGAGGGACTGCCTTTGTGATGAAGTCACTTACGAACCGGAGAGAACACCTTAGTGTGACGTCATTTTGAACCAGGAAGTGCAATGCATATCTAGTCTTACAGGTAATAATGTATGCTACAAGAGGAGTCGACCCTGGCAAATGCAACCTGAATCTTCAGAATGCTATGATGTCATGCAACTGGCATTTCAGGAATACTTCCAGATATCAATTTGAATAACTTGGTACACTGAACCACCTAGTTTTCTAAAAACAAAGAAACATTGACTCCATAGTTGTAGAATCATTAACTTTGAGTACAAAGGCAGATATTGGCAACAAAATTGATTGACTGATGATGAATGTTAAATTAGTACAGTTGACTGTAGTTAATACGAGGGCCTTGGGACTAACTAAATTAGCTTGTATTATTCCGACCTCGTCTTATGCGAAACCTGCTGTCCTGCTTGACACATGCATAAATACATGTATCACCAATCGACCATAGGTAACGCGTAAGGGTATACAAGTATGTACAACTTTTTTCTAAAGGCATGTACGTTTTGTTATATGCATTGGACTTTAAAATGCTATGAAAGTGAGATGTATATGTACAGTTTAATGAATAAAACTTATAATAAAGAATGATTATGAAATGTTAGAACGGAGAAAGCGGACTTTCCACCAGTCATGTCGGAGCAATGCCGTATCACAAGTCCTGGCCCCGCACACCGTGATAAGATCCACATGCGCGCAACGTAACGTAAGTACATTAACATTTTAGTTGGTAACCCAACACCAGAGCTGTTCTTGTTGCACGTAAAAGTGGGAGGAATTAAACCAGCTATTGATGGTGTGGACAGAGGGCAAATATCGGTTTTTACTTTGGAAAGGAGTGTGGGTTTGGTGAAAAATTATTACATGTATTATTAACGAGGAATGCACTTTTTTCTTCAAAACTTGTGGATATTATTTTCTTAAGAATTTTTGGACTGAGAATCAGTCATGATTTTCTTATATTGAGAACTTACAGAAATTTCAATATTGGATGGGGTGATATTTTCATGTTACAGTGGGGCGTGGGTAACGATTTTTTGATGGGGGTGGACATTTTTTGGGGCCGGATGTTTGGTTTTGTATTAGTTTCCTGGAGGACTTTGGTCTTGGGGAAATTTTGGAGGGCGGGGGAATCAAACGAAAGATTTCTTTGGTTCACCACTGTCTAAATACTGTAGCACTTTTCGCGGCACAAAACCACCACAAAGAATTTCTATGTTGGGTAGGCCTACGGGAACCGCAAACGCCCACTGTTCGTCTCTCTTGCGGCACCAGACACAAACAGCTTGATTTGGTGAGGGAAAACCGAAGTGCTGTACTATTGTGTACACGAATAATTTACGGAAGCACCTTTCAAAATTGAATAAACTGGCTGAATGACATGTTGCCTTCAAAAAAGCTTGTGCTAAACTGACAGATAACAATAAATTAGCACTCAGCTGGTGGGGGAAAAATGTTCATCTTAACCGAGATCTCATAACACTCGAGCTCATATTATGCATTTGTTCCAGCATAGGAATGTGCACAATTCAGTCGGGACTAACAAAATATGCTTGTCTAAACCAGAGTCTCGTCTTACCCGAGCTCGCGTTACCGAGAGTCACTGTATACAAGTAAAATGGTTCATTTTGACCAGGTTGTCTGACAGCACTTGCAAAACCACCCAGAATGGCCTCTTAAATGCAACCCGAAATACAAGCCGTCATTGCAATTGCACTACGCTACCATGCGGGTACCGTAGTACGCAGGGGTCAGTTGCCTCTTCAATCAATGAGTCCTGATTTGCCATAATGTATGCCCTGGCCTTTGCGTCTTCAGGAGACAATTTCTTTCGTTTACGAAAGTCAGGACCGCGTCGCCAAAACATTGTCCTCAGAATGTTTTGGGTACCCACGACATCTAGTGTATCTGCCCTGAGCTGAAGTGCACCCCCACTGGCGAAAGAAAGACAGATGGTACTAAATTTTCCAACCGGGTTCTTGCACGCATTTGGCGTGCATGCGAAGGCCATATATTCTAGACTAAATTCACTGCATGTGCTCAGCGTCGAACATGCATAAACTCGAGCGCCTACTTGGTGAGTGAGTACCAAACGACTGTCAATTTCATTTTAAAACATGCCCTCTTTTGTTCCTGCCCAGAGCAGATTGTCCCCACGACTACGAAACAAGTACATGTACAGGTTCCCAGCAAAAGTTTAAGACCATGCTTACGAGCCCCTTGCCAGAGCGGTAAATGGCATTTCGTAGTCTACACGGGACTGACCGTTTGTTGTCAGCACTCTGAATGATCAACGCATTCTTCTCCTCTTCCAGCTCCGGCCTCTCCCTGGCCACCACGATGCCCAGCAACTGGTCTTCCAGACCCTCCGGAGTGATCATGAAGTTCAGCAAGGTCACCTGTCAGATTGGGAGGGAGGGAGGGAGGGGAAGATTGGGGGGATGATGAGAAACTCATGCAAGATTCAGCAGGAGGGTTACAACAGCGGCAATACAATACTTTGACTTGAAGGGCTTGCAAATGCTAAAAAAAGAATGATATGGGAACTTTTTTGATTTGTTACTAAAAGCAGCATAGCTTGAACGATTCAACCTCTGAAAATCCAGAACTTGAGGGTCAGAAACCCTGAAGCACACCAGACAGATGACTACAACTTTTGGTGTTAAAACTAAACAGCCACATTGGCTTGATAAATGTGGATGGATCAATAAGACTATGCCATTTTCTTTGCTGAATTCAGTTTTAATGAATTATTAATCGTCAATATCTCAATGCATTCTGAAAGTATAGAGGAAACTACAGTTGAAATTTTCAGTTTCGGAAATATTGATCAAAAAATGAACACTTGATTTGTGGAAATAAACTTTTCAGTTAATATTGGCCCAAATGTAAAATAAATATTGTAACCTGAAGGTATGTGCATGTATGTCCACTACATATTACACTTTTTACTGAATGACTCTAAGATTTTTTGAAAATGTATTTTAAGTCCTTGTGATTATGGGATGTTAAATACATCTCAGCATCATGACTGAGTTAAAAGTACTCTCACAAGAATGATGATCTTCAATATAATGACTCCAGTATAAAAGTGCAAGCTCATTCTGTCTTTACACGCCTCACTGCTGTTTATGCATTAAAAGTTCTTGTAACCTTTATCTCACACCCCCCCTTAGCGCTTGTCCGTGTGTGTACAGAGAATGTTCCCTTGCTGACTTGTCGACGAAGGCAGACTCAATTAAACAGGCCCTTGAGGACTTTCAAGTGGAACCGCGACGCACGACGGACTAACCTTGACGGCGGTTTCTGGGAGGTAGTGGGGGTTGCGCAACTTGGTAGTGATGTAGAAGCGGAAGTCATGGGAGTATTCAATGGTACTGTCGCCCAGGCGGATGCAGATGGCCCCGCCCTGCTTGAAGGTCTGCTTCAGAAGTAGGGGCTCCAGCAAGGGGTCCAACTCCTCCCCTATGTTCTCCAGCAGCACCTGCGGGGAGAGGGGAGAGATGGGGAAGAGACTTGTTTACAGCTGGACAGGCCAAAATGCAGCCTGGTCATGCACTGCATTTAGCACAGTTTGCCAATGGCCATGGCTTGTACAAACTCTACAGGCATGCAACTTCGACCTTGACCAAAAAATAAGGAAATTCCAATCTTGACAAGACTTTCTTCAGCGTTTTTCACTTTTTAATGGAATGAGTGAGAAGTTAAAAACAAGGAAATCAGCTGATCCAAGGAAAAGTTGCATGCCTGACTCTACCATAGTATCAACTACGCAATCTCCAACATTTTTAAATTACCAGTTGATCGCTTTACAAATGCAACAGAGCTATGTTAAAACAAGATTGAACAATGAACCTGAGCAGTGTAAAAGGACAAAAAAATTAAATCAAATGGACAATTACCCCATTTACCACATCAACATTAAAAATTTAGGCTATGCATAAATTGCATTAGGCTGACAGCACATGTATCTTTTAATCCTTCCTAAGCAATACCATATTGTGTTTGAAACGAGCTACATACAAATGTATTTGGAAACTCCAACAGGCTTGAAGGAACTGCATAAAATTGTTGTGAACCAGAAATGACAAAGCCTCTAAAATATAATTGTGAATGGCAGGCCTACCGGTGTACCAAACTGGATGCAGTTCTCCAGAGTGCGGACAAAGTCGCTGTCGGTCAGCTTGATAACATGCAGGTTGTTGGCCTTCTCCATGTTCTTGATCCACTTGTTGGCCTGGCCCTGAGGGTCAATCATGAGAGGCCAACGCCGCGCATTGCTGGCAAAAAAAAACCCCAAATGCTATTGAAAGGCCTGCAAGCAAAGAATCCCCCTTCATATTGCGACAAAGTGAGACACTGGATTCACAGTAACCGGAAGCCACTGACACTGCGCACCCTCTACCATGATGCAGAGGTCAAATCAATGGTTTTGTACACATTTACAATGGGTATTCTGCTTCATTAAAAAATGCACATATACCGGTACATGTATAAAGTGCTAGCCCCAACGAGGTTACTGCGCAACTCTTTCTTTCATCATGACTGGAATTCTCAGGCCATATATACACAGTTGCTTCAAACATGGATAGTTTATATTATGTTCATGTTACCGGTACACACACACTGTGGGATACTATTTGGTAAACAAAAGACACTTGGGTGGCAGACATATAGATGGCAAATAGGTCACACATTGGCTGAATTGTGTCCATGAAATGCTATCCGTCAAAATGGGAAATTGTCATTTATTATTCACGTAGGATTCTCCAAAAGCATGCCATTAAACATGCATGCCACTCAGATTACTTCAATGAGCCCTTCTAATGTAGAAGCAGTGGATCGTGACACAATGACTAGAAAGCAATCAGAATATCTATGATATCCACCATTATGACTAAGTCCTCCGTTTCACTGCTTTGGCTTGACAAGCAAATAAGTACTCATACAATGAAGAAGAGATGGAATTAACTGAACGTCGACTGCTGTCTTATAACCCACACTATATGGAACAAAGGTTCAGGCGAACTCACTCTAGTCAACGGTTGCATTTGTGCACTTCAAAATATGAGAGATTATTTACGAAACAGAAAAAAATAAATGGTTGGGACTTGAAGATGTGGCCGGGAATTGGAGATCCTTGACTTATGAGAGCCTGCTTATGGGCAGCTGCCAGACTTGACAGTGGAAGAAATCGCCGACTACACCTACATGTTAATTAATTTTGGATTTTTGCCTTAGCCGACGTGTATCATTACCCCTCAATGTGAAAACAGTCTCAAAGTTTTGAAACATACGTTGCACCATCACCAATGGTTAGCATTTGTAAAGTCCAACTTTGTAAAGGACTTCAGTTTTAAAAAGATGGCATTTTCAAAAATAAAATGCCTTTGGCAAGTGGTTTAAAAGCATGTTGACTGTTTGACACTAACAGCTAATCTTGTTGACATTTTCTGCGATAAATGTCGTTACTTTATAAATATATTTGGCTTATCTTAGAGAAACATCTCATGTTTTGTCCATGGAATATTCTGCAGACGGATTATTTACAGTATCACAAGATAATCTTGGATAGACACGTACCAGATACAAGCGCAAGAGTTGTATGTGCACAAGGCCACCCACGCACAGCACATTTCTGTCACCAATATGCCAACCTGTTTTCCTCGAAGCAGCGAGCCATGTATCTTTGCCATATAATCTCATTAAATTTGAAGTTCCAAAGGCATCTCTCATACCTGGCAGTTGATCACATTCCCAAGTATAGGAAATAATTAATGACTTCCACTGAGTGAATGGCATACATTTGTTACAAGACAAAAGATGGACTTTGCATGAACGTCAATCCACTACATCTGTTCATGATTGGAGTAAGATAACCAACTTTTATATTGTTGCCCACTGTACTTGTTTGGCACGACGTGGAAGAGTCCATACATCACTGCATACTTATAAAGTGTAAGTCAATGCAGTTGAAATTGAGACATGAATTGACGTTGGAATACAGGGTGCAAGAAGGCTGGTTAATATGTACTTGTTGCGAATGCAATTGCAGAATGTTAAAGTCAGATCAAATATTCGTACTTGGAAGTTATAGAAGTTGATCACACTTCAACTCCAGTGAATTTTGCCACATAACTTTTATGACATCAAATTTGCTTTGCTCTCTTTGCATTTGCACAAAGTGTCCGCTGGTGTTTACTCCCAACCTTTAGATTTTTCCTTCAGAGAATAAGCCTTTTGCCAGTTAAATTTGAATAAAATCTGGTACGCTTAGTTCTTTCAATTCACGTGAACATACATGTAAAGCTACTGTTGCTATACCTCATGATTCCGGGCAACCTTTTCCTTAGTTACATAAGAGACGCTTTGCAACAATACACCCTTCTCGATGGAAAAGAAGGGCAAAAAGGAACCAGTCCATTCCAGAGATTGTGGTCGCTGAGCAAAAGCTTGCCCCAAATCACGAGGTACAGCAACAGTGTCTTTAGTCTGGGGGATTCAAATTGTTATGTTTATTTGCAATCAAATAACTCAGTGTGCAAAATTTTATTCAAATTTAACTCGCAAGTGGCTTATTGCACTGTTCTTCCTATTCCTCCTGTCCTGGCCGAGACCTGAGAGGAATGGACAAATCACTTTTCTACCATGAAACTCAAACTATGTAATCTCGACAATGTTTTCTCATGACCTACCTGATAATGATGCCGTTCTCCACTGAGAAACTGTCGGTGGGCAGGCCGGCAATGTTCCACTGCCTGATCTGCACCTGGTCTCCCAAGGTGGCACTGAGGGAGAACTCGGGTGAGCAGGGGATGCCCATCTGCTGCACCTCCTCAAACCAACTCTTGATTTGGTCCTGAGGAATAAAAGAACAGAATGTTACAGGAAGGGAATACAGTTGGTTTTCTGCATTTCTTAAGTAATTTTCGCAAAGCATGGTATCGAGTATTAAGCCTTCAATAGTCATATGGTCACACCATGCACAGATTGAACATGTGGAATCGACCACTGTAAAAGAAATTGAACATTGCCATGGTTGGAAAAAATCGCAAACGCACTGCTTTCTCTATGAATTTGACAGATTGACAATTGGGATTGAGGGGACAACACAGACATCCGCACTAGCACTGATGTTAATGCCACACCAAGTGCATAATTTGAATAATTCATATTTTACTTTTCGTCGAGTGATAAGCTATTCAAATCACACTGACTCAAATGTGACAAACTCTGATTATCATCATACATATGCATATATGTACACAAATGTATACATGTATACAGTATTCATCATTCAATAATTTCTGCAACTGTTCCTCCTTAACACAGGTTCCAAAAATATTATGTGTCAGTCAATTTTCCATGATAATCCTACAGGTTTGTTCCCATTTCTATGTAATTCTACAAACTTTCCAAGACTTGCCTGATTCTAATTTGCTTGCCCACTTTAAATATTAAAAAACAGAAGCAAGTGCATCATAGCTAGCAAATTCCAAGCTTCAAAAGTAAACATCTTGGCCAATTTCATCTACGCCACTTCCATCTGATGATACCCCCTTCCTTCTGGGGCTCATTTCCATCCGATGTATGACCCTCCTAAAAAGGGGTTGCCGGTGGCACATCAGAACTCGCCGGTTCGTGCGTGGCAGTGCTAACAGTGATTGATTGCACATATTCTCTTCAGATCTGGAGGGGCTTTCAAACAGAAGGGAAGGGGAGGAAATCCTATGTTACTCTCCGGGTCTGTGTCGGACTGGTCCAGCGAGACAAAGAGAGAGAGAGAGAGATCGCGATGAAGCTGGCTGCTGCCAGCTGCATGTTATCTCCCACTTAAGAGATTGTCCATGAATCGAGGACTGAGTAAACATGGCCTGCAGCACAAATGAACTTTAGATGAAGACACTGCCTACTCCACGCCCTTGTTTACGAAGGATTTGGCAGGTCAAAATGGAGTAGTTGAATTAGTAAGAAAAAAAAACTAACTGATGTGGACAAAAGGAAAAGTAAACCATTACACTGTTAGCTTCCATGTTTTTACAGGGGCATCCTTACCAATGGAGAGGAAGATGGCACTAATCTGAGAATTTACACGACCCCATACTGAACAACAAAATTGGTAAGCAAATTGCTAATACCAATATCAGATATTCTAGCTATTCCGCCCATCATATCGGGTAATGTCAGAGCACAAGATTTATCTATGGTAAATTTGAAAATCAGGAACTGATTTCTGAAAGAGCTTTTATAACTAGAATAGATGACTTTGCAAATTTCTGATTTCTGTCAATATGCCCTGCAGTTTCTCAGAATGTCACGTTGGCTTCCGCCTCATCTCACACTAGTTGCCTCAAGTAATTATAAAGTAAAGGCAAACAGGCCGAAAGGTCAAAACAAATCTCAACACAGCGTGGTCTGAGTGAAATTTTTCCGGCAAACACGTCAGTGATGGGAAGAAAAATAAAATTAATGGCAACCCATCCATCATGCACAGGTTTGACCAGTTTGGAGACCAAAGGCTGATCAAACATTGTGCTTCCGAAGAGTGGTCGTGTGCAAGAGAACAGTGATATATACATGTACATGAAAAAGCCTTAGCTTGAACCAAGAGGTCAAAATATACCTCATTTCAAGCCTTACTGTGGAGACCTTCATTCCAAACCAAAAGAAATGAGGTGAGGACAACTGTACAAAGAAAAGGATTACATGCATCCAAATTATTGATCAACAGCTCAGTTAGTGACCAAGTTTGCTATTTGCACTCATTTTTACAAGTGCACTTTGGCAAAACGATGACTTTTAGTGTGTTTGAGGCTGACTTGCCTGGCAATTTTTGGTGTTATTTTTACAGCCTATGAATCTGCTTTCCTTTCACTGCAATTGGTGTATGCAGGAGATGGCATACCGCACCTTACTTCACCAGTTTTTATACTTGATTTAGCCAAAGCATGCTCATAGTGTCCCGAAAAAGGGTATCATTTTTTTATTTCACTGGATGTTAATCTTAAGCAGTCAGGTTACATGTAATTTCAAAAGGTGCTGTTCACTTCAAGATTCATTCATGAACACATTTATTTCCATATTGCAGACAATTATATAACATTGAAAAGTTGATAAGTAAATTACATGAAATGAGGAACTGAACATTGAGTGTCAAATTATTACATGAAATAAAGAATGTAAACTGATGGAAGTACACAAAGACAGCAATAAGGAAGCATTAAGCAGAAGCCGTGGCTCAAGTACAGGTTCAAGGCTCAAGTACACTCACAAATGAACATAAATCGACAAGCAAGACATACATGTAAGATCAAAAACAACCATAATATACATGTATGTGCAATAATAATGATCAAGTGCCCAATGATGACAAACTTAGTGATTGAAATGGCTCAGTGCACTGAACTACATGTAGCAGTGCAGCAGTATTTCAAGCAGCCGTGTGAAAATACCTGGAATATTCTACAGACACTGTCTGGGTCCTACAGATGACTCCTTCAAAATGGAGATTACCAGGTTTATTTCAGGTGGTTTCATCACCACCTATTTACAGCCTTCTGAACTCCATTAGTTTACCCATTCAAACATGGAAATACATGTACATACATGTGATCTCTGAACCACAGATTTTTATACAGACACAAGGCACTTAAGTTTATTACAACAATAATACACAGAAGACTGATTATTTGCTATCATTTACATGCAAGTCTATTTACAAATACTGCATTAGTGTATTTATTTCTTTACATTGGGGTACACGTATTCAGCAATGTGCATGTACACATAAGTACATATTTGTGTGGCAAAAAGCTATATGTCCAATTCATCAACAGTTTCTCCATTAATATGTTGTCTTTGGAAAATGAACTGTCCACTCTACCAATTTGGGAGAGAAACAGCAAATTTGTCTGTACTTTCTTTGCACTGAGTCACTGTATTGTAATTTTTGGCAAATTTGACTTCTCACATCTGCATTTGCACAAAGGTTCTAAATACTTGTAAATTGACTAAAAATTGCAATCATTCAAATAATAGAGAATGAAATTTGTTTTCAGTTAGTATTATCTGGGTGTTAAATGTTCATGTACAGTATGTCAGCGATCATTTCAAGAAGAAAAAAAAGCATGTGATTGTAACAATCACAGACTTGCTCCAAGATAAAATGGCAGCGTATTCATACACATGTCTATCTAGGTACAAGTACATGAAGATAAAACAAACCGCTTTTGCGGCTTGTATATTTGAGCTTATTTGTTTTCATTTTTCAGCTGTGCGTTTGCTGAAAACAAGAAATCATTACTATCATGTACATGGAGTGTTCCCATTTTCCGAATTTTCATGTTAATGTCTCAGTTTCACCACAGAGACAAGTGTGGTACAGTAAGGTCAAAAATAAATGCTTCTGCCTGAAGAGTGGTATATGCACCTAGAACTCAAATTCAAGGATGGCTTTCATGTCTGTCTACCATGCTTGTCCCCAAGTTCTCACTGGCTGAAGCCCCTCGAGGCCTTCGGAAATGACACTTCCTCCATGGCAGTAGTAAGATACGCCTGAACGCCTTGCGAAAGTTGCGTATCCGGAAGGCGTAGATGTACGGGTTCAGTCCTGCCGACAGCCAGATGAGGAGGTTGGTGACCTGGTGGACCAGGGGTGGCACGGTCTGCCAGCCGTCAGCAAAGATGGCGATGGAGTAGGGGAACCAACAGACCATGAAGACCAGGAACAGCAGCAGCAGCTTCTTTGTCAGCTGCACCTCCTGGGGGCTGAGACAGATGACATGCCGGTCTTGGGCCGTGCCCTGCAGGGCCTGCAGCGCCTTAACTGCACGCTTGCTCTTGGCCACTGTGCGGAAGGTCAGCAAGTAGAAAGTGGGAATGATGCCCAAGTTAATGACCATGCAAAACAGGAACAGGATCAGTGGGTAGTACCAGTCCTTCCGGTCGCAGATCACAAACGTGCAGTGGCTGTTGACGTGGCTGAAGCCGACATTTCCGATGTCCGACCACAGCGGTAGGAACAGGATTGTAAGTTGGAATATCAGGAATATGATAATATACACAACGACAAATTTTGCCTTGAAGTAACGGGCAAAGATGTCCTTGGGCTTGGTCACGATGAGGTAACGAGTCCCGGCAAGGCAAATCAAGGCCGACTCAGATGTTGCCAGGCAGAAGATGGTCATGTACCCAACCACTTTGCAATAAGTGTCCTCATGAGGCCAATTCCCCTCCACTAAGGTGAATATGAAGATTGGAGCCAGGATGCCACTATTAACCAGATCCACGCATGCCAAGCCAAAAATGAAATAGTTGGCGGTTGTGCACAAGCTGGGTGTTATTGCAACAGCCGCAATGACGAGGGCATTTCCGAACACCCCCAAACAGGAAACAACAGCAAGGATGACAATTTCCACTACAATCTGTGCTCCTGACGGGCCAGCATCTGAACGACACAGAGGGGCTTCAGCAGTAGCTGGCACAGGACTACCAATAAATGTAGTCTCCAAAACTGTTGCACTAGCAGCCATACTCAGTCCAGTCTTTAAAGGCACAAAGCAAGTTGCAACTCCTATTCCCAAACCTTTCAATAACAGTTTATTTTCACAAGAAGATTGTGATATCTGTGCACGGACTGGATGTGGCTATTTCCAGTAGCAACGGTTGAACCGTGTCATGGATACGCCGGAAATGACTTGGAGCATCTCCAGAGTTTAACACCATCTTCAGATTCCCCGAGAGCAAAGTGCAACTCTGACAAAGACAAGCCAGCCACACCTTGGGATGTGTAAAGCTAGGCCACACGCTCTTGACGATGTCTGCTCACACTCATCAGAAAACCAACGTGTACACTTCCAAGTTAAACACTACGTATCATTTTCTCTCCCTGTATGACACAGAGTCAGCTAATAAAGAAAACTGAAATGAAGTCCGGCCGATCGAGACAATTGTGCGACAGGCATGCGCACCTTCCACCTGTGGGTATAATAGCTGACTATGTTTTTCACAGTTGAGCCGCATCAATACAAGTAGCGATGCTTATGCTGTAGCCTAGTCGATGTACCATTTCTGAGAAAATAATCCATCAGAAGCATATAAAGATATCTTTTTTCATCAGCAATCTCCTTGCAATAAAAATCCAATCTGAGTACATGTCATACTGCAAAAAAAAAGGCTAATCACCAGCTAATTTATATTCCAGAGTTGAATGAAATCCACTATGGTCTGTTCATGTATTCGAGGCGAATTCCAATATAAATAGGGCATATCCCAGCGCTTCACAAAGAGCCTCTTCTTGGTGTTAATCCGTTTGAGAAGTGCGAACTGACACTAATTGAAAAGTCCACTTTGCCTGCAAATAAGGTACAAACAGTGCACGATTGACAGTTGGCCTTGTCCTATCTAATTACGAGTGTGAGTAATAGTGGAAAGTCATATACACGTCCGTATGCTGTCCAAACACGATGGCTGCACTGTAATGAGCAGAAAGCAGGAGATGAATGGAAGTAGCGGGGAGAGACCACTGCTTGCATTGCACATGCTCAGAGTGATAAAACTTGCGTGAGCACACAATGGTAACCAACAATGGACAAGCACTTCAGGGCTATATCTGGCATAGAGCCAGCCCGATCCAGGGCAGTACATATATGCCTTTGATGAGATTGAACATAATGTGTACAACAGAGAATGCAGCAATGACTTTTTCAACAAAACTTTGGCTGTGCCAATGTTACCTTTAGCAAAAGAAATCTAAACTCCTGTTGATCTTTCTTCCAGGATGAATGCTCCACATTTTAAACTTTTCATTTTGCAAACGCAGGCAGTTTATGAAAAGCTCAAGATTATTGCCTTTAGTTACTCAGCTAGACAACTTGGTCCATTTCACAGTGCCCTTGATCAAAAAGCAGCATGGTGATGAACGTGGTTCATGTAATATCCTGCAGAAAGACTCCATTTCCTTGCAAACAGGCCTGTTTCCCAAAGACCTCAAGTTAATTACTCGAGTCTGGTCATATGACGAAGCACACGTATCAAAGGCCTGCAGCTCATAATGCAAGTGAAGTACGTGTACACCCGTCCACGAACCCAACTGATACTATCTCCTTCAGCGCTGGTGGGAATATCACATTAACTACAGGTGAATCATAATGGCAAAAAGTACATGTAACATTAACTTTTAACCCTTATATAACAGCTACCCTGTAGGGTGAAACTGCCCAATTTCAATGTGAGTTTACACACATCTTTGGGAGTTGAGGTTGCTGCTCTTCTCTCCTGGACTACTAATTTACACCTGTATCAAATTATGGTGATATGTAAGTGAATGCTTTATATTTCATAAACAAATAAAATGTCCTTGATTGCTGTGTGCTTACTAATGCCAGCAGATACTGCATATGTATACAGTAAGTACGAACATGATTTTTTGTAAATGTGGAAGTACTGATATGTGGAGTAAAAAGTTGCCCTGATTTCGGAATACAGATTTCAAACAACCTTCAATACAGACTGTTGGAATATTGCAGAGTATTGTAATGATTCTAATATAGGGTTCTGCCTTTCACCTGTCAGGTGTTCGAATGTTTGCTTGGGTGGGGCTTGAACCCAGGACCTTCTGCTTGTGAGTGTAGATGTCTCAAACGTTCGGGCTGAAAGGGGTCAATCGGTTGGTTTGAACAGAGGCCTGAACTGCACAGAGAGACTTTGGATGAGTTTTTTCATTAAGGAAGATGTAATTGCTATACCTCATACATACTCATGACGGATCACTGAATTCTCATTGATGCATTCATGGTCACGCGCCAGCGGCTATTTTCGCTGTTTGTCAAGCGCACATGCAATTTTTCACACAACAAGTAAATACGCATGCATTTTTAACTGTTGCCCGGCTTACCCGGACGACAGTTAAAAATGCATGCGCAAGCTAGTAGCAGAAAATCTAGGAACTGTCACCCGGCTGTACTGGTTTCATCTGCATGCATTGTTGTGTGTAAAATAAATGTAAATCAAAAAAGATGAAGTGCTAGAAACAAAATAAAAGTTCGTGGAAACAAATTAATGATGGTTTTATTTTCAGAGGTTAAATCAAATATTTATGAGGTACAGCAAAAAAAATATAACACGGTTTATTTCGGTGGAACAGTCCATGTTAGCTCCTCTCGATATTGGGAGTTGACAAACAAGTTCCCGAGGCGAAGTTTGTCAACTCCCAATACCTCATCTAACTAAACATCGACCTCAAACCACATTATATTTGTATAATTTGCAAGTGAAGGACAAAACTCATTATTAGCGTTTGCATTTTAAAAAATACTATCGAAATTGATTAAAAGTTACGCTACATTACATTACAACCCTCAGCCGTGAAATTTACACTGGCAAATGGAAGTGATTTTCCATGATAGGTCTTTTTTTTCAATTTTTGGCGGGTTTATTTAAATTTTGTATATTGTTTGACTCTGGAGCTACAATCTCAATACACAATATTGTGTATTTAGATATTTGATAATTTTATTATCTTTGTATGTATACCTTCCACTGGGAAGAGTCATATTACAAGTCCAAATACATGTCTTCAAACTCGATTTCAAATCACCAGGATAATACCGCTACAGAGCACTTCTTTCAGGAAATGACTGCAAGCCTCGAAATGTACAGAAGAGCCTCTTAATAAACCCAAGCCTGTCACACAAGCTTAAAGTAATCCTAGAAAACTGCATGCATCTTAGTGACTGCAACTTAACTGCCGTTTGTATTAAATACAACTGATATATTGAGGCATGTATATTGGAAAAAGGGTGACTTGCAATAAACTTGCAGCCTTGAAACAGATCCCGTGTTGTTAAAGAAGCAGATGTCATGGTAACATTCAATTGTTTTTTTAATCAGGCCAAAGCCGCTGAGTATAATGGCGTCAGATCAGTTGCCAATCGATGCTGTAAACGCTGACCTTCAAGCGGGACTGTAGTTCATTAACTTTTTACTTATTAGGCATTCTATTAAAATCTACCTCATAACTCAGCTTCTGCCAACAATGCACGTATACACGTCCTTCATATACTGCATATTATATTGACTCAAACCAAGGTAGCTTTGTGTTTTAAAAAGCCATTTGCTACTGTAGTGAAACTTGTGGACCTATTTACTGATTTATGTTTGGTTTGGGTTCTCTGATTACATTTGAATGACAAAACGCTGGTCAATATTCTGACGCTATAGAGGGTAATTGCATGCATGACTGACATGCATGTTGTGGGCCACTACTGCTGTTCCACAGGGTATAAAAAGGAGGTTTCCCTGTGGAACAAAAGAAATGCCCTGCAAGATGGCTACCACGCAAAGCCTCTATATCTTCTGAGCAAAAGAAATTCAAGGAGATATTCAAAGCCTCCCATGTGTAACTTGTAACTCAACTTCCATAAAAGCCTCAGTACCACTCATAGCCCACATTTACAGAATTACAGCAAAATTTATGTAGAGTGCTGGGGATGGTGCAAGTATTTGAAGAGAGTTTTTCTTTTTAAAACCTCAAGATCTAGGCTATGCAAAGAGCAATCTTTCTCAAACTCTGCACACATGTAGATGTACTGACTATGAATTTATATGAACATTTCAATTTTATCTGACTTTTGATATATATACATGCATCGCCATTGCTTTGATTTCTCTCTGTCATGTTTGTTGGCCAATGTGCTGTGCAAAGAGAAAAGTTACTCCTTTTGTCCGAACTGAAATACTGACCCGTAATGAGAACAGCATGAGCAGTTCTGATAAAACTGCCATCAAAGTGACCAAAAGACATCAGTGGAAAAAACTCCAGAAGGCTGGGTATTCTAAGAAAAGAAACACATTGTGACAAAGAGCAGAACATTTTTTAGAGTTAATACTGGGTGTCTGGCCATATGAAAGTGCGCCCGTAAGGTCAACAGGCAGGTGGAAAGATGTTCAGCATCTCAGCACAGGCTATGAACAGTTCTGGGTTTAAGTCACCCCTCAGCAAGGTAGTGAATTGTATCTCAAGAGCTCTCAGACAGCCACGAGTGAACAGTGTTTATTAAATTATCTCTAAGGGAAAATGTTAAACTCAAGTGACTGCTCTAGGCACTAATGTCAATATTTGAATTTGCAGAAAGACAGTATCTTCAAGAATCACAGATTACATTTGCCAGCACTGACATAATAATCGGCGCCCGTAATTCTTGTTTTACAAGTGCCACTGGTTTGTATCCGGGACATCATGTAAAGTTACTGCACCCCATTCATCTACTGTCACGAGTGCTGCATTTCGACGTCACGACCGGTATTTAGATGTTGAGCATGCAAGCTAGGGTTGCACATGCATCAATAACAAAATGAGTGAGCAATATTGATATTTCAAGGAAACTTCTGCAGCTGGTTCATTTAATTAGACAGTGTTCGGTGGGTACTTGCTCTGTTGGCCTACTTGCATGCCTAATGGGCCCAGCGTCCGGGCGAACTGATTATTCAAGAATGGCTGTCATCCAGAAAGTCCCCTTCGGACGGTTAACATTTCGATCGGTTGTGGCAAAATTGTATCAGCACACACAACTGATAGGGAACGTCATACTTGAGCTTTCGTTTCAACATTTGATGTATGATATGAGACTATTAATGCTCAGATATGAACAGGTTTTGCCATCATGAACAGCTGCTGACTGATAGCCTCCATACTTGAATAAAAGACATATTAACTTTGTGGGACTGATGACTAGTGATTGTGAATGTCCCCTCCCCCCTTCATACCGGGTAATACTCGTACATTATGTACCATCTGAAACAAGGTAAGTGGGATTTTTTGGGGGGCACTTATTTATACTGATTCAATGCTTGAAGTAATTAACTGGTTAAATATAACAATAGCAGGGGAGGTTGGAAGGCATTGTTTCAACTGAAATGAACAAGACTTTAAAGGGCACGTATTTGTGCATCAATATTCAGTTGAACCTTTTCCCCCCACCACTTCTACAAAAGACACACTTTGTTCTTTCTCTCTTTCCTTTTTTGCCCATTTAATATGTGGGTGAAAAGCCCGTTAGTGATGTAATTATAATTGTGCATTTAATTAAGGACCACAAATGTACATGCGCATCTGAAAATCGAGGCTGAGAGCACATGCCTTGCTTCAAACCCTTACAAATGGTCACCCCTCTGTCATACCGGAAGCATTGATGTTTTCAAAGTGCTACTCGGGAGTCGATCATCTCAGAGAAGTCTGTCCAAGTTTGATGAGTACAGTACATTTTGACTGTAATGAAATCTCTTTATTTCACAGTGTGGTTTCTGTGCATGGCAATTGTATTAAGTATGCTTTTTTGAAAATTTTTGGTCTGAAGTAGTATTTCAGTGTGGTGTTTTATTTATTGATTTTATTAGTTGTTTGTAAGATTTCATAGTTTATTTTGTGGAATACATGTAAGTGTTTGCTATATGTGGCTGAAGGTTTTCTGGTGCACCCTTCCCACCAACTGGTTATACCAAGATCCACTCCAAAATTCAGATATTTTGGTAGACTTGTAAAGCAAACTGGTTGCCTCTTACACAGACCATTATGCTTTTCCAAAGGTTTCCAAACTACCCCTTCTCCCACCCTGCAGCTTCAAAGGCGTGTTTTTGTTTTTCTTTAAGGGAAAGACAAGTGGGCAATAAACCAAATCCGGGTGATGAGCAGACTGGAGGGCTTTTTTTATCATGTCATACAGGGAGTTATAAATGGCTTCTCATCAGCAGCACAGCTGGGGCCATTTACCAATATCAGAGTTCACACCCAGTACAGTTAGTGGCTTAATTGCACTCTTTATGGCTGTGGGTTGCCTGGCAACCACATCCCTTTCAAATAACTATCCGGCAGTTTACGTTCTGTAGGATATGCTGGATAAGGGACTATTTCAGGGTGGGTGCGGGATGGTTGTACAGATCTATTTTAGCTGAGATTACACAGATTAGTGTATAAAGGAACATCAACAAGCCTTGTACATTATACATATACCAGCAATTAGTAACTCATAAACAGCCTCCAAATGACTTTTTACTATAGTTGAGATTTTTCAGCTCTAAAGTACAATCCCTTTTGTTTTTACTTTTCCACCCCTCCCAATTTCAACTCCATCTGAAATGTGTGTTTTGCATTCTAGTCATTCATTATACAGTCATTCCTGTTACTTTTTTACAGTGTTTAATAATGCACATCTACTCGCACAGGGTTCCCAAGGGCGGATCCACTGAGGGGGGGGGGGGTGGTGCAACAATGGGGACCATGCCCCCACCCCAAAAAAGAGGAGCCAAAATTTCTTTGTTTAAAGCAATGCAAGAAAGGCAATTTTTTTTCTACTTTCAATACCCTCCCTTCCAAAGTGTGTAAAAAGACCAAAATGAAGCCTCATCCTCAGAAAGCTCATAAAAGGTTGCTTTAAAATATGTCTCAACTTTTGGGCCGTCTCCCCTCCCTTTTTCCAGTCGTGGAATGTCAGAAAGTTGAGGAAAATATCCCTTGAGGGTTTTCTGCATTTCATGGGAACAAACTTCTCTACTTCTCCCCTACCTCTCCACAAATTCCAGGATCACTGTTTCAGCCTATTTCTAGTTTGACACATCTTCAACATTGTTTGGAGGAGTGTCAGACGTAAAAAAGAAAATAAATACAATGTAAATAACAGAGTGACCACTTTCTCTTGGGAGCCTATCAAAGTCCCTGACTTTTCCTAGCCTTGGGGCATTTGTTTCCCAAATTCCTGAACCTCCCTTGACTGGAAGAAGGGAAACTCATGTTCCCTCATTGCCAGTCTCTGGCTAGGATCCTTGTCACAAACATGAGGAAAGTAGAGGGGCCTCCATTTCATGCTAACTGTAAGCCTTGTGGTACTTACGGCACAAATGGGCCCATCCAGTTCTTAAACTGAGCGATCATGTGCAACCATCTCACCTTAATGGCTTCATATTGCTCACTGAAACATCATTTTTCACCACAGCTATCCAATTAAATGTGACATTTATGACCTTACCAACATCAACCATCTGCTGGATTGCTACAGTTGAGGAGGGGCCTCTGAAACGTACCAGTCATGATCAATGCAATAACTCCTGCTGTCTGAAAATGGAAATCCATTTATGGATCCGGACCCTTTGCTTCATTGCAGAACTGGCCACAATTTCACCCTCAATAAATCACCAGAAGGACATTAGGCATTGATAATAGTGCACATATTATTCAGCCAATATTGGCAAAGTAGGTGCTATACAGCTACTGCTCCGGCTCATTAAAATCATAAAGTATTGATAAGAAAATCTTGGTACCCCGGGCAGTAAATGTGGCTACTTTGAAAAGAAGAAAAAAAAAGAATATGCTGCCCAGACAATTTAATACTGCAACTCACTTGATGCCTTGGTGGTTAGAAAGAGTTTGTCAGGCTCACAATATTGAAATGCAAGCTCCGAGCCCCAGCAGCTGGACACAAACCCTTTAGTCCCAGAAAAAGATCCCAAGATTTTAAGTTAAATATTCCAGGTCCCACACTCCAGACCGAACAACCACAGAACTTGGTTCTACCATTACAAATTCCAGCTTTGGTAACATGCATTAATTACCCAAGCCATCTGGTCTGTAGCACCCGTAACCATTAAAAAACTATGCTTTCTTTGACAGATAATTTTTTTGAAGGAATTCAACATGATAAAATACATTGGGTTGAAGCCAAGCCCAAGGGAAGTGGTGCTAATAATGGTCTTTGGGAACTTCCAAGTCCAGAACATACACGTCAGACTTGAACAAGTTCAGCGTGAAACATCCTTTCAATTATGAACGATTCGGAACAGGAAAACTTGTCCGTGTGCAATTTGGACCTGCACTTAAACAAAGTAGGTTTGCAGACGGAACAAAACCATTACAGCAAGGAATCTGATATAAACTCTGAAGTACTGCAACTGAGAAGCCTGAGAAATGTCATATCTTAGCTGAAAAGGGGATTTGTAACGACTGTCCTATCATGAGTACATGTACAAGGGAATTGAATTGTGAGGGAAATCCCCGGGTCTGAAAAGGTACATGCACAGAAAAAAAAACTGATCTGCAAAACATGATTTTCAATATTACAGCATGTGTGTGTACAACAAATATATGAGTACATCCTAGTACAGAAAAAAGAAAAAAAAAACTGAGGTGCCATTACGATGAAAATACCATGTCATTACCAGCATTCAGTGCGGCATATCCTTCCTCAGAAAAAAACTTAATAAGCTTTATGCCAACATGTGGGTGTTTGCCGAGGCACTTACAAACACAAGGGTGCAATTACTGGCCATCATCGTTTCGTATTGTGTAGTTGCCACTCTGCACCAAATTACCTCGATCGAGGGAGAGATTACTGTCACTTTTTTTGTCATGCCTCGGCAAAACGAGCAATTTTCTGATGATGCATTGGTCCAAGTTATTGTTTAACCACATTCAGTATTCTACTACATGTACATGTAAATAGCTTATCAGCAACTTTGCTTTTACTGTCTAACAACATATTGGGCATCTGACTATATAGTACATGTATGTAAAAGCCATTTTTTATCTTGTAAACACACAACAAATTAATTAAATGAAATTAAATGAGAGACAAAAACCACCTTCTTCATTAAATTTACTGTCATACATCATTAGGACTTTTGCTGAAATGAAGCTCTTTGCAAATAACAAGCTGGTTACGGAAAATTAAATGCAACCTTAATCCCATTACTTTCTAACACAGTTGAAGCATGAAACGAAATTGTTTCAGCCCTGAATGCTACAACATGGAAATGCATGTCGTTTTGTTCAATGATCCATTTTAGTCAGCACTTTGGAGATGTGTCATTTTTTTACGATCTCTTGCAAAAACCCCCCAGCAATTTTCTTTCACTTCCAGGTTGTAGATTCCGTTGCAGTGGAGAAGTACATGTACCATGTGCATAATGCAGGCTAGAGTATATGTAGATGCGTGATCTGTTCAAGAATATTAGCCACTAATTCTGTGTATTACCTTCATTTACAAGGCCAGGGGTTTATGTGGCCCTTTGACTGGAGCGATCAAACCCATCATTAGTCTTGATTCATGAGTCTGTTTGTTCCTGTATCCATGTCAACTTGCCTTCAAGCATGACCTTTGTGTACACAGCCTGGCTAGACAGTGTGTGAGACACCCTGGACTTGGTGAACTGCGTCACGACCGACACTGTCCTGGTGCTCATCGCATTTGCTTTAATATGAAGCCCGCAGTGAGTACCACAGTTGACCGGGCCTCAATACATCAGATTGTGCCCCAGGGCTTGTGCTCATTTCAAATGACTGGATTTGAATCAGCTTTCCCAAGGTCACAATTGTGCTTCAATTAAGAATGTGAACACCATGTTCCCGGAAAAGATTGCAGTCCACAGTGGTGCCAAATGGCACTCACAAGGCATATCTCATGACAGGAGTCAATCCTTTGATCTCCGGGTCCATTTGTTACCCTACAGAAGAGGCCAGCAAGCACCGTGCCAAAGGGCAGGCATTAAGACTGTATTAGCACCAGTACCGTTCAAGAAATGTGCCAACAAGTTTGGAATGAAGATTAGTCTTCCACAAGTAGGCCTGTGTTTCACAAGGGCACAAATCTGGAACAGCGTCAGTGTTAAAAATATATGATTTGCACATGGACCAGTGCTTTAAATTGGGCCGATATTTGGAATTGGCTCGGAGTTTTACAATGCATAAATAAATATGGGTGGCAGGCTACATTTGCCTGAGGAGGTTCTAAACATGTAGTGATTGAATACACACAAGAGAGCACACCTCCCCCATGTGTTCCACAAGCAGCATATCAACACTGATTTCACATTGACCTCTCCTGCACAGATCAGTGCATGTACATAAATCACCAACCAAGCATCTGGCTGATTGCTGAGGGGACAGGTGGAAGGATTTGCACTTACCTGTCTGTAGGCCGAAGTGAAGGCACCCAAGTAGGCCACCAGACCAGAGGAAATGAGCACGTCACCCGTCAGGTTGATGTACAGCTCGCCCAGGTCTGCAGCGGACTTGCGCCATCTACGGAAAGAAAAAATGGCAAAAACTTGATTTTTGAAAAATGATTTTGTTGTCTATCTAGTTTTTGTCTCAACCACTTCCTGCCGGGGAGCCCAGTTTCGGTCACCGTGTGTTTATTTGCAGAGCCGGGGTGCCTGGTTTCGGACAAAAGAGCTGGTCTGTGTAACAAAAGACAGTACTCGGAACAAAGGACCTGCTGCTGGGAATTGCCATCAGTTTTTGCCTTCTATTTTTCGAAGGTAATTCAGCCTTGCTTTGAAACAGTATACCAGTTTTGGGCATAGTGCGCCCGCTGATTAACACCACGGACAAAAGTGCTCCAGGGCCTCATTGATTAGCGACACAGCGCCGCTGCTTGCTAATCCAGCTGCGTATGAAAAGACGCAACTGGCATTCACTGGAACAAAGGAAATTATGCAACATCACACGATTCTGGGCTCTCTTTTACTGGGCTGCAGGCCTGGGCTGAACACTCAGGTGTCAATGAAGGTTGCCTGACAGACTAGAGTAGCCACCAGAGAGTCATTCGTGTGGGTGTAAACATCAAATAAATGAACACATTTTTTTAATGTTTTGAAGAATTTTAAGAACGGAAAATCTTGAAAAGGTCCCGCCATCACATCCCGCTCAACAGAAATCCATCCAGCAGGTAGTGGTTAATAAGGCATTTCTGTATCAGACTTCATCTTCTGAATGAGTTGCCCCTTTTCACATTTGTGTCTTAGGCTGCATCCGAATCTGTTGTCTAGAGCTAGGTCTTGGTCTTTCCTCCACTGAAAATGTACGCAGATGTGTAGACGAGACCTAGCTGTAGCTCTGGAAGCCTGTTTCGGACACGGCCACTCTTGGATTTTTAAAAAATCATTAGCTTAACCTTCTGTATTATTCAACAAATATAATGCAATATGGAAATAAATGTATCTTACAAGGTGTAGCTTCTACCTCTAATGCTATTTACATCTCACACATTGTTTTCTCTGCTGAAAAAAGCAAGTTAAAGGGGTGGAGAAAAGTAGTATCGTCCAACACTGGGTTTGCACCTACCTGTCCTTCTCTCCACCCAGCCCACCGATGAGCTGCTCGGCCCGGTCTAGCTTCTTGGAGCACAGGTCCACCTGGTTCTCCAGGTCAATCTTCTTCTTCTTGTTGGCCTCCAGCTTGTCCTGCAGCTTCTTCAGCTTGTCCTGGACCTCCCGCAGGGCTGACCGCTTCTTTTCCAGGCCCGCCATGGCCACGCTCAGCTCCGCCTCGGCAGCCTTCAGAGCCTCTTTCTTGGGTGCTACCACCTTGGCCACTCTGAGGATGGGGAGGGGGTTGAGTGCAGAGAGTGGACCAATTTTAATCACCAGGCAAGCAAGAGTAAAATTCCATTTTTTTTAAAGCAAAGTAAAAACTTAAACAGTTTCTCGTCCTCGTCTTACTCAATATGATTTTTTCTTTTAAGTTTTTAATTTTCTGAGCGAGGCTTAAATTGTTAACAGATTTTAGATATGGTGACAACCCCGTCTGACAATAACAGAATCAGCAAACCAGTCATGAAAATCCGTCTGCTGTGTTGAAAAATCTGATATCTTTCCAAATCTGATATCTTTCCAAATCTGATATCTTTCCAAATCTGATATCTTTCCAAAATGGTGGCCCCCTCCTTGTTGAAGAAAACCTACAGAACTTTTGTTTCTTTTACAGATACTTATCACTTCAATTAATTTCATGGATGATTTGTCTTGTGAACACATTTAATGCAAGGTTTATTTATAAACTATTGCAAAGATGTGGGTGGTCCGGCTATCATCAGGAGAACTTTTATGTTAAATATATTCTATATGATGATGATGTCAGCCAATTGGGCCTATACCCTTCAGTGTTCATGCAGTTACAGGTATATGCTTGAGTACATGAAAATTTCCTACATGCATTGGGCCTTTGCTACACATCTACATGACAATGGTCAAGCAAAATGCTACTGCAGTCTTTGTCAGTACATCAGTAAACACAATACCACACTATGGCTTGATACTGCTTGTTTGGCATCAAATTACCTGTCGCCATTTACAATGTACACAGTTTGGTGGTGTCCGTGGCAACCTCGCAAATGATCCAGGAAACCGAACTTTTTTATGCGAAGTTGGAATGAAATAACCAAATAGACTGTCAACCGAAGGTAAACAGTCAGAGCGGGCAAACCAAACACTTTCAAGATAAATCACCGTGCAATCGCCACGATTGATGTGACATTCTGCAAGGCACATGACAGCGTCTGATACTCACTTGTCATAGGAGTCCATGGCCCTGACCCACTTGCACAGGCCTTCGGCGGCTGTGGAGGCCTGTCGGATCTTCTCGGGAACAAAGTCTGGATTGGTGACGTACTTGGTGCGAATCACCTTGATGATGTTGGGTGGAATATTGTCCTGGAAAAAAGACAAGTCATTCCATCTTCAGAGATTTGTTTCCCACCTGATTTCCCCCCCCCCAATTCAGTTTTTTTGCTGTTCATTTACTGTGCTCATATTGAGTTTCATATGAAAGCTAACTGATTTACATACTCAACAAAGATAATGTATTTTTTCTATTCATGTCTAGGGCTTGTACAGTTCATAAAACAACACATACAAAGTTAGATTTTATTTACTGCTATTAATCTGTTCCAAGATAGAAGTATCAAAAGCCACAGGTTTAAGTATCTGTTTCAAACGAAAAGAGAATGTGCGTTAAAAAGTGGCGGTTCTAACTCTCCCTGTGTTTTGTCTTCAAGCCTATCACTGTTAAAATCCCACCCGTGTCAATAGCTTTTTGAAATTGATTTGGACGGAGCCTTATTTCAGACGAGCCTCTTCTATTCTTTCTGTATTCCAACAGAGCACACTCGGTCAACTTCTGACAGTGCAGGTTTTCTCAAGTCCCTAAGCCGCCCAGCCACCCACACACGCTCTGGCTCTTGGACCCACCTTGTCGTAGTCGTGGAGAGACTGCAGGAACTTCATGTCACCAAGCAGCCTCTTGCTGGGGGGCCAGAAGTCCTCGATCTTCTTGCCAGAGCCCGAGGGATCTGGCACGCGGTCCGGCTTGATGTTCTTCAGGATGCAGACGGCCTCCAGCACCAGGCGGACACCGGCCGGGGGACTCTTCATCGTTTTGACAACGGTGATGTCCTGTTTCCACCCATGGAAATAATTTGTTTTATTTGAAGGGTAAGTCTATGAAAGGGTTCCCTTTATGTCCCATAGGTAACACCACATTTTCCTAAATATCACAATCTTCACAAAAACTAGAAATGAAAGAGTTCTCGTGAGTATTCCCCATCCAGTTTCCAAACAGCAGGATGAGAAACACTACAACCCATGAATATTTGTAAGGTTAACCATCTGTTTGGTGTGGGACACAGAGTGTGCGAAATTGCGCACTTGATTAAGAGTGTACAGGGACTCCATTGCAGGCAAAATTTGCAGGCTTTTTTAGGCAAAATTGCTGGCATAAAATTGAGAGAGCAATAAAACTGATTTTGCTTTGAAGTGACTGGATGCAATCTGTAAAAACTATAAAAGGAAATGCATCGGTTATGCCTTGCAGCTGAAGACATCACTTTGCCTCAGAGTTAAAGAATTAAATTAAAGTCTGCTTTGACCTGACTGCACACCACAGGGCCATGTGGATAAAGGTAGAAGCAAGAGCTGTCATTTGCATGTTTCACCCTTAAAACTTTTGTCAGAAGTTCGAGTCTATGACACAACTGTATGCAACCAAGGGCCCTCAGAAATCCACAGTTCAATAGACCTGTACCATAACAATGTCACTTTCTTATACATGTGTAATTTCTTATGGCCATGAGGTGGACACGATCCATCAAACTCCCATGAGAACAATTATGTTTCAAAGATATTCAATATAATTCTTACAAAGCAGGATAAGCAACTGTATATTAGAACAAGCACTGCCATGACATGTGTTCAACTTTTTTTTAAGGTCTGTTTTGTGGCCTCTTTCAAGCAAATGGGAAAATCTTCCCCAAGTTGATTACCACAAGCAAGCAGCGCGACCGTGCTGGGCGATTGTTACTGCAGGTGCAGGTGACCTTTTCTCACCTGTGGTGTCAGCGTCTGCAGAGCAGCCAGGGCTGCTTCCAGGATAGGTATGGCCTCCGACAGCTCAGCGTCACATTCGTCCTTAATGGCCTTGGCTGCCATGGCTTGCTTGTTGGCCACTTCCTCGTCAGCTTTCACTACCTGAGATCAGACAGGTGTGCAGGTGAGTGCAAACTCAATGAGAGTATGTGCCCAAACTACCAAGTCAATTCTTTGGACAAAATGTGTCACACAGAGCTTTTTAAACCACTACAAACCAGTTGCCCTGTTTTGTGAGTTTGTTTGCTTGAAGTCCTTGTCCAAGACAGTTGATCTATTAAAATACAAACTCAACACAGCTGAGACCAAAGAAATTTTCCCTTCCAGGAAGAAAGAGTTAAAACCATCATAATCTCATGGCGAGTCAATCTGTGCCAATATCTTAACACTCACTGAATTTGCTTAAATTTCTCACATCCTCTGGATAAAACAAAACTATTGAGTCAACTGCTTCGAGCGCTCTCAAATTGAGCCAGGAGACATGCAGATGAGACGCCTGCGATGCAATCGTTACCTTTTCCGTCTTGGCTACTTCTATGGAGTCGCGCTCAATGACTACCATGATGTCGTCCACCTCCTTGCTGGCCACCACCAGCTGGGGCTGCAGGGCCTCCAGCTCCTGCTGCATGGTGGAAACCTGTGAGGCGGCATTCTGCAGCTTGTCCAGGCCCACCTCGTAACGCTTCTTATTCCGGTAGACGATGCTGGGAAACAGAGACAAGGAAATGATGCAATTTCAATCCGTGCTGACTTGACAAAGCCCCTGACTGCACTCTTCAACAGAAATTGGCCAGGTGTGCTCAGCGTGTTCCCTGACGAGTGCACATGAGCCTCTGCATACACGCAGTGAGTTCCCATCAAAGGGACATGATGTCTATTGTTCCTACACAAAGCCAACAGTGAGTCTGGATCTTTGTATAGCCAGCATTCTGAACTTTTTTTGGTCACAGAATCGGTCTAAACTTGCAATCAGTTCTCAGAGAAATTCTACCGATGAGCCAAACAAAAGCCATGCTCAGAGTTTTGTGAGCTGTCTTGGCTGATCACACTGAACAAACCAGATAAATAAAATTTGTGTGGTTGGTTTGAATATTTCTATCTAAAACTGTATGATTGAATCTTTGAAAACCCATAAATTTTCTAAGCAAAAAATGCATTTGTTTAAAAGCATATGTTTTCTTTGGTGCACCTTCAAGAACGCAGCACATCAAACTCTAATATTTTTATTTTCATTCTTTTTATTTGTTTATTTCACTTCGTCATTTCCATATAGAATCAGAGCTTCGGAAACAGCACATGACAACTAAAGGAGGCGCTTACTTTCTCTTCTTGCCCAGCAGTGACTTGAAAGTGCTGATGAGCTCCAGGTAGGAGGTTGGGGTGACATAGTTGTGTCGCTCCAGCTCATTCAGGAAGCGCTCGGACAGCATGCGGGTGGTGGTGTGGAACCGCTTGCACATGGTGATGCATCCCTGCTGGATCTCCGTGTCGAGCTCCACGTCGTCCAGGAAGCGGGCGGCTACGGCCTGCAGGGCATCCTCTGGCCAGGACTGAACACAAAAGGCGATCAGACTATTAGTAGTAATGACACATATTTATAAAACACACATACAGCATTCTGGCGCTCAAGGAACTGCATCATTGTCTCCGCCTGATATGTCCATGAATGTTCCTAAAACCATCTCAGCTCAATGGGAAGTACATAGCCCTATGCTGCCACTTCAGCCACAAATTTATGGCTGATCAAACACAACTCAAATCTCTACACACAGAGGCACCCATTTATGCTCCTGAGTGGAAAGACACAAGTGGGAGTAAAGTGACTTGCCCAAAATCACAACTTGTGACCATCCAAAAGATATAAACCTCTAACCTACTAATCACTGGACAATGTGCCTCTCCAGGCTTAGTGAGGAGTGTGAAAATTACTTTTAAAAAGGTCCGAAAAAGGGATAAGGGCTGTCCCAAAGGTTACAAGCTGAGGACAGAATGCCGCTCAGGTAGAAACAATCATGTTACTTAACTTCTTTCTGAGGCTAGAGAGCAATCAACATTTGATGAAAGGAAAGATCGTCTCAACTACTAAGAAACTAGTTTTCCCTCATTTTAATAAAAAAAACTTGGCATATTGGGGTTCTGGGAATGGCAGTCACAAGAATTTACAATGTTAAGTGCAAATTAAATAACGCCACTGACTTTTAAGGCTACATTTTGTATATGATTGTCTCAATCAAGCTCATTTTATACAATGAGCTTGACAGCATTTGATTTGGTTTGCTTCAAGATAACAGAGACTGATCACAATCAAATGGCTTGCTCAAGGACACAGTAAACAAGAATTAAATACAACACAAAATCCAGGTTAAACTGTACCACCTTGAACAGTAATGATACAATCTGCCATGCCTGTGGTTCCCTGACTTACCTGGAACCAGTCGATGGTGCAGCAGTTCACCAGGGATGGGAATTTCCGGAGTCGGTTACGGAAGGCGTCTCCGATGGGACTCATGGCCAGCACGATGTGCATCTGCTCCCGCACACGCTCGATGAACATGTTGAACAGGGACAGGGGTGAGCCGTCAGTCTGCTTGGACTTTTCCCGTTGCCTGGAAACAAAGGAGTTTCAGAGGGGGTAAGGGTGGAGTGGTGTCACTTGTACAAGAGGGCTTTTAACTGCATACATGCAGCACTTTTTTTTTTTTACCATACTGACAGCGTCATGTACCAAAGAAAAAGACAACTTTTTGCACAAATATCCGAAAGTGCCATGACGTAAATATTTCTACATTACTACCTCTTTCATCCAAGAAATAACACACAAATATAAATGGACACCTTCATGTTTATAACATGTGTAACTGTTTTTAAAAGTTATTTTAACCCTCCTTTGGTTTTACAGCACAAATGTGCACAAATGCCCAGCGTCACTGGTGAGCATGTAGTTTCTATATGGAACNATTCCTGTGAGGGACAGTTAGTGCAGTGCACAACACAACACAGCTGTGCTTGTTTGAGGTGTTTACCAAATGACCCAAAGAGTGACTTCCACATGGGAAGGTTAATGAGTAGTGAAGACCAATGATTCCTGAAGGCCCTACTTGGTGATTTTGATCAATGAACTCTCACCTGTCAATCACTCTCATCTTCTCACAGATCTCCTGTTTCTCATCGTTGGGATACAGGTTAGGAACCTCACCAGCATTCAACAGGTTGTTGATGTCTTCCAAGAAAGATTCTTGCTTGATCTAAGAAACGAATAAAGAGAACAAACACTGCTAACAGTTGCTTTGATTCATACAACTGATGGCCAAAGATACAGATCTCTTTTGCGAACACGTGCACTTTTAAACCAGATGTAAAAGATACCGGTACAATACAGAAATGCACCATCCACATCTTAATGGCCATGTTAGTTCGAAATAAAGGCCTTCACAAACCAGTAATTGAGAGATTTGATGGGCCCTAGCTTTTGGAGAAAAGTACATGCTACATGAACAAACACAGCAATGCACAACTTTCCTACAACTAGTTTCAGGCACATAAGTGGGCTCTAGCATTTTGTCCAGAAAAAGTGGACTTGCATCCATCTCTTTTGACAATTTTGTGTTATCTTGATGTAGAAAATGGTAAAACAGAAAATATACCATTTAAAGTCATAAAAATCAGTCAAAAATCAAAAGCTAAAAAACTGTGCCGAATTGCTTGGATCTGAAGGAGTCCATAGTGTATTCAATCGAATTTTGAGAAACAGAAAAGACGTCATTTTTCCTGAAGTGGATCGCAAGGTTCAAAACATGGTGAGTTGCCTCACCTGCGTGTCACTGAAGAGGAAGACGCCGTGCTGCTCTCCCTCTGTGCACTTCCTCAGGATCATCTTGAGGTCCTCCCGCCACTCAACTGTGGTATAGCTCTTGCCGATCTCCACCTGGAACAGTTCATACTCGGCCATGTGTGCCGCCAGGCGGGTCAGGGACTGCCGGCCACTGCCTCCCACGCCCACCAGCAGGGCGTGGCCGTTGGGCTGCTTGATGACACGGGAGATACGCGAGACATGCTCCAAGGCAAATCTGAAGCCAAGAGGGGATCACCATTAGAAGGTGGGTTGAGGTTCAACTCCTCTCTCTAACAGCATTTCAAACAGAAACCTGGCATGTGTGTGCCACTGGCATGTGTTGCGCATTAACTTTCAACAGGCATCAAGCATCGGGTAAAGCAATGGTTACCCTCTTCCCTTCTTAGTGTTAAAAATCCTTCTGATAGATTAAACAGGATGTGTGAGGGTTTAGGATAATACTAGTTGCCAATGAGCAGGCGAGGGGAGATAAAAAGCAAGCACAGAACAACTTGTTTGCTTGCAAGGCAGTTTGGGCTTTGTCAGTTTGTGAAGAGAACGGTCTTCTAAAACCAAAGACCCAAGTTACATCATTTTTGTAGCCCTAACCCTTCAGCTTCAATGTAAATCAAAATGAATCTAGTTGAATGTAGCATTGTTCGAACTAAGGCAGAAATGGATGCAAAGGCACTGATGTCTATCCATCCCATTAAGACAGACTTAGCATGCTGTTTATTAATGCCTTATTCTATTAGACATATCAGATGAGACGTTATACTAGTGTTGTACAAGCCCGCTCCATCTACAATCTGTCACAACGGTAATATCATGCCTGACTCATGACTTCCCTCTCTCCGTACCTGAAGAGGACGAGGTTCATGGGCTTCTTGCTGAGGTTGTTGAACTCCTCCAGGTGGCCCTCCACAATCCGCCGCAGTTGCTCCATGTCGTTCACCTCGACGTAGTTCTTGTTCTCGTTCTTGGGGTCAGTGAAGTCACAGAAGACCAGGCTGCGCAGGTCGTCCTCCACCACCTTGCCGTCCCCGTCAAAGTCCAGGTGGGCAAAGAGCTGGTTGAAGTCCTCCCGCAGGTGGGTGGACACCACGTCCTGCAGGAACTTGACCAGCCAGCCGTGGTCGTTGTCATCCACCAGACGGTCATAGTAGACACGAAACACCTTAAGGATTACAATGAATTCTGTCACTTAATAATGGAAGTCAACATGTTCGTAACTGATGTCAATACAAAAGCCTTCTGATTCATTACCGATTGTAAATAAAGTTCATGCAAGCTGTAACAAATGCGCCAATTCACGACTTGCACAAGTGTCACTGCCATGGAGGTGTTTTTGTCATCGCCTATCTTTTCCAATTCATGTTTGTCATACATTCATACACAAATAATTAGAGAATAGGTATTTCCACCTAAAACAGCTTTACGAAACTGATCAGTATTTACATCACTACATTAATTCTCCGAGATGAAAACAGTATTTTTGAATAATGATGGAGTGCAGATCACATGATTTCTGTGGCTGTTCAAAGATTTCTAGTGCACCGTTAAAACACCAGTTACAATGTGTTAAGCATCCATGATCTGGAACAAACTGAGCGGCATATAGCTGGGTATTTTTAGAGCCTGAGGGATTTTAAATTGAATAAATACTATCTCCATTCCCCACATTACCCAATCATTAACCACTCCCTGCCAGGGATTACGGACCTGGACACGTATGCTTTATATGCATGGCCGGGGTCCCCAAGCTTGGACAAAGGGAACAGGGCCTTGATACAAAAGACCGTACTCGGAACAAACGACCAGGCTGCTGGGAATTACCGACATTTTTTCACTCTCAAAAGTGGAGATAATCCAGCCTTGTTTTGAATAATGATGGAGTGAAGATCACATGATTTCTGTGGCTGTTCAAAGAATTCTAGTGCACTTTTAAAATACCAGTTACAATGTGTTAAGCATCCATGATCTGGAACAAACTGAGCGGAATATAACTGGGTATTTTTTAGAGATTTTGGGATTTTAAATTGAATAAATACTATCTCAATTCCCCACATAACCCAATCATTAACCACTCCCTGCCGGGGATTCCAGATCCGGACACGTATGCTTTATATGCGTGGCTGGGGTCTCTGAACTCGGACAAAGGGAACAGGGCCTTGTAACAAAAGACCAGTCTGCTGGGAATTACCGACATTTTTTCACTCTCAAAAGTGGAGATAATCCAGCCTTGTTTTGAAACAGAGCATTTGGGGCATTTAGAGCGAGTGGATTACCACTAAGGACAAAAGCGCTCCACCACCGCAGCGATGAGCCACACAGCACCGCTGCATGCTAATCTGGCCCCTATTGAAAAGAGGTCAGCAGCACACTGAGCCAGGTTTGTGAACAAAAGAAAGTTATATAATACTGCCCATTCTGGGCTCTTTTTACAAGGCTGCAGGCCTGGCTGAAATACTCAGGCGTCAACAGATTTTGTCTGTCAGGCTAAAGTGGACACCAGACAGTCCTTCATGTGTTTGTAAGTGTCCAGTAAATGAAGATAGGAATTTTTAAAGAATTTTGAGAACAGAAAAAAATGATAAATATCCCAACCCAGCATCATCAACATTGATACTGCCCCGGCAGGGAGTGGTTAATATACTTATTTATCAAGATAAGGCACTTTTCTGGCAGAAGGTCTGAGTAACATAAAAGGACATGATTGATGCAATGTCAAGGTGGTAACATTCCAGCAATCTAGCCTAGCTGTGATATCCGACGCCTACCTCATGCACCCACAGTCTCTTCATGACGGCCGGCGTCTCACAGTAGTCCGGCACCGACAGCAAGACACCCTGGATGACGCGGGCAAAGTCCCGCAGGTTGAAAAGGTAGTGGGACTTGGCCGGGGTGGGCAACAGGTTAGCCATTGTGGCCTTGTAGACCTGGGTGGTGGCCCCCACCAGCTGGTTGCCCACCGCCTCAAACTCCTTGGCAAAACCCCTGCAAAGGAAAGAAGGGAGTCAGTGACATGGACTAAATTGGTCCTCGCAAAATTCCATGAGTTTTCCACGACCCTTGTCATCTTTTAAGAATTTCAACTCTTCTCTAAATTGGAAATGGAAAATAAAATTTGTAAGGTCTTTTTCTACGTTGCAGGAAAGATTTTACCAAGAGGGAAAATCCTTGACAAAACCCTTTTTATGATCAAACGAGGCAGGTATACTGCTGATGTCACACTGTGTTTACATAGGTGATGACGATAGATTCCAAGCTTGATAGGAAAGCACGTGTGCTCTTTACTGACAAAACTTGGATATTTCATACTTTGTGGTAATGTGCCAGTTAAGGATGCGCTTGAAGATGGTCTCCATGGTCTCATCGTCGAACTCGTTGATGGTGATGGTGTTGAAGTGGCGCAGGAAGCGGGGCGTGACAATGTTGCGGCCTCCGCCCGGTGGGCCCATAGCCGCCATCAGCTGAATATCGGTCAGCCTCATGGCGGCGCAGTCCTTAAGGTCGTACCAGTTCCAGTGGTCCAGCCACTGCCGCAGCAGCTCGATGGGAGGCTGGGCACCATACTCCTCCCGTGCCGGCATGTTTAGGTCATCTACAAACACGACCTAGCATGGCACGAGTAAAAACAATCTCAGCATGTAAATAAATACTGACTGCTTGGAATGGTAGAGTGTAAAAATGTTGACAGCTTCAAGTGGTACAGTATACAAATATAAACTGCTTCTGGTGGTATAGTATACACTGCTCAATTGGTATCGTATACAAACATTGACTGCTTCAAGTGGTATAGTATACAAATATTGACTGCTTCAAGTGGTACAGTATACAAATATTGACTGCTTCAAGTGGTATAGTATACAAATATTGACTGCTTCAAGTGGTATAGTATACAAATATTGACGGCTTCAAGTGGTACAATATACAAATATTGACTGCTTCAAGTGGTATAGTATACAAATATTGACGGCTTCAAGTGGTATAGTATACAAATATTGACTGCTTGGAGTGGTATAGAATACAAATATTGACTGCTTCGAGTGGTAGAGTACACAAATATTGACTGCTTGGAGTGGTATAGAATACAAATACTGACTGCTTCAAGTGGTATAGTATACAAATATTGACTCCTTCGAGTGGTAAAACAAATATTGACTGCTTGGAGTGGTATAGAATACAAATATTGACTGCTTTGAGTGGTAGCATACACAAATATTTACTGCTTGGAGTGGTATAGAATACAAATACTGACTGCTTCAAGTGGTATAGTATATAAATTTTGACTGCTTCGAGTGGTAAAACAAATATTGACTGCTTCCAGTGGTGTAGTAAAACTAGCCTCTCGAGGTGATCCAAGGAGCAGTCTATTTTCCCAAGGCAAACCATGAGGTAAAAGCAGTCAATATGTATTTTATAACAACTCTTCCACTGATTCTGTTTAAGTTAAATGATAACAGATTAATTTGATCTGAACACATATAAACAGTACATTTAATTCAATAAGACATTTGTTGTAAATCTACCAGCAGATATCAAAACTAATCTCTTCATGAAATGTTTGAACCCAGCTACAGGCTTGCACAACAGTATGCATGCAACGTGCAAATCAGTGCATGCATGTATTTACACAACATACTAGTGATCATGTGTAGAGTTCTTTAGTGGCTTCAGGTATATATCTTTCGGCAGTGAAAAGCAAGATAGCAAATAACAGCACATGCCATGTGACTGGTTCTCAGCCAATCAAGACACAGAATCTGTGGGTGAGGTGCTATGATATAAATTTGCCTCACATGACTCAGTATATTTTCCCCGCACAGGTCACAACAAATGTGCTACTCCAAGCTGAAAAAAATGTAGTTTTTTTTCCATTTAACTAGGCTTACAGTTTTCTTGCCGAACGGTGGTCCAAACACTCCCTTGCGTCTCTTGTCCAGCTTGGACATGATGATGTTCTGTGTCTGGTTGGCGCTGGTCTGGGCAGAGAAGTTGATGATAATGGGCTTGTAAACCTCCTTGTCCAGCTTGTTCAGGATGAAATCCTAAAGAAAGAAGACACAAATGTTGGCCATTCATTGACTGTAAATGCATCAGGGAGCATGTGCTCTGACTAAACGGCGTTCTGTGCATCAATGTCAGCATTTACACACACAAAAAACATTTTTATGAAAATTAATTTTTGACATCAAAAAGAAATGGAGCAAAGGAAAGAAGAAAAAAAATAGACACTTCAACATGAACATTGAAAATGTTTCTTTTCAAATAAAATGGTGCCCACACATTCAGAGCACAGCATTAAATGCAAAAACGATTGTGGAGACAACAGATTATCATTATAAGTTTTCCTGTTTCAACCAGGTTTTTATTAGGTGGCTAGGCTTTTCTTTTGAAATGGGCAAAACATCTCAGGCTTTTTCTTATCTTATTCAATTATACGAAATGCCTAAACTACATGTATCTGGGAAGTTTGAACCTGTGATCTTCAAATCTAAAGGAACCCACCTACCCCTGTAACAAAAAGCAAACAAAAATTGAGGTCAAATAGTTGAAAAAATGGTTGAAAGAAGCCCCTCGTAAGCAATGCACAGAGTTCTTTGGTACCAGCAATTAGTGAATGTATTGGCATAAATCTGGGAACAATCAGTGGAAGTAATGCGTTTCTTATGGTTTGAGTGGGACTATCCACTCTGAGATGAAGTGCACCCTCACTGGTGAAAGTAAGACTGGTATGAATTCAAAGTTTTCCAACCAGATTCTTGCACACATTTGGTGTGCACGCGAAGACCATACATTCGAGAATTAATTCAGTGCAGGTACTCAGAGTACCCCCACGCCAAACGAGCATGAACTTGCACGCCTATGCGTACATTCATACGAACGGATGTCAGTTTAACTTAAAAACACGCCCTCTTTTGTTCCTGCTCTAAGTGGATTATGGACTTGCAAATATCTTCAATGCTGACGCCATAGGGTCTGTTCTTTTGATGTAACAGTCATATTTTTCCTACAAGTTGCTGCTAAAACTATGGTTGGCCATCAATACCAAAGTAAAAGAATAATTCGTGAAGTATTAAAAATCCCAGGCAGCGATCAGAACACCGGTTACTACTAAAATGAAAATACAAGTTTACTTAAAGTTAACGGGACAAATGTCCATTTGATGAATTTGAAGTATTGTTGAAAACCAACCAAATGGCGATATTTCTGTAAACTTTGGCCACCCATACAAGTTGTAGGCATAATGAAGGTGGTCTACAAGAGACTGTGATTACATACATGGATATGGACCTAACTGATCTGTGGCACTCACCGTGACATAGACAGACTTGCCGGTGCCCGTTGGACCCACAAACAGGCAGGGTTTCTGGTGGGTGATCAGCATTTTCATGAGTGCTGTGGCACGCACCGTCTCGATGGTGGGCACGATGATCTTATTGGCCACGGCATCCTTGGGGATGGGCGGGGCATCCTTGATCTCTTCCACCCAACGCTCCCACCGACCGATTCCCTGTTAACCGAAGACAGTCAGAAATTGATTAAATCATTTGTTAAACAAGTCACCCCACTAAAGAAAAGTAAAGAATTCTTTTTAAGTTGGTAAGTAGTGGCTAAAACTAACTCTTTATTTGCTCTGACTCAAGTGCTCCCTCACTGACAATGAAAAGAGAGGTTGGTGGGGATCGTTTGATCTGGACACCCACTGACCACACAAATGTCATACATTTCAACAGAAATTCATGACATGGTGAGTTCCCTGCCAAAAGACTGATGTTGCTATGTAGAGAAACGCTTTGTTACTTTAGGGTGATCTTGCGAGGAGTTGTTTGCAGCTCCTCTCTCTTTCATATCTTTTACAATTCATTATTAGGTAGTCAGTTGTTAACTCTATGGTTCTCATTTCCAGCCGACTCTTATTTCTGTCTCCAACTGAGGCGGAACAAACTTTTTTTTTATGCTGCCGACCCTGTCTGGAATTTTATACCCAGAAAAAAAATAAATAAAACGAGATAATCTTCAGAAGTTCCAGGGATCATGAAGTAAAATTTTTACCTCCTTTTTCTTCTCCCAGCTGACTAACACTCCCTCGAGGTAAACAGGGCAAGAACTAAAAAAATTAACTAGGGATGCCCTTATGTCTTTGTAATTTGATTTTGTACTGCTTGTTTTTTAATTTATTTTATTCCCAAATTGACCCTTTAAAGTCCATTTTAGGGTATTAAACAGTATTGCAGAATTGAGAAAATTATTATCTCACAGCAGGCTTGAGGTCCCATAAAAGTTGGTTGTTGATTTCTGGCACTGAGAAAGATTTCAGAGGAGTCTTTTCAACATGGCTCCTAGCAACAAATGTTAAAGAAGATATTGTATGTGGTTTCATCATCACGTTGAACAATTGAATCGAAGGGATCTCCACACCTCTTTGATGAAGAAGTAATCGTACACGTTGCCCTCTTTGGGGATGGGTACAGTGAAGTTCTTGAGGGGCGGGTCCACAAACTGGATGATGTGGAACTTGCTACGCGATTCCTCTGACAGACCGCCTTCCATGATCTCCCGGAAGAGAAGGTCAAACTTCTTGCGTCCGTCTCCGCCCACGGTGGCTCCGATGGACCAGACAAACGAGAAGAGGAAGATGCCCTGGAAAGTGTTAAAGATCAGCGTAACTGTTATCGACTATTCCCCACTCCAAGAAAACATAGTGGCTATAGTTATGGCAGCCAAATAACATGATTGACAAATTCTGCAGCTACGACAATGCACATTATTCGTTGCCAATCTATATAGGGTATGGAACTTTGCTCACGTAGTGAGTACGTGCATAAAATGTGGCCCATTCTCCTAGAGTGACATTAGACTCACCAGAAGTAAAGTTTGCTGCTGCATTACATTAATTAAACCAAATCAACTAATCAGGATTAGTGAATCTGACTGACCTCAATCCACGAGATGATCTCCCTCTCATCCATCTTGCTGACAGCAGCCTCGTCATGAAACTCGTCCATCAAGCTGTCCATCAGATTCATCAGGGACTTCACCATGTTGGTGTCATTGGTCGGAGACAGTTCCTGAAATTACAGAAGCAGAAAAAGTTGCAAAAAATCCTTCCATTTCTCATGATGAGCATAAAAATGGATAGATATGCATGTACATATATGTCAGTGCAAGGGTAAAACCAACCATGAAATTGATCGTCCAAAGCAATATTACATTAGTTTTGAAAAAACTGCAATCTATCTGGCAAATATTTCACACATGCCAAGCTGTAATGTGACCGGATCTGACAAAATGATACTTAAGACTGTTCTTTTTCCATAGTATTATTTCCATTTGCATATCCAAGAGATTTCAAACTGAGCACTTTGTTTTGATGTATCTCTCATTTCGGCATCCTCGTGAGAATGAAATCAAGTGGGTTGGAAAATGGTAGGGGCTCTGATGCACATGTATTCTATTATGGAAGTTTCTTTTCAGGGTATCTGAACTCAGACGTGGATGGTTTTTACCCTCTATACTCAATTTGTTAGACTAGGTCACAAGTGCAGATGGAATGATGCAGCATAGTTTCTCCACTACAGAACACTACTCTATCTAAACAACAGTATTTAGTCTTTGCATGTTGCCACCACAGGCAGGCAGAGCCTTGATCGGGCAGCTTGTACACGTCAGAATCACGTCAATGCAGCTTTTTGAAATTCTGTCCAATCCCATGGTATAAGAACTAAAGCAGCACACGCAAAATTACCATTCACAACATACACAGGAATCACTAAACCAGCTATGTAATGTGTAAAGCTGCCAGATGGAAAGCTGCATACCTATGGCGGTAGCGTGCAAAGAGCGAATAGTCAAAAACCTCATTACAGAACAGCAACATTATGGGCGCATGAAAAGGTGCACCTTCCCCAATGTGTCTTTTACCTTCACTCCACTCTTACGGACAAACTCCAGCGAGGCAGGCAGAAGGCGGTCGAACATGTCCGATATGAGCTTCTTGTGATTCTCGGTCAGAGCAGAGGGCATGGTGTTGAGCCAGGAAACCATGAGGGGGCGCCAGCCTAACATGTGAGGCTCCATGTAGATCATACCACAACGAGACACCTGTACCACATATTATACAAAGAGACATATATTTTTACAGAAGAAGACTACACATTTTGCTTTGCTTGAACAAGGCAATGGGGTCATCACTGAAGGTTGCTTTTCTGTTTTTTTCTCTGTCTCCAATCACATGTTCTCTTTCTGCAACAAGTCTTCTCATGTGAGGGCAGCCTTCTTGCTAAATTGGTGGGTAAGAAAATTAAGGGAGTTTTGCCAAGTGGTTGGGATTCATGACTTGCATCTGGAAAGTTTGCACTGAGGAAATCCATATTCGAGCCTCATGCAGTGAGTGTAATTCGATGATGGTACTCGCTGGTGAGCAGCCTGCAATGGACTGGCTCCCAATCCAGAAAGGAACAGAAATATTGTTACACGTGGAAAGGCTTGCGGTAGCACCATGCGAAGGAATGTATCTCAGAATGTTCAGAAAAGAACCGGGACGGCACGTAACCACACATACTCAAAAGAGATATATTCCTTCGCATGGTACTACTGCAAGCCTTTCCACCTATTGCTGTCTTTCACCATAAATAGCCTGAAATTCCATCAGAAATATTGTCTATAAGCCAACTTGGGGAGTTGGGAACAGCAGGTTAACACTACTGAGCAGGGTTTTTTCGAATCTTGGCTTCGACTCAGGTTCAGCTTTGAGCTTCTTTTTTATGAGACTCTGAGATCTGTTGGCTTATTCAAGTCAATGTAGCTCCATCAAGCTGTCAAAAGGATGACAAGGGTTTAGAGTTTAGACAGTTCAGCCCGAGATGAACCTGAAGCCAAAGACAAAGTCCAGATTTGAAAAACTGCTCCAGCAAAGCTAATTTCCTTTTGGGGCAGGTTTTACTGTTTCACAAACCCAACCATGGAAAGAAGAAATGACTATGGCTGCATATGTGCAGACACTCACAGTAGCTGGGGAGGCCACCTCCAAGTCCATGGGTTCAAAGATGAGGTTGGTTGTTGGTGCTAGCTGGATGATTTCTCCACTCATGAGGCAGAGCTTCTTGTTGTCATCCAGCACAGTGTTCATGTTCTCAATCCAGATTGCATCCACGGGACCATCAAAAATCAGCCACTTTCGGTCGGGGGTCTGCAAACAGAGTTTTTATAGAAGTGCTGTTATTTTCTACGAATAAGAACAAAAAACCCCTTTTTCCATTTCGTCAGATTCACAGGTAAAAATACCCAAACAAACCAAGAAAAGCACCAAAACTCTCTTTTTCCCACTCTAGTAAAACAATATATTTTTGAATCTTATACGGCACAACTCACCGTAGACGAAGCAAAGGCTCTGTAACTGACTGCCAAGATGCCATCCGACCACTCGTGAGACACTGGGTCAAACTGACCGTACAGCTGACCCATGGTGATGGACTTGGGGTTGATGACTGTTATCTGCACCTTGTTCTCCTCCATTAGACCCTGTAAGAAAGACAGTAACAGTGAAACAATGAGACCGAGTGGTAGCATGCAAATCACTGAATCAAAAGGTTTTCAACAACCCCTTTCAACCCTACAGCTGTTCTACAGTCAAGCCCATCAAAGGTGGTTTCACAAATCAGTCGCAAGTCCTCTCGCAAGACCAGTTGCAAGTAACAGCTTGTTCTAGCTCATTCGAGCTGTGAATTGGCTTAAAGACTGGATGACGTGATGATCTCATGATGGACTTGTGCAGAACTGTGATGGACTCAGGTCCCACGTAACTATGTGCGCGCATGCATGACGCCACATGTTGCTGGAACATGCAGTGTGGCACCGGTGAGCAACACATTAATTACCAGTCCTCTGCTGCTCAACTTGTAACAACAGTTTTTCTTCCTGTTCAGTTGGACTTATCTGGTCTATAAATGTTCCCCTACAATATTCAATTACTAAGTGCATTTCAGATTTTGCGGGTCACAATAAAGACCTGCTTGTTTGAAGCTGATCTCTATCACGATCAGCGATCTGACGTTGGTTCACTGGCACAAGACCCTACCTAATCAGTAAAGTGAAAAAGCTTTGGAATCACTGATCACTTGTGAGACAAACAGGCCCATTGTTAAATTACGGACTGAGAGCAAACTGATCTGCTATAAACTGACCCGACCTATGATAGGGTTGTCAGAGTTTTGCTGACTTCACTGCTAGATGAGGGTGGAATTTTGTGTAAAACATCCCATCTTGACAATTTACCTTTTCAGCGATGTCCCCAAGCGCTTTGGCCAGTACACGGTAGGCAGACGTCTTGCCACCAAATGGCTCACCAACAATCATGAAGCCGTGACGGACAATCATCATTTCATACACCTAAAGAACACACACCACAAGAACACTGAGTATCTGTGAATCTCTAATTGAGGAAGACAGCTTTCAGGTTGAGGATAGACTTTGCAACTCCCCTGAGAAAAGTTTTGTGAAAGATCTAAAGTAATCAGAAGAATAAATCTTCGGCTTTAAGGCAGGAGAGACATCACTTCTCATTTAGAAGGCAACTGTTTGGTCATCTCGGCTATGCATCAAACAAAGTGCCAAAACTGCAATCATCTTAAAGTATTCAGAATACATTGACAGCTTTGAGGCACGAAGGACGGCAGTACTAATCTGGAAGGCAACATCTGAGCTATGCAGGAAACAAAGTGCCAACACCTCACTTGCAGCTTACAACATCCATGCAATGACAGAAACAGACAGTGTGGATCTTCATTCAGTAGCAAACAATTATTAAAAACTCAACAAATCAACAAACATTCAGTGTACAGACTCATGCAATGAGACGTTTAGTTTTATAAAAGCTGGTTAGAGGGTCTTCCAGAAGCTCAGATTCCAAAATTGTTATTTGTGAATATGCCCTACGATCTATTCGGGGGCGATGGTGGTGAACGGACCTGTTGGATCTTATCCAGGAAGACGTCTGTCATCTGCAGGTTCATCTTCTCGCAGTTCTCCTGTACTGCTTCAGTCAGGATGGCATAGTCTGGCTTGGGCAGTACCACACCAGGGAACAGATCAGAGGTAATACCCTGTCGTGATAACAGAAAATCGAGACAAGATCAGTTGGCAACTCACAGTCTTTACCGAGGTTATGCATAATGATAATAAATTTGGGGGAGAACAAAATACTGTTGACTACGAAAGATAACACTGTGAGTATCTACAAGGAGAAAAATGGGCACATTGGTCTGATAGGTACCGACTACTCCACAATCAAAATTCTACTAAAAAACACCACATATCTCTCAACATATTGTGCAATTGTCAAAAATTAACAAAGACAACAGCCTGGTAAACTTTGTTAAGAACAAAGTGGGTAAAGAAATGTGACGGATGATCATGGACTTACGGCGAAGAGAGGAAGATCGTGGGACAAGAACTTGGGCAGGTTGACATCGTTGATGGAACGCAACATCAAAATGTCCTCATCCTCATCAGGATATTTTAACTACCAGAAGGAAGAAGAAAGATGTTCAGTACAATCTCTCCTACACTAACCTGCAGGAAAGACTTTGCAAAAAGATGGTCAAGAGTCCTGTGTAGAACTATTGCACAAGTGTTTGAATACAAAATGTAAATTAATGTTACATGGATAAAGAGCTGGTCATTTGATTTGCAGTAATTCACCAGAGCATTCATAAGAGCAGTCACAAATAACAAGGTGAACAATGACAAAGGAAATATTGTGCTGCACTTGTTTGAGTAGCTTAAGACTTGAATTCTGACTGGAGATCTTGTGACAGTCCAAAGAGGTCTCAACTTGACCACTGACCTTCAAGTTGCCGGCAGCGGTCAACACAGACTTGACGGCCCTCATGCCGTAGTCGTAGTGGTGCTGGGATGACAGCTGCTCCGAGCACAGCCGGTAGGTCGCCACAATCTTGACTGATAGGGGACGGGCCTTGACGAAACCGCAGGAGTAAAGCACAATCTCCGCGATCATGGCATAGTCGGGAACCATCATGGCCACGGTACGAAACAGGGCCTAAGGGAATGCGGAAACCAGATGTGTTTGGTCAGTTGGTTTGCTTCAGGGGAATACAGCACTTAATGTGAAAACATTCAAACTGCTTTAAAGTGAAGTCCTTGTGAGTCCTATCATTGGCAATTTGAGTAGGAGAGTTGGTAATATTAAAAGATGTACTGCTTGACATGAGCGTACTTCTGAATCTGTTTGTATCTTAAACTTTTCTCACAGTTTTTCGAAGCTTACAGTTCATTTTTAAACTTCCTTCTGTAGTGAGGCTTTAATACCTTTATAGAAAGCCAAAGATTTGTTTCAAATTCTTAAAGTTCTGAGGCAACCATATCATGCTCTTCTCAACAGAGCACACTAGGTTAGATTAAGTACTGGATAAACCAATTAATACCTTGAGGTTGTCAGGGAGTTCAGATCTGCCGGCATAGCCTGGGTTCATGGTGATGAATACCGAGCAGGTCGGGTCAAGTTTGATCTCCGTTCCCTCAAACAACAGGGTGCTGGCTCCAGAGTTAATGCCTGTAATGGGGGGAAACACAATTAGAGCACTGTTGGCAGAAATCGAAATCAGTGAGTCACGCATAAAAAAATGCACCCATCTGGCAAAGTGCACTCTGTCGCCAGTGACTTTCGTGGCTACTGAGTAGCACATGTCAAATATTAAACCTAGTCGTATGCATGAGAAATATCTGTTGTGTATGTATGCATAATGCAGGAGCTTGTTACACAGGTCAGTCAACTGTGGCAGTGTAACTACCCTTTGGGAGACTAGTATGAGAATTTCAATTTCTTTTTTACCCTCACTTTTTTGGGGGGGAAATGGTGTATGTATAACTGACGGTCTCCATCGTGACTGCATGCACACATTACCCTGGCCGCTGCCAACATTAAAATAGACTGGGCCCCGCACTTTCTACCTGTTTAAAAGCATTTTAAGCTTGTACATGTACACAGGACTTGAGACCACCTCATTTGTCTGGTTCCCAAATGTAAATGTAGAATACAGAAATGACATCATCTGACAGAGTGTCCGACTAAATGTATAGGGAACTAAAGGAACTCCTTTACTGTACATATCACTCAACTGTAGCCCATCTAAAACAGGTTAAAATTACACAGTAGCACGATTCCAGTCAATCAAGCAAGTTTGGCAGCTTTTGGACATCATTTTATACCAAATAAAAAATTTATTTTGCTAACCTGCAGGTCTACAGCCGAGGCGTGCGCCGACCAGAAACCGGATACTTTTTTATTTCGGTCAAAACAAAGAAGTCTGCCCGTCAGTAAACCTCAGTGTACATGTACAATTATTTCCACATGACTACACCCAAAGTTGAAATGAACAGCGCCCACTGGTCAAAGAACAGGGCCCTCTGAGCTTTTGAAATAATCTAACCAAGACTTTACAACCAGTGCAAACGTCTGTCTTTAACATATTATGACATTCACTGGCAAGTGTGCTACCTCTCTGAATGGTTAGGATCTGCTGGGCCACCACAGACAACACCTCCAAGTCGATGCGGTTGAACTCGTCGAAGCAGGACCAGGCCCCGCAGGAGGCCAGGCCCTTGAAGAACTTGCCCAGGGCCAGGTAGTCCAGGCCGTCCGAGCAGTTGAAGACCACGCACTGCTTGGCCACTGCCTTGGCCAAATCCTTGGTGGTCTCTGTCTTGCCGGTGCCGGCTGGGCCCTCAGGGGCCCCTCCCAGGTGGAGGTGGAGGGCTCCAAACAGGGTTCTACCGGGAATGTAGAAATTCGTAATTGCAACAGGCTTCACTTGTTGCGTATAAAACTGCAATACTTGCAAGTAAAAAAATCATCTTCGCCTTTCACAACAATTTATCCTGCATTTCTAGTTTAATAACTTTCCTACAATGTTTAACAGATGTAGGGCCAAAAATGTTTTCAGACCAGCATTTTTCCTAGTTTCTGCAGGATATCTCTTGATTTTGCCGGATAGAATTATCAAACGATGTCCCTTTAAACTTGGTACGGCAGCTTTTACCTTGATATGGTTTACTGAAGTCAAATCGTATCAGAAAATTGAGAGTTGAGTTACACAGCTCAGTAATGAGCCAGTTCGGTATTCTAACAGCGAATGCTATTTGGGAACAGCTACGTGCGCGTGCAATAGTCTGTCCTGTGCAGCCATACGCTGACTCATGCGCACACTTTGTTCCCGAAAGACCCTGGGTTTTAGGAATGCCAAACTCACTCATTAGTTCAGTAATAATGGTCAATCCTGATCCTTCAAGATGGTACTTAAGGTATCTCTAGCATCGCTGCAAACCCTCCACTACAAAGGTTTAGATAATCATGAGACTTACCTGTAGCATCTGTCAGTAAGTGGTGTGATGACAAGACGGCCGGAATTACCCAGATACTCGTAGCCGTAGGCCAGCATGGAGTTGATCATGCGCGTCAGCATCTGATCCTCCACCCAGTAGTAGCGTAGCTGGCTCAGCCAGCGGAAGTCATTCTCGCTGCTGACCTGGTCCTGCACCAGCTGGGCCAGCACGTCCCGGGCGTGCACGTCCAACACCACCAGCGCCCCCAGGGTGGTGCGGTTCTGCTTGTTAAGCTTGCCGCGCACCAGCTCCACGATGTCGTCGATCTGGCTGTTGTTGAGCTGCAGGTAGGCCTCCAGGTCCTTCTGGCCTGACCGGATGGCCTTGTGGATCTCGTCCGTCCAGTACTTCTGGGAGATGCAGAGCACAGCCTGGCCGGGCCACTCAATGACCCACTTGATACGCTCCCGCTTGGCGTAGGCCTCCATGCACTCCTTGATAACCTGTTCAGGTGTTGGCAGTAAAAATGATCATTAGTGAGATGCTAACCATGTTGTCAAATACAAGGCTTATGGAAGAAATATACATTCGTTTAATCATAAAAAATGTTGACTTGTGTACTGCAGGGTTTAAAAGCAGTCATTTAATCAATAGGCAAAAGTTTCCTGTCTTTCAATACTTTCAGAAAACTGCCAAATGTCAAGGTACAGTTTAGTAATTTTATAACATACGGTCTGAACAACTTTTCCTAACCACAGTAATTGTACTGGATTCTGTACAGTGTATGATGCCCAATCAAAGATTGCTTGCCATCAATATTCATCAACCCTGTGCAGATTTCCATTGAAAGTCACATAATCCTCATTCAAAGTATATTATCTGCTTTATACACAGAAAAATGCAAACATTATAAGAACAGCATTCCAAAAATTTGACTCCAATAGATAAAGGGAAACAGGCCACGACTGAATTTCTTGGCTGAGGCTGAAGATAACACATGTCTATTGAAGCCTACGGCTAGTGGCTTCATGCATTTCCCACAGACGCATGTGATATCACTTAGCCACAGCCTAGTTATTTGGATGCGGTCAGCGCCTACCTTGTGCAGGCTCTTGATCATGAGGCCCTCCAGTTCCAGAAGCCACTTCTCCACCTGGCCCCGGGCCTTGGAGGTGGAGATGGGCTCATTCAGCTGCACCACCTCCCCCTCGCTGCTCTTCATGTGGGTGATGTCCAGAATATCGGTGAACTCCAGCGAGGCGATGCCCTCGAAGCACTTCTTGAGGTGGGGCTGGACCCGGGTGGGGTCCTTGGTCTCTGACAGGATTTCCAGCAGCTCATCGTTGGACAGGAAGAAAAAGCGGGGGAAGTAGAGCCGCTTCTTCTCCAGGTAGTCGTTCAGGCCCTGCAGACGAGAGGAAAGGTTAAAGGTCATAGGTGAAGAATGGTCAGTGGGTAGCTATCATAATCATTCTAAGTGCTGTAGTTGAGTACTCAACAGAACACCTGCATAACAAGCAATCCTAAGTCTTTTGAGTACATAAGCCACAAATTAATCAAGTTCCTTTGTTACAGTCCAACCACTCTTAGATGGGTACAGGACTTTGGGCAAACCTTTGTGAAAAGTGATGAAAATTAACTGTGCAGTATTTTTGAATTACCCTACTACAATACCGTTTTCATCAGTGCTGTATTGACCAGTGGCCAGATTGTAATTTGGTTGAAAGAGCACATCTGTACCTTTTGGATGAGCTCCAGCAGCTCGTTAGACTTTTTCAGCCTCTCCAGAATCTTCTCAATGTCGGTGACGGCCAGCACATGCTTGTCCTGACAAGCAGCAACACAGAAAATTTGTTGATTATTGAAGAATCATCCTCCCTAAACCACTTATTCACAGATGAATACATATCATCCTATCCAGCAGAAAGGTGGTTCCCAAAATGAAATATCAAATATATGTTAGACATTTTACCAACAGTATCTTCTGCATCTTTTCAAGCAGAGGTAAAGGCTGTCAGACACTTTGATGTGACAACAGAGTAGCGTACACTTTAATACCCGTTTTGTCTAAGCACACAAATGCACTGAGGGTTGGTTCTCAACAAAATTTGATTAAACATGGGGCTTAAACAAATGAGAACTGACTCCAAAGGCTGGCATCAACCTGGCAAGTGATAAAGGTGCAAGGAGACCACGCTTACCACTACCGCCGCTTTCATGATGTCCCTCCAATTCTTGTCGACGGTGGAGAAGCGGCGGCCCTCCTCGGGCATCTGCGCCATGATGTCCGGCGAGCTGAAGATGGGCTCCAGGTAGAGCCAGGTGGCCTGCACCTTCAGCCACTCATCCAGGATCTCCTGCAGGAGCAGGAGCTTACCCTCCCAGGCCCTGGGCGAATGGAAGGATAATGAGGATTTTTACATCCTAATCGAAAGGGGAAAACGACTCAGTTGGAGGTTTAGGGGCAAAACTGGAGGATGACCAGACACCCAGGGATCAGCCAGCAGAAGATTTTTAACACCAACAATGAAATATTATAATTTTTCACGGCTTTTAATAGCCAAATGCTATGATAGTGTGAATCTCGCACTCAGATTTTTTTGGCAACAACAGCAAAAAAGCTAGCAAAACCTACAAACAGTCCATAAAAGGAGGTCAAAAATCCTACCATCCTGAGAGACCACACGCCTGGAATTTTGTTTTGACGTAATTAAAAGCAAGTGCCCTAAGCTTTAAAAATCAAACATAGCCATAAATACTCTATAATTAAAAAAATACCCTAATTGTTACTGGCCATAATGATGGATAAAATCTGTGATGATCTGAGTTTGTTGAGACAGGGAAGCAAACAGTTACTTGTCTCAAAGTATCAAATAATCAGTTGGTTTTTGTTTCAAAATACATTTTCAGATGTTTTCCTTTTCATCAAATCTTTTATTGCATGCTGTAATCAATCTCAAGTAATTTGCATTTTTCCCTGAGACCAAAATGCCTGATCTGCATAACGTCCCTCACATTTACATATTTCACAGAAAAAAATGGCAGAGCTGATGGAATTCTTCAACCTGAGGAACTGTCCGATTCACAGAGTTAAGACAGGGCGGGCAAATCACACAAGGTGGGAAACCAGCATTGCTGAATTCTCAGCCTCTGACCCCCTCCCTCCATAACAAACACGGCTTGCTGTGCTTACTTGATCTCATTTTCAAAGGGCTTGATGAACGGGGAGCCTCTCATGGTCTGGGTTTTGACGATCTGGTCGTCCAACAGGACCTGGATGTCGTCCACCGAAGACAGGATCATCGTGCCAGTCTCACGGTATGGAATCATGACAAACTCCATCTGCCGATCAAAGATAGAGTAAGAAATCAGAAAATGGAAGCGACCCTACTTTTGTTTATATTCAAAGTCCAAGATTCTTGGCAGAAAAAGATAGCTTTGGCCCTTAACTTGCTTAGGGAAAACAAACTCCAAAATGCTGTACACAGAACATAGACACAGTTCTGAGGATAAAGTTAACAGTATATTGAGCGGATCCAAAGAATAGGGACCATATGCACAGCAAATGGACAAAGTCCTCAGAATGTGAAAATTGTCCACAGAAAACAGACAAATCCACAGAATATGGACCGACTCCACAGAATACGGAGCAGGTGCACAGAATATAGACACAGTCAACAGAATGTAAACAAAGACCACAGAAATGAGGGCATAGTGCAGTTGATGAGTCCAGAGTCAACAGATTATGGACAGAGTCTGCAGAACTGGGATTGGTGCTGTGCAGGATCATCAGACTCACCGCGTCCCACTCCGACACCATCTTCTCCATGGCCTTCTCCAGTGAGTACTCCTTGCTGGCCGACTCACTGATGCTGTCAAACTTGGCCAGGAAAGGCTCCAGATTCATGTCGATCATCTTGGACAGGGTGGTGTCCTGAAACCAAGCCAAGACAACATGAAAATAAAAATGAGTTTGCTTCAAAAAATGACAAAAACCACGTTAGCCCCTTCTGAAGAGAGGGCAGAGAATCTGACTGGATTCCATGTCCAAATTTCAGCAGGTAAACTTTCTTTCTCTACCTTCTGACTACAGATGATATCCCTAGTGGAATATACCATTTCTTTCTTGCTCAGCATGCAATCAGCTCAATCTCCTAATCAGGTATGAATGATTACCTGAAAGACTGTGACCACTCGCAATGGGCTAGTAAGCGGTTCCTATTGCTCAACCTGGATTAAACTCTCAAAACGGCTGGGAATTATTAGGCAGTTATTCTGCAGAACTCTTACCTCGTCTGGCTTCAAGGGGAAACCGACAATGTCCGACATGGCTTCCCAGTGACGGTCCCTAAGTCCCGGGTTGCAGAGGGCAGAGACCAGCGGGATGTAGTCCTTGAAGGTCTCCACTTTGTCCTTCATGCGACTGGCTATCTTCTGGGCCGTGGCCACGTCGCCGAAGGTCTTCTCCAGCTTGTACAGGGTGCGCCAGTAGTTGCCCACGTCCTGATCCACTTTGTCCGGGTCCACCTCGTGCATGGCCCCTTCCATCCATTGTCTTAATGATTGAAGCAATAAAGAAAGGAACTGATATTACTGATGTGACAATGTCAATTAATGTCACTGATAACATCCTGCTCAATAGATAACTATGATAACATTAGGCATGGCCCCTTCTATCGTTGGTCTACAAGACGCAAATGATGAAGAAAGGGAAAAAATCATCAATATCATCCTGCTCAATAGGTTATTTAAGGTCTTAAAGATGAAAACAAGATTCTATTTTGTAGAGAAAAGCTCCAGTTTTGTTGTAGTTGAAAAATGTTGGTCTACGAATTAACATGTACCCTGCATGCCCTGTGGACGTTAAAGGGTCTAATCTTTCCATCAAAACTGGATCTTTCTCAAAGGAAGAATTTATCTCACTTGAGTTTAGACTCTCTTGGGATCAAAATCTCTTCAAGCACAGATCCTCTCAAATTGAACTCTTAACAATGCTTAAGTTATAAAAAGCTGTGGAGTGAAGGGAGCCGCTGACCCACAGAACCATACAGCTTAAAACAACCCAGCTCTTCCCCCCCAAACACTCACTTGTGCCTGGTGTTGAACTCCACTGTGGTCTCGTACAGCTTGTGGTACGGCTGCAAGGTGCTCATAATGGTGTTCCGCTGTGGATAGGCCGAGGTCTGCCAACCAAAGGCCTCCTCCTCCAGATTGAAAGCCTCAATCTGCAACAAATTCCCAAAAGAGAGTTGGTCAATCGGAGTCTGGAATTGGGTCAGATGAAAATTCAGGTAGAGAATCTGCTCGTGGAAACTTGAAATATTCTGTGACTAAAAATTAACATCCAAGAACTGACGCTGCTGCGATAATGAGCTCAAGTAGAACATATAGGTAACAAAGGCGTACTGTAAAAAATACTCTATAAATAGTACTGCAATAGTTATGCATAAAGTATAACTTTCAGGGAGAAAAAACAGGCACTGAAGCTGGAATATTTCTCTCCAAGGAGTAGGACAAACTGCTGCATAATATACTTTGAGCTGAAAATGTCAATAGAGCCAATTCAGAATTTCAATAGCACATGCTCAAACTGAAGCATGTCTGAGGTCATCCGAGAATATCAATATGCATATGCGGGGTCAGCCGTATCAGCAGGCGGGTAAGCCAACTCAAACGGATGGACCATGCTCCAACTGGTGCTATGTCTTGTGCTTTATTCTCAACTGACCTTGCCTGGTTGAAACACCAAACTTGTTCACTGTCAAGGGGAGCATTTCCCGGCAAGCATTGTGGACAATGACTAACGAGAAATGAGACACTGTCTCTGTGATGTTGCAGCATTGCTAATACCCCTGGGGAAGAAAACGATGGACGAGGGGCATCATTTACCTTCTCTGTTGCTGCCTCAAGCCTGGCCAAGAGGGCCTGGGCCTTCTTTAAGTACCTGCCGACCTCGGACATGTCGCCGAAAGATGAAAACTCCTCCAGCTGTTTGGCGTAACCCTCTAACTCCTCCTGGAAACGCTCTCGTCTCAGCTACAAAACGAAAGAAAAAATTTTATTAGGGTGGATGAAAGAAGTCGAAAATTTGGTTTTACTTAAATTTTGTCCTTCTATGACAATGACATATAATACGAAATAATAACATAAGACAACAACTTTTTCTCTATGCTACTCTATTCTAAGCTAAAGTTTTAAGCAGTATACCTTCTTCAAAGTACAAAAAATTCAGATTTCATCTCAAAACAAAACAAAAGAAAAACTGAAAATGTATCAAATACATTCTTTTTCCAAAGTAATTTAGGGTTTTAGGTTCCTTTCCGTAGGAATGAGAACATTTTCCATGATGCTTTGTTTCACTATCTTGTGGTTATAATTTTATTCTGGTCTTTTATATGCTGAGTACCTTTAGACCATCTTGGTATTGTGACGTCTTCTCAGCCACAATCTGTTTGTGCTCGGCAAAGATCTCAGGCATGCGCTCGTGCCACTGGAAGGTGCTACTGTTGAGGCGCATCTCGGCCGGCGAGAAGCTGGCGTAGTCCACCAGGAAGGCCAGCCGGTCTCGGCTCTGCACCAGCTGCTTCTCCAGCTCAAAGATGGTCTTTTTCTCCACCCCCTCGATGAACTCGGACAGCTCCATCAGCTTCTCGGTGTTGGGTGGGGTGGTCAGGGCCTTCTCCGCGATGGCCTCGTACTCGTCACACAGTCTACATGGTGCATGGTGGAGACAGATATAAAAGCCTCCGTGTGTTTCAATTGCTATCCTTAAAACGCTGCAGTGAACTTTTTGCAGGAGTTTGACTTGGTCTGTTGCGTTACTCTGGGCAATTGACCTATCGCTGTTTGCGACATAACCATACCCCTTAGACAATCTTATGGAATTTTGTACATTTGAGTTTCGCTTGTCTCAGATGAGACATCCCACGTCCATTCTGTAAAGGGCAATATTTCACAAGCTGTGTTTGCACAATTCTCCCGCGATAGGTCAACTATGCAATAAAACATATTTTTCATCAGCTAAAACTCAATCTGCCCCAGCTCAACACAAATCTATTTCTTCCCCCCTTTGTCAGGTATCCCTTCATTCTAGATAGGAGCGAATCAAAAACGGTGTCCCACTCAGAAACAAAAGGTTTCTAGAAGAGTCTATGCCTTGACAAAGAATTACTCTATGCCTCCCCTGGACCAACACCATTTGTCAGGAAAATGAAAATGGAGTTGACTTGGTCACGCTGCAATGGCATTATCTGTAATTATACTGGTGTCTGAAATAGTCCGTTTCTAATGTTCAATGAGTTTTATAAAACACAAGAACAATGATGCTTCAATAAGGTTCTTTGGGTTCTCCAGAAAATAAATTCTGCAAGATGTAGCTCTTTTCTATAAAAATTAGGCTCCAAAATCTGACAGGTCTGACTTACTTTCGGTTGGCTTCGGCATGGTCCATATTCATCCTGGCCAGCAGCCGACTGCTCAGGGTTTCGGCTCTCTTGGCCAGGGCACGGATCAGCTCATCGCAGTGAAGCTCAAACATGCCAAGCCGTATCACCTAGGGGAGACATCATTTTAATTCATTCATGTGTTTAGCAACAAAAAGCGATAAACCAATCCAGGAATTTGAAGGAAGGAAAAACTATGTTCACTCTAATGACTGACCTGTCGAGTGCGAATGGCTACAATATCAAAGACAATACTGACATTCTGAAATGATCGGTCAATTTTATATTTTCGGGTCATAATTTTATCACCTTACATAATAACAAGGACTTTCCACTGTTAAACTCTTGGACTGTCTATTTACATGTATAATCAAGAGTTAATATATCAGGTTTGTTCAGCAAAAGCAGTCACAACCTGTATTTCCTTAAAACCCATAAATTCAGCACAGAGTCTGACCCGTTCAGTTAACCCCTTAAAAAATGTTCAGATCTTTTCTCTAGTCTGATCACAATTGAAAGTATACCAAGAAAAGTATTTGAAAGATAGAAATACGGAGCAGCAAAATAGAAATGTTTTTAGTATTCAACCACCCAGAGGATTTCTGAAACTACAAACTGACATGGGAGGCAGAAAAAAGAGAGCAGCTTGATAATTACATGAATTCTGATAGAAAAACGGAAAGATTAGTCATTGTTAACCAAGCCAGGAAAGAGAAAGCACTACATATTGGTTGCTTTATGTACTGGTTTTTCGATCCAACAGATTTCATGAGAAACGTCTTTAAAGTACAAACAATTTGAATGGTGTTTAATTCATTTAAAATTTAAATGTACATACACTAAAACAACTGGAGAGTCATGTGCAATGTGCGATAATACCTTCTTCTACATAAAAAAGACACATAAGTGTTGTGATTTAATGTGTGTTTAGTGCACTGTGTGCATATGTTTGAATATAACTGTGCAGTAAGGATTACAGTGTGCAAGTTTGACAGAGACACCCGGAACCACCAAAGGAGTGTTAGGAATGTGAGTGCGAGATAATAAAGTCACTTTACAAACCCTTCTCTGGTCAACTCCGTCCTGTGCGTATGCCATGCAGGAAAGCAGAAGCAACAGACAAGGGGCAACTTGTGTCAGTATTTGGTTAATGGGTACAAATTCAATTTCAAAGTGGGAAGCCGGCAATGTTTCTTCCAAAGCAAATGAAAAGCAGCGCACCTGACATGATGCCACAGGCAGTCAATCGTTTGATAATCATGCAGCAATGAAACAAGGATACTGCATGGTTAACAGTATCAACATTTGTTCAAGACATTTTACCATTAAATGAAATTGAAACTCCAAAAGCTCTTCCTAAGTAACGTTCTTTAGTCTTTGTGAATTTCTCATGATTTCTATAACAGCAGGTCGAAGACTGTTTTGACACGAAGCCCTTTTCTTGGTATTTATGCTATCATACTGCATTGATACGTAAGATTGGCCGACAGTGTAGACAATGTTGAATGACATTAATTGGAACCAAAGGTTCACCCAAATCTCTTGGACTTTCTAGAGAGATCAGAAATATGACCTCGGTGATGCTGCAGTTTCAATGCACTTTAGCGGTACAATCAAGGAAATGAGAATTGAATTGGAATAACTGTCAATTCAAAGAATACAATCAAAGTTTTTCTTTGTATGCATTGTTACCAATACATGCACGATTTGTTTGAAAATTCTATTGAGTTGAGACTACAACACGGAAAAGGGTTTTTAGGACCACATACCTTGCGAGTGTTGAAGGAAATCTCTTCTGCTAGTTTGTTGTACTTTCTGACCTCCCGAGCATACTCCTCAAAAGAGTGTTCCTCGCTCATGAACTGTTCAATGTCTGCATCAGCCTGGTCAAATACAGAAGTAACAAACACAATTACCCTGAAGAATAACTCAGACAGACTTCCACTCACTTAAAAACATGCCAGGAACACCTACACGTACATGTGAACTGTACGACACTTTCAAGTAGCTTAGAGTGCAATCCCGTGCTCAATTACACCGTTCGTATGCTTGCTGCCTTGAAAGTTAAGGCAGTCAGTGTCTCGATTTTATGAGAAAATGGGTCATGCTTGCATACAAAACAGAATGGTCCACGCAAATGCCACTGAACCAATGTTTTGATCAGTGAATTTGTAACTATATACATGTAAACAAGTACCTGGGTCAGTCAAGTAAGTTCCTACTGTTACCAGTTTCGTTTGGCGAGCCACGTCACAAACTGTTCTAGTGCATGTAGAGAATGCTTGTTTTATTCAGTTCGAGATTTCTAAAATGTCATTTATTGCTGAAGACCTGATTCTTAACCACTTCCTGCCGGGGACTCCGGAATCGGAGACGTATGGTTTATATGTGTGGCTGGGGTCTCCGAACTCGGACAAAAGAAACAGGGCCCTGTAACAAAAGACTGTACTCCAAACAAAAGACCAGGCTGCTGGGCATTATCGACACTTTTCACTCTCACAAGTGGTGATAATCCAGCCTTGTTTTGAAACCGTATACTAGGGTTTGGGGCATTGAGAGCAAGCAGATTACCATCGGGGACAAAAGCCCTCCAACACTGCATTGATGAGCCACACAGCACCGCTGCATGCTAATCTGGCCCCTATTGAAAAGAGGTCAGCAGTGCACTGAGCCAGGTTCGTGAACAAAAGACAGTTATACAACACCGCACAATCTGGGCTCTATTTACAAGGCTGCAGGCCTGGCTGAAATACTCGGGCGTCAATGAAGTTCACCTGTCAACTTAGAGTAGTGCCTAAAGATTACTTCGTGCGGCTATAAATGACCGATAAATGAAATGATGAATTTTTTGAAGGAATGAAGGATTTTGTAAACAGAAAGAATGATAGCCATGCCGGCCCAGCATCATCAACATTGAAAAATGCCCCGGCATGAAGTGGTTAACACAAGGCCTTTGAGACTCATTTGGTAATTTTTTTCAGTTTGCACTCTCAGGAGTTTGGGTTATGGAGGGGGGAAGTGCTATTTAACTACCTGTTTGTTAATGAGGAAGTTGTACTTGTCATAGATCTTGAGGTGGTCTTTGGGCAGGATGCTCTCGTCACTGATGATGTCACGGACCTTCTGCTTGTGGCCATTCAGGATGTCCTCCAGAATGATGGGGCGGAGGGTGGCCTTAGACTTGGGTCCACTCTGAAAACGGCCGCAAAGATAACGATGCATTACAATGACATTGACAAGGGTAGTCATAAATCCAGAAAAAAAAATAAGAAGTCAGAATTTCTTATTACTACATGTAGGTAGACCCAGGTTATACTTAGCACACCATTCCACAAGGGGATTGTCTATTTATAACCTGTTTTCTGTAAAATTACAGCAATGTACGAACAAAGGAAATTCCACAATTTCAGTCTCCTGCAGACTAACTGTTTTTCTGACTGTCCCCACATTATGAATATTTAACAAAAAAAGCATGGTGCAATAACAATGGATGCTCATTGTTTAATAGTGCACTGTGCTTCTTTTGTTTGATGTTCATAGTGCCAGTTCCCCTGTGATTTGAAATACGAATTATTATGGAGGCCACAACCGGGCACTCGGTCAAGTCTTGCTCTTTACTGGCGAGGGTTACCAGTGCTTGGGCGCAGGGCCAATGGTGAAATTTCATCCGAAAGTTTGTGCAGTGGTAACAGGGAAAGGTTTGCAGAAGCACCCTCTCTTCTGAGACTGAGTTGGTGTACTGAAAAGATCCGCCCCCTAGCATGCTCTGTCCGTCATTAGAAGAATGTACAATATCCGATGGAGAGAGCATACCATCCGAAACGGTTGAGTCCACTGGTTCTTTTCAGAACCCCACTCAAAAAAGAGTGCAATGATGCTACCAGGGCAGGTACTTCACGAAGGCATCAGCGGCAACTGCCTTGATGCCCCTGGTCTTTGCCTCAATGCCCACTGAAATGTCCCCATAGACAAGTTGATAAATACAGGTGCCCTTTGCAAATGAGAAATTGCCTTGCCCTTCAAGAACGAGGTTCCTGCCCTGGGGCATATAAACCTTTGCTTTACCCACTCCGAGCTGGAAAAAAAGAGGGTGTGTTTTTTAAATGAAATTGACAGTCCTTTGGTATGAACTCACTGCACAGGCATGCAAGTTTATGCACGTTTGACATGCAGCATGGTGAGTTCATGCAACAAATTTATTCCGGAGTGTATCGTCTTCTTGTGCATGCTGAACGTGTGCAAGAACCCGGTTGGAAAGCTTCACACCGGTCTGTCTTTCTTTCGCCAGTGAGGGTACACTTCCACTCAAGGCAGATTAGGAAAGCAACTTGGTGCTCTCAGAAAAAATGAGGCCGAAGTGTTGATGAAAGTGTTTGAAGGGCATACATCAACTGCTCTGGGTTTCAAATCTGAACAACCATGTTGATACCTACCCACTCCGAGTACAACTTGGTTTCCACACGAGGCACCACACTGACCGCCTTCAGCATGACATCGTACACATTCAGCAACACAATCTCAAAGTCGGAGAAGGTGGGCTCAAACTTGATGTTAGTCCCATCCAGCACCAGCCGCATGATGAAGCCCGAGTGCTCAAAAGCACGAACAGAATCCTTGTTGTAACCAGAAGAGAAACAGGATCGTTAATGGACAAGCATAGCTCTCACAACTTTTTTAACTCAAGTGAGCAGCATACCTTGCCAACTACGCAATGATTACAGCTATACGTGGCCAAAATGTTACTAGTGTAAAAAGGAAGCTTTACTCGCCATGGCTAGCTTGAGCTTATGAAGTTCACTTTGTGGAATCTTATTCCTAATCAAAGCTCATACATGTACCAGCGGAAGACGTTAAGCAAACTAATATACACTGTTGGGTCATAAATGTACCTAACAGGCAGTGCTGTTGGTGCGTGCTGCTGTAGTCTGTTACAAGTCCCAGCCAGCCTGACATAAGCCCACTGCAAGTCCATCACAAGCCATCCAGTCACGAGTCAAGTCACAGGCAATAGAAAATGAACCGTGAAAAAAGCTTCCCTTTGTGTTGCCTGTGACTGTTCTCATGAAAGGACTTGTAACTGGACATGAGAAAGGACTTGTGATGGGCTCGACTGCACTAATGCCGACGGAAGAATAAAGCAAACCTTTGTTTCACTTGCCATGTGAGTTCCAATTCTGCATCGATGTTTTACTGTGAGTACAAAGCATTTTTCACAAACACCTACAGCGTCTTCCATATAGTGGTGCGTCTGTGATCTACTCACCGGTGGCTGGCAGATGAGATTGGTGAAATCTGTCATGGAGTTCAAACACAGGCCCTGCAGCTGCTCGGTCATGAGCGTGGCTGCACAGTTGAAAAAGGACTCCAGCTTGCGACCATTGTGGTTGCTGGGTACCAGCTTGCGTCGGTTGCCCTGGTAGTAGATGTTCTGCACCTCAGGAAACCACCTGGTCAAGTATAAGCCCAAAAATATATTGTTAACTAAGTCAACTGAGAACGAGGACAAGGAATGCTGTTATGTACCGTAGGACCACAACCAGTACATTTACGTGGCAAAACTGCTGAAAGGATTCACAGTATACTATCAAGGCACACAGAAAATAGATCTTGCATATAATAAACATGGGTAGGCCTTTTAAACCCTTATTCATAAATAACTCAGTCAGTCTCCCTTTTCAACAACATGCAACTTGACCATGTATTAACATTTGATAATGCCCGCTGAGAAGTGATAATGCCTGCTGTGTAAATCACATACTGGTGCCTGGATACGAGACAGTTTAATCGATTCTGATTGGTCAAGAGTCTGTGAGTACGCAGCTCGTCAAGTGCAGCAAGTCCATATTTAAGGAGGTTCTTTTGGATAACTTGCCTAGGGAATATACCATAATATGGACAGGGTTTTCGGGAAAATGAAAATAAAATTCTAGAATGAAATCGTTGGAAATCTGTCATATATTGACTTCTTTTGACTCCCTGACAACAAAAGGTAATTATAAATGGGAATAAATATGCGCTTGGCTGGTCTTAAACGTAAAATGTTAGCTTAAGACCAGCTCAGGAGAGTGAATGCTGATAATGCCCTCGGCCATGGTTCGGGCATTAGTCAGTCCATTCTGCTGAGCCGGACTTAAATGCACATTTAGACCGGCCAGGCACATATTTATTCCCTTCAGAACACTTCCAAGAACTATATACAGTAGCTCTAATGGGCATAAGGCATAAAATATGACACTGTAATGTAGCTTACTTCTTCAAGAGTTTTTCTTTAGCTGCGTCAATGTGTCTCATGACAAGATTCTGGAAGATGGCAAGCTCCATAGACTCTGTCTTCTGGTGGAACTCCTCTACATCCACCAGACGCAGGTTTCTGAATGAATTAAAAAAAAACTAGGCATTAGACGTTACTAAAAAAATTCTGGCCAAGGTCATTTGGTATGGGGCTGAATCCCTTTCCAGGGGGCGGCCAATTCTAAAATTCTGTGCTGGCTGGATAAATGCACACATGCACGTACCTAATGGTAGGTAAAATGGCTCACTTGCAGAGGAATGGGTACGTCAACAAAATGAAAAATTCTCAGTTATTGGGACTACTGCAGCAAAGACCTTTCATCTCAAGGAGATTTCGTCTGTGAAAGTGGCAGTAAAAAGTTGTTTAGATGTGACCATCAAGCAACAGAATGATTTCCTCTACTCAAGGGGAAACCCGATTCAACTTGGTTTCAGGCACTTAAACAAAACCATGAACCTACCCAAATGACACATGCCAGAGTTCAAGTACTTGCAGCATGGTGGGATTGGTGATGTTCAGGTCCTGACTCATGCAAGCCTGAGAGGCTAGGAAGGACTTGTACCAGGGCTTGGGCACCACAGACAGCTCTAAACGGTGAGGTGGCTTGCTCTCTTCTTTGTCTTCTTCTTTCTCGCGAGGATCGCGCAACACAAAATCCACTGACAAATACAAATATTATAGAACATTGTCTAGCACTTTACTTTTTGAAAGATTGATGATCATTCTCGGACCCTCTAGCCCAATAGTCTCAATTAAAATATTTAGCTCTTGTATATGGAATGGACAATGAGTGCGCAAAAGAAAGTTTAGAGTCTGTTCCGTTTAAAACCTATTTTTCATCACACAAGGCAGAGGGGCCAATAAATGGAAATTGGGAGAGGCAGGTTGCACATCATAAAATAAATAAAACTACTGATAAAACTTTGGAACACAGTACCAAAATGAGCAGGCTAACAATACAACACTTCAGTTTGTTCTGATCCACAGTCAAGCATTTTGACTTACAGTAAAACCAAAAGAACCTAAATTTCAACTCAAGGCATGCACAAGCTTAGATGATTGTTTTTGGCAGGCAACCAAATGACCAGTATCTGTGAATATTTCTGTCTAGTCAAGGCAGTTTTCAAACCAATGAATCCTAGATTACAGTCACTATTCCAAGTGCTAGGCATCATTGCTTGCTGCATCTATCAATGCTACTCACCAATGGCCTTCTTGACACTCAGCAGGTAGTCCTCTCGCATTTCGTCAGACAAGTTCTCTATTGTCTCTGTGTGTCCTCCCTTCAGGTCCTCAGACACAAGATGGAGGACGTTATCCAGCCAGGAGTCCTCCATGGGCGCCACGTGTTCCGTGTCAATCCCATTGTGAATGTAGTAGTAGTATCGCTGGAAATAACAAATATTATAATTTGTACTTACTGAAATAATAAGAAATAAAAACGTGTGCAAAGCCACTCAGGCATTTTGCTGAAATTCCTCAAATGGAGAGTGCTTTAAAAAAGAAATTTGAATTGCATTAGCTGAATAGAAGATGTAACCTTTATACACAACTTCTACAAAATAAGATACAATTTGATACCAAAAATACACTTTCAGTTTCATCTAAAAGGCAAGGATCAATGTGAGGACTTCATTCCACAGCTTAACTTATCCATAACGTTTTTGGATTTCACAATAAATGTTGGGACAATTTTTGTTCCTGCTATTCTGCAAAGAATGAAATATGACTGGATATTTTTAAAAGTAGAGCTCATCCTTATCCATTTCATTTTTTGGGACAGAATTTCAAATAAATATTTGGTTGAACGATTACTGTTCAAACAGATACAACCTCTGCTCTGTGAAGGGTTGAAGTCTAGCTATCACTAACCAGGATGTCTTTTTCGGCAGCCGTGGGCGAGCCTGTCCTTGACAGAGGGGGAAGGTCACCTTCAGCAACTGAGGGCGGTCTGCTGTCAGGAGTCTCCTGTTGCCTGTTACAAAGAAAAACACACACAACATAAATGTGTAAGTTGCTGGTTGGGAGAGGCAAATTCTTAGCTTCAAAGAACCAGAGCTTCTACAATACTTTAAAGTTTCAATAATTTGAAAATGAAGAACAGAAATTGGCTGGCTTGGAATATGCTGCATGGTTGTGCTTAGTTTGGTTTCATGTTAAATTATGTTCAGTAAAGCACTGCCTTATCCGGACAGAGTGTCACAGAACAATGCCTAGCTTAGCCCTTGTTTAAAATCAAAAGACATTTTCAAAAAACTTCAGAAAATGCTGATCACCCTCAGCGTCTGATGTCTTAACGCTCACATGAGTGAAACTGCGCTATATGCCAGGAGTGCCACTTTCATCACTACCCACAAAGTTACTCGAGTTTTTGCAGTCACAAAGATCCACTCACATCCGCCAGAGTACATGTAGCTGTTGCTGTGACAGGTTATTCATGTTTTTCTGTAGTAGGCCTATAAGAGCACTACCCAGTTTTCACTACCACTACGACTCACATGATTATGTTCACCAAGGCATTGCGGAAGCTCTCCCTGTCCTTCCGTGGATGAGAGAAGCCCTTGGCTTTGCCGGCCCCGTTCACGGGACCATTGCTCTCCGGGTCCCATGACTTGCTACGACCAGTCTTTCCTTTCTTCTTGGGCTCTCCTGCCAAGGTGAAGAAAATGCACGTACTGTATGATTCAATTTTATAAAAAGTGAGAGTACCTTGTTCAGAGAGTGAGGTGTTTGTGGATGATCACCTCAATCTTAAAAGAAAGTGAGGCGCATGTGGCACTTGTGTGTTACTCTTTTGTGACTGTAATTGACTAAAAAAGTGATGGATCACTTTCATGAAAGAGAGCCGATAGTAAAATTGCCCTGAAAAGACACAACTCTTGTGATGACTTAGTACATGCATCATCAATACATAAGATGGGTCATCTTCAATGTAAAAAAAGGCTCATAGATATCTCATGTGCTTTGCCCAACTACAGCATGTCAGCAATTGTCTTTAAAGCACTTGACACAAGTCAGTGCTGGATGAACATACATGTACAAGCTCTGCCATCTAGCAATGGTCCAATGGGCCAAACTCTCTCTCCATATACATGTACATGTAGACACAAGGGTCTGCTCTCACATAGGTGTCAAGTTCTAAAATAAAGTTGGACGGGTTAACATAACCGAACAGATCAAAGGCCTTTACAATACTGTGGTGTCGTTATTTTACTGCTCTGAAATTTATTCAAGGTGATTGTCATTACAGAGGATGTAGTGGCAAACTATTCTGGAGGATTTTATCATTTTCGGGGTAGAATGTTACAGTGAAACGTCGTTGTACCAAACACCGCAATACCGAACATTCGGCTGTCCTTGGCTCCCAATATTTTGTGCACATTTAGCAGTTGTAAATCAATCGAGATTCACCACAGCATACATCAGAGATCAATCCTGAGCGGTAGATTCACGACTTTTAGGATAAACTAAATGTCAATTTTGTAACTCAAGATTTAATAAAAACCAAAAATAATTAACAGATATATTTCTAGAAACCTCAAACGTGAATGCAACAGCAAAACATCATGACAACAGCAATTCATAGTATCACAAGAGGGTGCACTTCAGTTAGACAAGAGAGAGCCGTACATGGCAAAAACAAAAACGTTCAGCAGTTAATTTTGCTATACCAAACAACTGCTGTACCGAACATTTAGCGCGGACCCCGTCATGTTCGTTATAATGGCGTTCCACTGTATACAAATTCTGTATCAAGAAATCTCATTTGCTATTCTGTGCCCTCCTGATCCATTCCACTTCTATTCCTAATTTCAAAAACCATAGCAAATCAAAATCAGGGGCAGGACATGCATCTTACGTGTTGTTAGCTGGGCGGCCACGCTGAGTTCTTCCACCTGGTCTTCTGGAGGCTTTCCAGACAGTACAAAGGAAGGCGGGTTGGCCTGCCATATCGGTTTACTGCGCTTCTGAACGTCCGAGAGAGAAAAATATCAAAGTTGTGTTAAAGTTTGGGCATAAGGCTTCAAAAATATGTATAAATAGGAAAATGTGTGTCTTTAACATCACTTTTCAGATGTTTATAAAATTTCACTGTGGAAACTTCACTCAGACAGATTATTAAGAAAAAATAAAGAGACAGAAAAGATGAAAAATTTCTATGAACACTATGCACATTTTTTTTTTGGAATGATCTATGAAAAATCAACACAAAAGAAAATTCTTAGGTCTGTGAAGTTGTTTTTATCCAGAAAGGCAACAAAAATTCTTGGTTTGAGAGAGTAATTACCTGTAGAGTGGTGTTTGTAGCAATTTTGTTTACGGTTCTTAATGAACTTACATGTAGTTTGTCCTAACTTCGCGCTTGAGTATGGTAACAAAATGAAGCAAGCTGACACTTTTGTGAAAATCCGTGTGTAAATTTACCCTTTTTAAAATTGCTTTATACTTACTGCTGGCAATGTGGGGAGAAACGATGTTGGTGCTGCAGGATTCTTGCCTTTATTCTTGAATGAAGATACATACTACAAGGACAGGAATGTGAAAAATAGAAGGGCATTTTTACCATGTTAAAGAGTAAATGTAATGTTGATCGTTAGGAAAGAAAATAAGCGGTGTGAAAACTACCATCACCTGCAGTCCGTTTACCACCCAGTTAAACCTTTCAATTAAATGTGACAACTAAAACTAAAAGGAATGTGGAATTTTTCAAAGTACACGTAAAAGGGTCATTCTATAAATTTTGGGTCCGAAAGTGTGACATTTTGGTGTTCTACGTTACACCTGAACTGTGTAATTTGACATGGACATATATCACTGAAATTGATTTCAAACTACATGTACATGTATATGTATTTTCCAGTTGTTTGGCAGGTATTGGTAATTTACATTAATTTGTCACGACTGGAAATTAGAGAATTTGTTCAGAACTTACAAATCATATGTCAGATGTGACAGGGACATAAAAAATCTGAACCCAAATTTATAGAATTACCCAAAAGCAAATACGACAACAGATGAAAGCTCTTCATTAACTTACACGTAAAATAGGGCCTATACGTGTACCTAAAGAGCACCTATATGTATAAACAAAGAAACATGAAGTTGTTTTCTTTTTTAATTTCATTTTTTTAAAAACTGCTAACCAGGACAGTGGGTAACTTGAAATGTTTTCATTTGCAGTCAAAACAACTGGAATGGATGTTTCATATTTTTTGTGTACACCAGGTACATGTATGTTATGCTTGACTTTTTTGTCCATGCTTATGGTAACATAAAGCAATAAAGCTTGAATGTTTTACATTTTTACCTGTTACTGAGGCAAGATATTATAACTGAAATAGGCAATGTCCAAAAATGAAAAATACATTTTGTTAACAAAACCAAATTTTTTAATTTCATGTCAACATAACCACAGAAGAAAAAGGCCTCACGCCTTGAATCTTAGAACTTGACTGTATGCGGAAAAAAAAACCAAAAAAAGGTCAGTGTCTCAACCAAGTTTTGGGAGCAACTGCAGAATATCCTGCCACTAAAAAAAAAAGACACATTGCACCGAATCCTTCAAAACCATATAAATAGCGCATCTTCAAAAAAAGAGGTAAATCTGCCTGTTGTTTGTTTGATGATTAATTAAAGCAATAAAGATACATGTACTTTGTCCTTGTAATTCTTTTTCTAAAATAATTAACTAAATAGTTATAATAATAAAAATAATTGAAATGAATAAATTAATTGTCCCTAGCATCTGCTATCATCAAAAACGTGCAAAAGGGGAGAAAAAATTATCGTAAACCGTTTGGAGTAAAGAGGGGAAAAACCAACCTAATCCTTTTAGGGTAAGTGTGGGTATACCCGATTGGGGAGAACCCGATCAGCCGTGATTTTTTTCATATAGTAAGGCCTACACTCTATTCATTTCATTCACGTCACAGTCTGTAGGGCTCTCCCCCTGATCGGGTATACCCACACTTACATGTACCCTACTACTAGTTTTAGGTCATCGAGGGTACGAATTGAATGGGGTACGAGTTGACTGGGGTACGAGTTGGCCGGGGTATGAGTTGACTGGTGTATGAGTTGACCAGGGTATGACTTAGCCTTGTTAACTTGGGTATAACTTAACTCGGGTACGAGCTGACCCATAATCACTAGGCCTACAACTAAGTACTGGGTGCCTTGCTGTTCAGGCATGTCAGAGGTGCTTTCCACACTGTCATGACTGACTGTACCGAAAAAGCTTCATTTATTTTTCATATTGCAGCAAAAAAGGAGGAAAACATGCAAATCCCTGAAGAGAGTGAATGGAGAGTTACCCCTCTGCCCAGACGTGAGTGCAATAATCGGTACAACCTCTTGCTGTGAGCAATGTTTTTTAGCCTACCTGGACATCGGCCATTTTGAAAACTCGAATCAGTTTTGTCGGTCTGTTGTTTTCCTCTAATTACGGACTTCTAATAACATTATTCCAATTAGCAATCATATATTAGTATTCACTTGATGTATTGTCTACACATCAAGTAGACGACTGGAAGTTTATGGCTGCATTATTTCTTTTAAATCAATAGATTACGAGCAAGAAATGTGCACATAGCATCAAAACTACACGGCCTGTACAAAAGTACATGGGCTTACGTCGACGTCATGGACGTGATGGCTTTCGTGTTGCTACGTTACGTGCTCAACTTGTTCAGCAACCTCGAACGCTATATGTATCGTGGACCATAGAGTTGGATATTCATTATTATATCCAACTCTATGATCGTGGACACATAGAATCTTCCAAAATAAATATAATGATATAAAAAAACAAAATAATTATTTTGAATATTAAATATAATAAAAAATCCAAAATTTATATACATATAAATTTTTTATAATTAAGAATTCCTGTGAATCTGCCCAAGGCAAAGGTCATAAATCAGCCTTTGGGGGATGTTGAGCTGCGGCTTCAATTGTTTTTTTCAACCACTGCAATTTAAGTAGCCGTAGCCATAGGTCAAGATTCGGAGACGGCCTCAGGAAACCGCAGTCTGGTTCCATCATTTCTTACACAGCACAACTTCAAACCTGTGTCGATGAAGAAGGGTACCCTCATTATAAGTTGCACATGTCAAAACTCCATAACTCAGCAGCAGAGTTCCTGCATTATAACTCGATGCTTCCTCAGAAACTTTCTTGATAAGTTAAGGCATGATGGTGGAATAGGTTTGAGCTTTTTATTGTCGAGTCTGATTGGTTTCCATAGTAAGTGGTGAAATAATGGACCTGTCGACTCTTCAGTCACCGACGTTAGACAATGATAGATGCATTTTTGTCATGTTTGTCAATGTGAATGTACTGCTAGTACTACGGCCTACAACGTATATGATGACGTAGGCCTGTCGTACATTAAATTATTGTTAAGTTTAAACCTTGGCGCGGCATGCTAGGCGTACATGTACATGTGTATTGTAATGGTACTAGGCTAGTCAGTGTTGAGCACAATCTTTTAAATTTGAGTGCCCAATGAAGGAAAGAGTTCCAAAAACGGAAAACACAAATCTACCCTTAGAATGTTACCACATGCCCAGCCATTAGAAAGTGATAACGTCCTTATAACATGTATAATATGACATTTAGCTGAGAAAATTCTGAAGCATTTACTTAGAAAACACATAGACATGTTAGACTTAGCTTTTCATCATGTTCATGTTGGTTTTAAGGCCATGAGAATGAATATCCCGAATTTCCATCTTATGCCCGCATACTTCTGAAACAGCCACCAAAAAATTTCATTATTTTCCAAAAAGTTATTATTTCAGAAAAATTGTTGTTTTTCCCGTCGAGAATGGTTAAAAAATGGTTGCAAAGAGAATCGGGAGTTTGTAGTGCGCCCGCGTACAAATGGCCAGATGAAAGATGGACTGAGAGTTACATGTACATGTAGTCTACTTTCAAGGTTGGTTCCCTTTGCATGGACGCGTACTCACTATCGATGTGCAGTATGTACATGTATACCAACTAATGAATAATGAAAAAAGCCTCATGGGTTTTCAAATTTGTATGGAAATCTGGGATGTTCATTCTCATTGCCAAAACTCTGTGCAACTGCAGATATTGCCACTAAAATTGCACACGGTAATAAAAATTGCACGGTACATAGGCCTAAATCACAGGCAACAGTCGTATGTAGGAAACTGTCTGACATCAACTACATGTTTTGCACAAATTCAATGTCGGGTGTATTGTTGGTCCCTTTTTGCTTGTGATTTGTGCTACATGTACCAGTACACAATGTAAAATGTGGCACATGCAAACCTACTTACCGGGCACAGGTAAACGCCAGCAGCAACATGTTTGACAAAATTTCCCCCGTTATTTTCAAACTTATTGACATGTTTGATGAAAATTGCCCCATAAAAGCTTCATAAATTGCCTGGTTGACATTTAATTCAGACTTTACTTCCCTCTAAAGAATCATTAATTGGAAAAAAAATCTGCAATTAAAGTAGGATCCCAGACGAAACAAATAATATCAGCAAAAACAAGGACTTTGAAATGACACTCAAAACTAATTGTAGCCTTCACTCAAGGCAACAGTTTCCCTGCTTAACTAGTGCCAGTCTTAATAACTGAAACAGCCTGAGACTTCCTAGGGAATGGGAACCAGTCTATATCCAAGCATCCCTACCGGCAGTTTAACATAAACAGTAAAAATTGCACAGTTTGAGGCACAAAAATTGTGCACGTTTAAAGATTGCGTTCGACACTAGTCTGCGCAGATTTAAAATATATGCGCAACCTGTTATAAATTGTGCAAGTGACATTTGCACAAGTTGTGTAAATTTTAAAATTGCTCACTTTCAAAGATTGCAAAATTTTGAATCTTGAAAAATTAATTGTAGTGGGCTAATCCCCTCCTGAGTTTATTATATCCCCTAACTGCCTGAAGGCAAATCAACTCAAGACAGAGTACAATAAATTTGTGCAAGATTCAAGATTGTGCTGAACATCAGCTCCCTCCCGCAGTTTGTTTTTATTTCATGTAGCCGACATGTAGGCCTACATGTACATGTATGTTGTTAAAACTCAGCATGCTCATTGGGACTTATTAAAACTGACTTTTGGCTGCCCTTACATGGACATTTCACAGCTCGTTTCGCGATATGGGTGATGTCTTTCCTACCCGCTTCTTTGGCATTCACCATCAAGTTTAAGGATTACCATCAAATTGTTTCAGGGGAAAAATGACTTTATCACAGTTGAAATGTGAGAAAGTCATTTCTTTCTGTCCAGGGAAGACTCATAAATGAAGTTTCTTTTGTGAGAATCCACATACGTGCCTACCCCAATGCCTACATTGTTCGTGCAGTCCCCAGAAGTGTAAGTGGGCCTGAACTGAACACCGTCACTACCTTGTCTGGTTCTGCTAATATTGAAAAATTATTGAATGCTGTGATATGGCAATGGGGTACCGGTATGATGTGTTAATGCGTGATTGACTTGTAGCACATCTATAATTACTGCGAGGAAAAATTATTCCCTTGAACCCAGTTACAAGACCGCAGACTATGTTTAAAACAGGGAAAAAGGAAATTCATGTACATGAGCTTTGATCACATGCTTAAATACATTTAGGCTACATGTACATGTAAGTGCTGGTTAATTACATTTATAAAGACTGTTTATTGCACACCAGTTAAAATATCAACACTAGACCGATGGCGCCTGCTATGTCACATGACCTATGGTGTGTATTAAATATCAACAAACATGGCGTCCACCAAAAGCAAAGTGTTTCATAAGTGTCATTTGCCAAAAATAAAGTCGACGACAGGTACAGTACTAAGACTACTGATGTGCTGGGTACTATACCATAACTTGTCTGTATTGTTTGTAAACAACACTTAAAAGACATGTTGCCATGGGGTAGATATCCACTATAGGTCACGTGATTTAGCAAGTGCAATCGGTCTGTACATTGTGGAAGCTATGCTGTCAATTGATCTGAGCTTAATGTTAAGACTATTAGAGCTAAGGGTTGTACTTGTATTAAAATCCTTCCTTTTTTTATTTGACATTACAAGGCCTAGCCTTTTAAAATTTATAGATCTGTGTATATAAAACCAATAAAGTACAGGACTAATTCATTGACTTATTAAATTATTGTACTTTTGCTTGATGAACAAGTGGTTGTTGCCAGCTCACAGCCTTATTGAAAAGCAGTGTTCTTCAACCTACATGTACCTGTACAAAAAAAAGTTTGGCAGCTCACTTACTTTTGCTTGTTTGCCACCTTGTCCATAACTGACAGCTAGCCCGCTAGCTTTAAAATCTGGCAGCCAAGTTTAAACTTTTGGTTCTGCACTTTAATCCTCGAAGATTTCACATCTTGCACAACACTATCTAGAAAAAAGTGCTATCTGTATATGACAAAAATTGCTTTTAATTTTCCCACCAAAAAATGTCTGATATATTGGAACCATTTTTCCTTTTCTTTTCAGACTTTCTCTGATGTGTTTGTAACTGGTGCTTTTGAGGCAGATACATGTACGTGTAATTAGCTGGGGATGGTTTACACATGATGAGTTTGTCTACACTGAAGAAGATCGCAGCTTATGGTGGAGTGGTATCCGTTCTTGGAGCTGGCTATTTCTTTAAGAGGATTCAAGGTGAGAAATGCAAAACAGGTTTTGTATAGAACAAAAATTATCTTAAGTCTAGCATTTCTGTGCGTATTTTTGGCAGATGTACTTCATCCTTGGGTATGTTGGGTAAGAGAAAAATTTCTACACGGAGTTGTGATTCCTATCTTGTTTTGTGTAGATAAATTTCCTGCATACATAAATTTGCGTACAGAGTCATGTAGGTTAAATTCTGCTGGTATCCTTAAGTTACTCAACAGTTTAAGGATTCAAAAATTGTGTATTGCCATGACAAATGCAGACAAGTGGTTACTGTTCAGCAAAGTGACCCATCATTTGCAAGTGAGCCACTCTCCTTGGACAGCTTGTGGAATTGTATACATTGAATTTTGTTTGTCTCAGATTCTGCATGTCCTTTGTCCATTTTGTGTATCCTGTGATTGGACAATATGTTGGGTTAATGCAATTCTAATTTGATTCGTGTACATGTACACGAAGGTCAATTTGTAAGGCCTCTTGTAACGTGTAATGATGGAAGCATTATGACAGTTACTGTGCATTGTGGCTTCAGTGCTGCAGGAATTACTGAAGACCTTTCTGAGTTTTCAGTGGTCATATATCTCCACTCGTGCAGGGAAAATAAGTTCTTATTGAATATAAGAAGAATTTTGAGGGCATCATTTGGAATGACTTGACAGTAGGTTGTTAAGCTTGGTGACGTGGTTTCAAAGTGCAATTAGGAAACATAAGATTTGGTTTCAGTTTCTGCATTTCTCATGGATTGCGTTGGGTTTCTTCCCACCTCTGAGACTAGAATTGTGTTTTGAGGGCAAGTTTGATTAACCCTAACCCAGTAGGGCCTTTTTACTTGGACACATCCTTAATCCTCCAGAATCTTCCAACTTCAAAACTGCATTCATCCTCAATCCAAAATCCTCCATTCTTTTGGCTTATGCAGAGAATGAAAGGTACCTGAATCCCCAATCCTCCAAAATCCTCCATGGCCCTACATGTACCTTGGTTTGATGGGTTTTTTGGGGGGAGGGGGTGGGTTGGGCACATCAGGGTGGTTGCTGGGCTGAAGCTGTTTTTTTGCAGAGTTGGCTAACAGCTTTGCTTTTGTAATAAACAAAGCAGACATGTGCCTTTGTTTTAACACGCTGCACTTGAGGATTGTGTAATTTATGACCAGCAGCAGTGAACAACAGAACACTGTCCTTGGGTACATGTACATGTATATTTTAAACAGTATAATGCATGACCATATGCACCATTCATCCTCAATCCTTCAAAATCCTCCAGCTTTTGAATCAGCATTCATCATCAGTGATCAATCCTCCGAAATCTGGCATGATTCAATCACTATTCATCCTCCATTTTCCAAATCCTCAAATGTTCAAATCATCGTTCATCCTCATCCTCCAAAATCCTGGAGGATTTTGAAGGATTGAGGTTCACTGGTTAGGGTTAAGATACCATAGTTAACCGTAGTTCGACTGACTCTGATCTGATGGACCATAGAGGAAGGACACAGAAGGAGTTGCAACTATGGCACCTCAAAGTGTTCAATGATCGTCGCTGCTGAGTCAGATGAATATTAGAAAATACTTCAAAAATGCCCAATTACTGCCTGCATCTTAGCTGGACAAGTGGGGCCAGAAATATCCTAGCAATACTTGTAGTGTTTTGCTTGCAATTAAATACAAAATTATTGCTGTGACCAGGAAAGAGCGAGAGAAATATCCCTGGTATTACACCTACGTTTGCCATCATAAATAAAGACTTTTTAAAATTTTGATACACTGTTCCATTTTCCATGCAAAGTTTGTAATTTGATTCTACTCCCTCCCCACGGCCCGCCGAGGTCCAATCTTAACCCTAACCCTCCTCAATCCTTCACCTGTTGGAGGACTGAGGAGTGTTAGGGTTAACGGACTCTTAAGGACAGTTAGCACCCCTGGTGTTTTGTTGTCAAATAAACAGATTGATTAAAGCACTTCAGATTCAGGGGACCTGTCTCATTTGTGATCAAAGTGTTTCTACGTAGGCCTACGCGTACTATCGAAGCTCTCCCTCATCTGACTTTCGATTCAGTTTTTACTGGTATACTTAGGATTCAGAATGTCTTGTACATGTATGCCTAGAAAACACTGCTGTATCTACAGATCAGGAGTTAGTTGCAGGTTTTATGCATCAGGTACTTTCAAGGAATATATCAAATCTTGTTTTCTGCTGCAAGACGAGCGCAAAGGGTTTTGTGTACATTGTGCAAAACTTGTAACAGCAAATTTAGGGCAAACAAATCAGAAACTTTTGCACATCGTGTAGACTGCAAACGTCATTTTTGTGCAGTTGAAAAGTGCCGGACAAAGGAACATCCTGACAGAGAATCAAATACGCCATTGGAAAAAAGCACAAAGGAAGCGCATGAAGAAGAATTGCCTGTAATGCCTGTGAGTTGGAAGAATTGAAAAGCAAAACAAAGTTGCTTGAAGCAGAAACAAAGGTACTAAGGGACTTTGAGAAAAATGTGAAAAAACATCTTGGAGTTGATAGGGCTTGTGAGGTAACTGAGCTACAGGTTTTTGCACTTAGGCATATTAGCTAGTTTAGGGACTGGAGATAAAGATATCATAAAGGTTCCAGGCAAACATGGGCATCCAAAGGTTTTTGTTAGAGTTGCTGTTGCTCAGGTGGGAAGTTCTACATGTACTTGTGCAAAAAAAGAGTGTCTCCGTAAAAGGAGTCATTTGATAGAGAAAATAGTATCTAGTAGTACTTTTCCTTCTTCATCCGCATGAAGCGCTGAATCACAGTCTACCTCCAGTAGAACTACACCCTCAGTTCCAGGAACACATCCTTCAACGTCATTGTCAGCCTTTTAGGATGATGTTGCTGCTCAGCAACTGCATCTCAAGAAGCTGGCTTAAATGTTTGCACACAATTCTCATGGGAAACAATCAGTAGGTTGCATAGCCTCATGCCAGAAACAATGCGGGTTTTTCTCAAAAGAACCTTGGAAAAAGAAACAGGGCAGAAGTTGCTAGGAACGTGCCAAACAATGAGATCTTCAGTAAAACCTTCAGACCAGTTTGAGTTTGGTTCTTTCAAGGGAAGCTGTGGAAGCACTATTCATTTTACTTGAATCAAACATGCGGGAAGTATGGTGAAACGCATCATCTCAGAATCTGTGGAAACAAATCTAATGACAAAAACCTTTAATGATACTTTGTGGCTGCATGTATCTGGGGATAAGGGTGGAAAAAGCACTAAAATGACCCTTCAAATTCTCAACATGAAGAAGAGCCAGTCTGTGAAATCTCTGAACCTGTTGGGTATATTTGAGGGTGGCAAAGATGATAGGATAAACATAAAAATGGCATTCAAGCCAGTTTTTGAGGATCTACTGAAGATCACAAGGGACATCTCTGAGCTACAACTCCCAAAACCAGAAATTCATGACAAACAGTTCACAGAAGAAATGGTTCAGGCCAGGATTGATGAAAAACTTGATTTCACGCCTCTGCAACAACTTGATCACAGTAACATGTTCATCAGCCCTGATTGCAAGTACTGCCAGCAAGCTGTATCCTCATTTGGAGAACAGGAGCAGCCCATTTCCAAAACAGAAAAACCTAAAATGTACATCAAATGCAGACTGACTTGGGGTGGTGACTGGGAATGGATCGCCAAAGTTCTTGGGTTGACAGGTCCAAATGGTTCTCATTTTTGCCCCCATTGCCTTGTAAACACTGAATGACCTTAAGCAAGGAAATCCTCATGCTGTACATGTTACTGAGGAAAACCAGAATGAGGATAGAGATGGTGGCGTGCTTGCATGCAGTCCGCAAAGAGACCTGGCAACCTGTCATGCTAAGGCCGAAGAGTTTATTGCAAAAGGTACAAAAAAAGAACAGGCTGTTAAAGTATTACGACAACTGTATTCAACATCCAATGGTCAGCACTGAGGGACAGGTCATTGAGCATGTGTCAGTTAGCCCCCTGCATATACACACCATGTAGGTATAGGGCTTAGTCTGCAGATGTTCGAGATTGTTGAAAAAAATGCAAAGGAGTTACATGTGGATCAGGAAATCCTTATGAGTAATGGGATACATCATGCTGTGGATCATTTGTATGCACACATTGAAGACTTGGGTAGAGAACATTGTCGCTGGCGCAGTTTTTAAATGAAACTTGAGGATGAACTTGAAGCTAAACATGGACAGGTTGCTCAGGTCCAATTGAACAATCCCAATCATTTCTCCAAGACTGATCAGAAATTCAATGACAATAGTTCACAGGCTAAGAATTCTAGGAAACAGGTTCAGCAGCTAAATGGTCAAATCAAGGGCATGGAGAGAAAAATTTGAGGCATTACCAAAGAGATAGTTGACAATGAGAAAGTTCGGGCTGAGGTTAGGGGTTGAATTCAGAATGTTCCAGAGCCATTTATGAATAGGTTCGGCGCAGTCTTAGAAGGATTAGGCATTAGGAAACAGTCACATCATTGGTTGCCATCCGTCTTTAATAGTGCAGTGCAGAGAGGACCAGTCATCAGAAGAAAATGGCAAAAGAAACGAAGGAGTAACAACAGCAGTAAACGATCATTTTCACTTTTACAGTTGTTTTGTTACTATGCCGAACTTTGACCAGACAGTAGTTCGATTAGAGTTGTTCACACTTCAACCGCACTGCACGTACAGTAGTTGCATCACAAACCAAGCACTAGTTAACTAACAAGCCCATTATAAGACTTCATCAGAGACTGAAGAAATGAAACCAAGTCACATGATGATGTACCGCTCATTAAGAAATAATGGGACTCCTCAAAGTAATGATGCCTTTAGCACAGGGAGAGGGTACCTTGGGAGATGACTGTTAACCAAACTTGGGAGGAAAGACAGAGTAAAATAGACTGAAAAAAAACTAAAATGGGGTTTTGAACTGCAAGAATCCCAGCGAATTTGTGCTTTATAGTCAAAAGAGAGATGGAAAGGACTATTTCTTGAACTAGACCCCTTTACTCTTTTCCTAACCAGATGGGCTTGCTGCGGGGTCGTACTACTCACAGTCCATGAAAATTCTCAGGGAACACCCAGGAGCGTCGGAGGTACTGGGCCACCCGATACGAAGCAAGTTCCTCAACCTTGGAGATCCTTTCAATGTAGTCAATTCAGCCGAAGCAAAGGTACATGTAACATTGGAATGTACATTTTGTGTTTTGTGAGAAGTCCACTCATGTACGTACATGTAAACATAATAGTTGGCCAACTTCTTGCATGACTTCCTCACATAAAGAAAAGTTGATGGAAGAAATTGGCCTGAGTTATTTTGGGTCACCTGCTGCTACATAAGAATGAAACCCTGAAAGGGGAGGGACCAAGTAGTGTGAATGATAAGAGTTACCACGGCGCAAAACACTTTGTTCTTTTAGACCAAAACGATTCGCTTCTAAGGCTGCCTTTACAACCGTGTCACATTTCCCCCAAAAAATCTGTCATTGGTGTTTCCAAACACAAAACACTGCCCCTCCAAATGGGGAAACAGATTGGGAACCATTCATCAGAACTATCCCTGAAGGATGTCCCGATGGAATGGAAGTATTCGGACACTCTTTACTCTCGTTTAGATCCCAGTATTAACTATCTGTCAACATATTGATATCCAAGGGCACACTGTTACTGCAATTACACCTTGCTCCTCAAATGATCTTGAACTTGTAATGCTGCACATACATCTTGGTGAATAGCGACACGCCATTGGTCAAAGGAGTATTTAACACACACACACATACCTTCTGTGTACAAGTGAGGTACCCCCCAGTTGTTGCTTCTGGCTGTAATTGCTGGATTAGTGACATCAGTAGTGACATTTATGTGCTGTTGTCTTTTACAACATATTCTCCTTTCACTCAGCTTGCCATACCAGTCAAAGGTAGCAAACGGAGAGGAACTCTGTACACATGGTCTGACAGACAAGGGCTAGGGTAAGATTATAATTATTACAGAAATACTTCTATTGTAAGCAAAGAAACTTTACCAGACTTTGATGTCAAATTGGGGCCTTTTTATGTGGGTGCTTTTCAGCAGTGTAGCTGGGATTTTACAAGTGGGAGGGGGTGCAAAGGAGGCACCAGCCACTTATGGGGGTCACCAGCTTTCAGTGGTGTGGTTTTTGGGGGGCAAGTTTTTGTTAGCCTTCTTCAATATCCATTCATCCGTTTTTTAGTGGGGAGGGTGGCACCAGGAATTTGTGGGGGGGTATGTGCTCTCGAAGTCCCCCCATGGCCACACCACTGGTGCTTTTCTGAGATCCAATGCTGTTTGGACTTGGCTTCCATGTTGGTCAGATGATGGCTTTGTTCCACGGGCTATATTCAGAAGCCATGAAACCAGCATGTGACATTAAGGCCTTCGGGGGCAAACACTGAGTATACAGTGTTATAATACATGTCGCGCAGGGCCAAAAATCCTAAATTGATTAACATCCCCCTGGCGCAAATCCATCCTTGGAAATAGTTGTTCGTGGTACCCACTGCTACATCTGACTCAAACCAGCCAGCTGACACTGGTGAGCTTGGTGGTCGAGTGGTTAAGACGTCTGCAATAGTAAGTAGGAGGTCATAGGTTCGAGTCCCACCCGAGTATGCTTGTGGTGTTTTTCAAGTTGGTGTCCAACTCAACCGGCTGTGGCCAGAACCACTACACCCATCATTGGGAAATGGTTGTAGCCACTTGGCAGTGGCTAACATAAGTGCTGGGTTGTCATGGCTGTGTCCATCCCCTCCAAAACTTTTGAAGATGGCTTCAAAGCAAGGGTTTATCCCCAAAATGGCTGTGTAGAATGAATTAAAGTCCGCATCTTCTTTTTTTTTATGGGAGGGGGAGTTGGGATTAAATCAATCTTGTCAGTTTCAAGGTCAGTTCATAACAAAAATGTGTTTATATGACATCAAATCAAACATTCTCTCTTTGACTTTTCAACATTGGTTAACTTCAAAGTTATGTCACTTTTTGCGTGACGTATGAACTCATGTTCACCTTGTCGTTTACTTGGCGGTGTGAATGTGTACTTTCGTTGCCCTTCCATCCTTCCCTGTTTTCTGTTTTCCCAATTCTTTTATCCAAATTCAGCCCCCCATTCCCCAAAAAGTTTACACCGCTTGTATATTTCTGATGGCTGTTTAGATGGGAAGTCAGAAAGTTACAGCTACAGTTGAAAGGCACAGAGAGGAAGGTGACAATCTATGCTTTGGGGGCCAGCACACTGGACGGAAATGTGGACAACCGGGACACGACTGAGATTCTGGACGACTGACCTAACGGTAAGAATTAGCTCTAAAACCGAATCCCCATGGATCCTTCAAAATCTACGGGGAGATTTTCGCTAGATTTTGAAAGATTGAGGAGGCAGAACCCAACCGCACGTACTTCACACCATGCTTGATGTGCCTTGTAAGGTAAAGTGCAAAGAATGTTCCGTGAAGGATTGAAGGATGTTGGAGCTGAAGGCTCCCAGCAAATATACCAAGGGAGTTAGGCTTGTTGCAGTCACTCTACACAAGGTTGTGTTGGCACTATGTATGTGTATATATCCACGATCTTTTGTTGGATTGATCATACAGTTCCAGCATTTCCTGTTGTATGCCATTCAGTGTCCCAGATGAGACAGACTGGCCACTTCAAGGTGCAGAATCCTCATTAATATGTCTCAGCAATCTCATCTTGTGTATTTGTTTAAATTTACTGGAGTTTGTTCACAGAGACACGAGGCCGTCCCTGTTTGAGTGTTTGATACCTCTGTTACAGTATTTACATGTAGTTGTTTAAGGCACACACTGGTGAGTGGTGACAGCTGGGTTTGGAGGATTCATTGTCACTCAAGGTGAAGTTTAAGGCCATGTTCAAACCACTTGCCTACATCTCGTCGCCACTTTCGAGAAGAGGTGAATTTCTCACCCGAGAGGAAAACTTAGGTTTTGAGAAAATTCCACTTGAAGTTGGTTTCTTCTTCAAATGCTTATTTCCCCAGTGTTTAGCATGCCCGTGACTTGCAATGCGTGTAACCAGTGTTACTGCAAGAAAGAGGAGATCTTAAAATGATACAAAACTACCAAATAAAACTTATACCGGCAGAAATCAATAAAAAATTGTTTATTAATTAAATAAACCGATTTTTCTCTCCCTGAAAATGCTAGATTTCATGTGACTTTTGTCTGTTCATGAAAATGTGCGCTGTTCCTTTTTATTTTATTTTATTTTGTTTCCATAAGGGCGCCCTTATTAATTTCTGTGGGTTTAATTTCTTTTACCACTAAAGATAAGGTCGGTAGGTCGAAAACAAAATCCTTTAAAAAAAAATTCCATGTTGCTGGTGTAGGGCTCTGCATGAACCTCAGTGGGCCACGGAAAAGTGTGGTATACCGAATGTTCACACGAACGCCGACCGTCGCTGTTGGTCGTTTGCGAAATCATAAGTTTTCAGGGCTTTTGTTTTCAAAGGTCATGCTGGCCAATTTTTTCCCCTCAGTTTTCTTTGGGTTTAGGTCATTTTAGCAGGGTCGGCAGGGAAAAAAAGCTTTTTTCTTCGTGATTGGGAGCCCACATTAGGGTCGGTCGGAAATGAGAACCATAGAATATAAAAAGGGTGCCCTAACCAACAGCGAACAAATTGCCATTTACAGGTTAGGTATTAAAAATAAATATAAACACAAAAGACAAAACTAACTCTGATTGCGATAAAAAATAAAGTTTTCAATACTTACAGGTTTCATAAAAAAGTTAACAAAATTAAAAAGTATAAAAAGTACAAATCATAAACCATGTTTTGCTGTAGTGCATTCCAGGTGCAAATTTGTTACATTTGTATACATTTCCTGCATCAAATTTGCCTCTTCCTGAACAAGGCAAAATGAGTTTGCCCATGCACTTGCCCTTTATTGCTAACACTGTACATGTATCAATGGAACACAAATTCGCCTCTTTGTGAAAATGAAAAATGCGGTTTAGTTGAAATATGCCCTAGGTAGCTCATCGTGATTTGGCTGATTTCGGTAGATCTGATGAAAAGTGATTACACCAAGTTGTAGGTATAGCAGAGCCTATTGGATTTTGCCTGGAAATAGAAATTTGAAAAAAATAAAATCATGATTTTGGGCCAGAGTGTCTCTTCGTGAAAACAGGGACGATCTGGCAGTAAACGAGGCCAGATAGACTGGGGTTTAAGCTGCACTTGTAACATGCACAGCAGCCAACGCAATTTTAAAATCTTCAATTTGTTCAAGGGCTACTCGTCTTTGTGAAGTTTTTTCAGTTGGAAACCTATGCCACAAGCTTATGTATGACATAAAAAACAGGTCATGCCAGGTTTTCTGCAAAGTGTGAGGCTTTCTGGGATGTGGCTTACAGAATGTTTCTGGACCCAGTTAGCATAACAGGTATGATATTAATATAGCGCCACTGCCTTGAGCACTAATACAGAAGGTTATGTGCCTTCCATGACATTCACATTGTAATTAAAGTCAAGCAGTGCGTAGAAAGCATGCAACTTCTACCATATGAAATCTGTCTTGGATGGATTTAAGGAATGTTTTTATGGACCCAGTGAGCAGCTATATGTATAATGATGTGTCACCTTGGACACCAGCACAGGTGGTCATGTGCTTTTTCCATACGTGTAGCAATTAAAGTCAAATAGTGTGTAAAATACATTCGACTTGTACCATAGGAAGTGTCTGACACCAAAAATGCAGAACCGGATGGCAAACATCGCAGAACTGCAGCCGTGAAACCGAATGGGGGGCGGTAGACTGTATCGAATGTGATGCCGCGGCAGCCATGTTCAGGGATGCACATACATACAGTTATACAATACATGTATACACTTGCCAACCCCTCACTGCCTGGAGGCTATGGTATGCGATACCGTCATTAAAGCACACGATGGGGAATAGACAAGACATGAGCAAGTATCGAGTCAAGTCTTCTGGACATCATCTTTTATTGAGGTATTCTTACACTCTGAATTAACACTTCACACAAACTCACAACTGTGCTCAACCAACAGCCTTATATTAAGACCTTTAATGTTTTTATACAAGATTTTATTACATCCACACATGCAGTGTGCAACTTCAACCCTAGGGCATAGGACTCATACATGTACATGCATTTAACATTGTCTAGAGTTTAACCTGTGCATTTACTTTTTACATCAGTAAGCAATGATTGTAATGAAGTGGTGAACATTGTATAGAAGATAGAGGATGGGCTTTAGAGCATACACACATTGTATGTGGAATATTAATTAAAAAATCAAATTTATTTGAGGACCTCCATGTATGGAAGTGTTTGAAAAGATGTTGAAACTTTGACTTTGGCAAAGAATATCTGTATTTATTGAGAGATTTTACCTTGTGCTTTAACACTTCTAGCCTCATGGTTGCCAGAGAGAATTGCACTTGTTCCATTGTGTTTCCAAGTATATGTATCTGTGCATTAGTTACGGTGTCTGTCCAAGCACTCAAATGAATATTGGCAAACCGGGCATACAGTGTATGCTCCATGTGTTGGGAGGGCAAGCGCATTCGGTGTGTTACATGTCTGCACACGGATGAAATTTGGTTACACATTGATGCGTAGGTGCTCTTGTGTTCAGTAAACTCAGCCAAGACAAATATGAGTGGATGTACATGTATACGTACACACTGTGTAGAATGACACCTGCACTGGTGAAGTGAACTTTTGACAGCCACAACACCCGTTGCATATTTCACAATCATTTATGATTTCATTGTGATGAAGCATTATACAGAAGTCTTCCTTTTGCATGGGATTTTTTGTAGAAGTGGAAGTGATTTTTCAAAAACGTGGATTGTCCCATTAGAATCCTACTCAGTCCCAGTTTTGCATGGTAACATTTAATCAGTCGGAATCAAACATCTACATGTACCGGTAGATCTCATCTAAAAAGAGATTTGTTTAATTAATGCAAAGTAATAATTTCTTTGTAAAAAATTGTCCCCATTGTCGGACACGTCAAACTTTATGACATTTTTTTGTGCTGCAAAGAATAACACAACAAAATAAGCAAACTACGTGGAGATATGCGTGCGTAGTGCTGCATGTGTCCAATCTGAGTTTCAGCCCTAGGGCTGCATTCCGCATTTCCCACATACATCGCATACAAATCTAGCCTAACATTATTAAAGTGAAATCTTTTCCCAAAAATACACAGCTTTTGAACAGTATGTCTTGCATAATATACATGGATTATATTATCACACATGCATTTGTATTATTCATAATATTTACACTTGTCACAGCACTCCTCTGTATCAAACTTATTTTACTTACACCTTTATTGAAACCTTGCTGTCAGATTTCTATATTAATGAACAATTGTACTCTCAAGTATTAATAAGAAGTGAAAATAAATTGTAAGGTTACCTATACCATTTAATATTCAAGTAAAAGAGTAAAATCTTAATACAATCTAAGAATATCACCCAAAAATATTTTTGCTAAAACAAACATTGAATCATAATTTTTAATCAAACTACATGTATAATACAGAGAACCTCCCCCAAAAAATCAATGTCAATAAAATAAAACCCTTGAAAATCAACTTCGTTCTTATATACCCCAGTATCTACATATGAAGGAATTGCACACCATTACCCAGTAATGTGTAGCAATTAATGTACATTTATACAGTCTGAGTAAGAAGATTCGGGTGCACCGAGGCTAAAAGACTGAGGTCTTGATGCAGAGAAAACTGTCAAGAATGTCAAGGCTACAGTATACTACAAGTAATTAACTCTCATATCATTTATTACTGAAAAATATTATATAAGTTTTGTCACCTTTGTATGGGAAAAAACCACTGCAATATACTGGTACTTTGTGATTGCTGATTCAAATGATTTCATCCTCCAAACCGAAATGGAAAATATACAATTCCCGCATACATGTAATCTACCCATGATGCATGTGTACATGTATCTGTTGTTTGCCACCAATGATCGGTGTCAATATTTGTTGAATAAATTAATGTAATGAGTTAATAACTGAGACTAAAATCCAAAATTGATATGTACGTGTAACTTGCACAACACAGAGAGAAGCTTGTATAATAGAATCTCTTTAGTCAGGAGGAGACTTTTTAGCGAGAATTTTTAAATTGTTTTCTGATTTTAATTTATTCTATCCGTCAGCCCCATGTTCAATTTCAAAAATGTTGTTTTAATACAAGCTGTGGTGCTCCGTGTCATTAACAGCCCTGATAAACTCCTCAACTGTGAAAGGTTTCAGGTACGATTGTAATTGATGTTTCAATGAAACGAGTAATTAACCTCTGCGGCTTGCTTCACGCATGCAAGGTTAGATGTCACGGATGGCCAAGTAATCCAAACATTTCAATAAATGAGTAGAATGAAAATGGCACACCTACATGTACAATTACATGTGCCCATCGTACTGGAGTAATGGGTGTCACCCACACCTACATGTACATGTACATTTACAATTACATGTGCTCATCGTGCTGGAGTCATGGGTGTCTATATATATTCCAGAGGGCCAGGCACTCTTTCTTGGGGGACACTCATCGGCAACAATCTCATAAACTATCAACAGTAAAAGGGGGTCAAGTTTTAGTGGTTTTTAGTTTTGGGGGGTTTTTTTCCAAGCAAATGATAAATTTTCAACCGCGTTCATCTTTTATTTCTGAATTTCTTTTGCTCCCCCCCTTTTTGCTCTTTATTATTTTTCAATTTTTGTTTGCAATTTCAGGTGAAGGTTGGGCAAGCACCCCCTTCCCCCGTCCCACCATGTGATGCCCATGATTGTAGTGCTCTGGTTTCCCAACTCAGCCTTGATTTAGATAAATGTTTGAGTCAGAAATTTCATTTCAGCAATTTCAACCCTAAATAAGCTAATGCCAATGGTAATGTGTGGGAGGTTCTTGTACTGTACGTACATGTACATGTACATGTACATGTATGTATTTCAAACAGTTTTCCTGACAGTAGCACTTTCACTGACATTTACCATAGTCACTTATTGATATGTTCATGCATTACTTGGAGACCTGGAGTAGAATCAGATGTACCTGTTTCAAAAGCAATGAGTCCTTTACTTTTTTATCTTGGAAAGGTACCGGTACATCTGTACATGTACATGTATGTGTACTTACATGTACATGTATTTAAATGCAATGACCACATTATGTTCGCCCAACATGATCCATCTGCATGAACACACAATCAAAGTCTGTCCTCTGGTCTGTTGTGTTTGTAGAATTTATGTCTTTGTTTTTGATTCGTACATTTTGTATTAATGAAAGTCTACTGTGTGGTAATGGTGATATTTTTAATTCAGTAACTCCATCTATTTTATATACATGTACGGTGCACCTGTAGGCTCTATGCCAGAAAAAAAAATTGAAGGTACTGGAGTCTTGTACATGCACATGTACAGTATGGATGATATGCTACGGTAATACAATAATGGGTGCAAAACTTATTTCAACAAGTACATGTCTGCCTTTTATCAGGGCTCAAAGCATTATAAACACTACCAGCAGCTTGAATGCTGATTCCTTGTAAACAATTTTAATGGCAGTACCTACGTGTACCACCTGCTGACTGGTACGGATGTAAACATACATATGTATGAGCACATATGTTGACTCTACCTACGTGTACATGTACATACCTGTATGGCAAACTGGTCATCATGCGCATCGACTGTACTGCTGGCAATTAACAGGATTAATATCAATGGCCAGGTATTATTTTGACATAAATTTTTTAATTCACTATTTTAAAGGGCATTCTGTTACCTCTTTGGTTTTTATGCTGGTGAGTAATTCCATATTCATGAGCAAAGCTCTGATGTCATTCGAGGAAGAAAACTGAAAGGTTACATCGGTTTGTGCAAAAGAAAATGCCTATTCATAGATTTTGCTGTTTGAAGGTCTAAATGCGAACACTTTTCAATGCATTTAATCCTGAAATGAATGTCACATAATTTTCATTCACTGGAGAAGAAGAGGGCCCTTTTAAAATGCAGAAAATTTAAGAAATTAATTAAAGCTAATTCGAATTTTGCTTGTTCTGTACTTGTGATTTTGGAAGGCGTTCAAACTAAACATCCAGGCTCTTAAATTTTTAAATGCTGCTTTTACTGTTTTGTAGATGTTTTCTTCCTTAAACATTTGTAAATGACTGACATGTGTGTTAATGCTTAATGTAGCCTTTTTTCCTGCAATTAATTACATGTATAAATCCAATGAGAACTTTTTAATGCAGGTTCTGGCACAAGGAACAGGAACAAGGTTCGTAAACATGGTTCTGGAACAAGAAACCACTGAAATTTTTACCCTAACCTTCTATATGCAGTATAAATTACACAGGATCTTGTTGGACTGAGCATGTGTTCCAAAGGTTTGGGTTAATACAAATACTCTGGGAAAAACTAAAACAGAATCTGGGAGTTAAGATACCCCATTTATTATGTACACACAGATGTCTGTCTTCTGTGAGATCTCTACACCTTCACACCTTGAGTTCCTGTCATTGCTGGCAAAGCCACTTTTGGCTGCTGCAGTGGGACTGGTCGGACGGGTCCACGTGGTTTGCCCGGTAGTCATGCAACTCCACTGCTTTGCCCAGGCTCTCATTGCTGCGGGCAATCTCGGATGACCGCTCGCTCTCTGAGTGGCCGCTGTGGGTGCGCAGGCTGTAACCGCGAGAGAAACGGCGCGGGGCCCTCCACTTGGAGACGTTGCTCTTTTTCTTGGACGGCAGGTGCGGGTTGTCGATACGTAACGACTTTGTCTTGTAGACCTCAAGCTGCGTGTAGAGTCGCTTGAGCTCTTCCTGCAATCAACACCATGTCATCACATGAAAGACCAGTTTATTATTTGAAATTCAGACCATGAATTTGTATTCTGACATATTCAGGTATCTCTGGTGGAAACATAGTGATGTGAACCCTAACCCTCCTTTATCCTTTGAGATTCACCTGGAATTTAAAGAGGATTGTATGGAACTGGTGTGGACATGTACCCGGTACATGTACGAGTACATCCCAGCTTCTACCACTTAACACTAGACTTGATGAGAATGGTTTCCTATTCATTTGAAAATTTTGGACTCGGCCCAGCACTCGTCCTTTGATGTACTCGGACTCAGAGATTTGTACTCGGACTCGTTGCCAGTGTACTTGGATTTGTCCCAGGACTCGGGCCCCTAAAGTGCTCGGAGTACTCTGTACTGGGTTTTGAGGACTCCGCTTCAACACTGCAATTTTCCTATGAGCCAGTTTTTTCTGGATCTACCGTACAATAACTCATGTCCTGCCCGCCGTCAATTCCAACCCCGCCTATGACAAATACATGTAACACCACCTTGCACTGATTTGCAGCTGTTTGGAAGGAATTGTTTATTTGAGGACTTCAAGCAAATATGTTCTGCAAATGAAACAAGTCAGTGGCTTGAGTCGTCCTACCCTCACCCTGACATCTTCAGGACTGAAGTTGTGGTCATTGTTGATGTTGGAGGAGCTGGAGTTTGGTCGATGGAATGAGTTGTGCCACTTGCCATCGTACACCACCCGTGAGTTCACACGCTCTCGAAAGGACTCGTCATGCAGAAGCTTGTGTATGACTTTGATCTTGGAACCAAAATGAAACAACATAGGAATATTTCATCAGGGGCTCAAATAAAACTGTTTCTTTTTCTAGATATTTGAAGAAATAACTAAAAGGTGACAGTCACTCATCATTCCATTACATGTACTTTAACCTCTCACATTTTTTTTATTTTTGCAGTTTTGCGGTTCCTAACCTTTTTGCTTTTCTCTTCCAAATGTACATGTACGTGTAAATCCTGAGTGGAGCTTTCTGCCTTGAAAAGTACATGTAACTGTGACAGTACTTTGGCAAATTGTTCAATGCGATGTATATATCGCGCGCTGTACCTGGTGGACTGAACATAGGTAAAGTAAAGATCCTCTAACTTTTTTCAACTTTCCCATCTAGATGTATCCAGATCTATCACAGGTAAATTAATTCTAAAATAATAATACATCTTCAGCCGATTAATTTGTCTTGACAAATACTTTTTGTAATTTCATCTGCAGTTTATGTGGAAGATACCACACACTATCATGTAGACACATGCTAATTTTCAAAGTGAAAGGTTGCCATACCTTTGGAATAAAGATGAGTGCTAACATTACAGTAGTTGTGAGTTGAGACCTTAGGAAGTACATCAGATAAATCCAGTCGGGAGCAACCTTGCCCCATATGATATGTCTGTGAACAACAACAGATAAAAATAAATTGTGAATAAAGTGAAAATATTTACCAAAGATACTAAGGAACTCTTTAAAAGCTTGAAGTAGAGTACAGGTTTTCTGCATAGGCATACATGTACATGTAGCTGCAGGATGATTTCAAATGTGTTTAGCAGTGACCTGTACAGCTGAAGCGAATGAAATGATCGGATTACTTGTATGTATGAATTCTGAGAAATTCGACTGAAACATTGTATCAACTACTTGTCCATTTTGGATTTGTTTGAATATGAGTGTAAAATGAAATACCTACCTAGTAATGTAAAGAAATGTGCAGAAGATTGTCTCGTTATAAATGGCTATGCTGATGTAGCGAGTCTCGTGAAATTCACTTGGGGCTGCACGAACTGAGTAGCAAAGGTAGATTCCAAACAGCAGAAACAGAATCTCAACTGAAAATGAGGAATAGGATTCCATTATTAAAATGCACACATACTGTAGGAGTCATGGGAATGGATTTTTATTTATCTTTTAAGTATTTAGTTTGCCCATTATGACTAACTGAGCACTGGGAGTTCGGTTGTGCTCCAAGCAAGTGTAAAATATTCACAAGCTTGCTTTGGAATGTTTGGTTGGACTCAAATCAGTGACCTTCTGATTGCCAGTGCAGTTGTCTGAATCACTCAGCTGTCGACGTTCATTAAGATCAGCCGACTGGTTAGAATCCAATCTATATGTATCAGTCATAAAGCAAAATTGTTAATTTTTTTTCTGAATTCACTCATTTCAACCACATAATCAGGGTGGATCAACCGAGTGGTTAGAATCAAACTTCAATCATAACGTAAAATTGTTAATTTTTTCTGAACACACCTATTTCAACCAAATAATCAGGGTGGATCAACCAATTAGTTAGAATCAAACTTCAGTCATAACATTGAATTGTAAAAAAAATTTCTGAACTCACTTATTTCAACAACATAATCCCACCACTCCATCATACATATGCTGAACTTCATGCCGGAATCCGTCAAGCCAATGGTCACAATGTCCACATTGCAGTTCTTCACACTCTGCACGGAGAAAGTTGTCCAGGCCGCCAGATAGCCGGTCAGCACAATGACTATAAGGAACAGCCACTTCAGGACGTCGCGGTCACGGACCAGGACCCGTGTGGCTGACCGAGTTTGGAAGATGGCAAGCTTTCTGCAAATCAAAAGAGCAACATCAGTGACAGAGTTGCATGTTTGACAATTCTGGAATTCAGCTTCACGACCTTTTAAAGCTGGTTGATCACTCTTCACTTCAAAGATTCCATGACAGTTTGTTCATCAATATGGATCACTGCTTTCTCTACTGTCTCAGCAAAAACCTGTTGGAGAGTGGAACACTCGTTCTGTGGCTAAACCAACATTGTATTGTTCTATAAATATTTTTCTAAACAAAACCTTGTCCTGGTCCCAGTACAATTTTGGTTGGTTCCATTTTCATCTTCCATTATTTTCATAGGATCACAAACAGAGATTTTCAATGTAGGTTCTTTCGACAGGTGTTTCTTTGACACACCATTTCAATTCATTTGTATTTGTTCTTGTGTTTGTGTACACCCGTTACTCCTCACTCAATACCCCATCTCCAAGGGTGGATAGGGAAGCAGGCAATAAAACAAAGGTGCCCTTTTTGTTTTTTTTTTAAAAAGAATGAGGAAAGGCTGTTGTTGGTCTGATTCACTTCCATTTCTTCCAAAAGCATGTACATTGTAAAAACCCCAAAATGTGGCCTCACGCTACATACATGTATAGAGAGGCCATAAAAAGTAAGACAAAAAGTTCAGAATTAACCCCCCCCCTAAATACCCCAAAGTTCCACCCCCCCAATAAAATTTGGGGTGTGGATTCACCCTTACCCATCTTCAATTCCTTGGTATAGATTCTGCTCTCCTGTCACCCGTCATCGATAAATACCTCCAGATGGTAACTGGTTATACACATATTACTGAACATCTTGAATCAATAGCAATGGTACTATCATGTGGGACATCATTATAGAAGTCATAACTGATGCAGATCGAGAAAGCAAACATGTCCATCGGCTCACTTCTTTCAGGTTTGGTAGTCCATACATGTACACTGTACATGCTTTTTAAGTTGGTATACAGTGTACATGTACCGTACCTCAACTGCTTGCACAGTCATTTCTTACAGGTGCCACCTTTTACTTACACTGCACATTACCCATAGGGCACATGTACATGTATGGCTGTGCCAGTATTATAATACATGTTCACAACCTTGTAACGCTGAATAGTGGAATGATCAGGAAATCTCAAAACTGCAAGCACCACTACCTTAAATATGGTATTGAATTAAAGAGACCTACAGGTATATACATGTAAGGGACCTAATGTTAGAGACATAAACCAAAGTGACTGGATATGGTTAGAGCCCTATAATGTTTTGTGGAACCCTCCCCCCAATTTTTTTTTGGTAAAATTACGGTTTTACAGTACGGTCTGATACAATGATTTACATTATAACTGCTTCATGAAGCAAGACATGGTCATAAAGACAGCTTCTTGTAATGTGGTGCATATTGTGTCAAATGTGTTCTGGCTCCTAAAATAATAACATGAAGAACTGACTATATGATTATATGTACCGGTAAGTATGTCTTCTCAAGTTCAATTGTGTGAAATTATCAAATTGATTTCACATACTTAACGTCCATAATGTTAAAATGTAGTCGGGGTTCTCGGGGCCTGGAAAAGTCACGAAAAAGTCATGGAATTTGGTAAAAATGACAAAAGTCACAGAAAAGTCATGGAATTTTTCAAACACTACTGCTCTCAGAAATAAGTGCAAAAATGTGTTATTTTATTTGCAACTTTAAAAGTCCAAAGAGTCCAAGAAATTGTGGTATTGGGTCATGGAGTTTCATAATTTGGTCACGGAAAAGTCACAGAATTGAACTGTTTTTTAGGTGCAGGAACCCTGTGTAGTGCCCGTAATGTTCACAATTTGATGTTTCCATATCATACCTTATTCACCAAGGTATATGTACTGTACGTACATGTACAAGTACATATAACCGTGTCTTGTTATGTGTACATACAGTATGTACATGTATACTGAGGCCTATACATGTAAACTTGACTTGAACTAGATACCATTTTTGTATTAGAGATAAACTTTCACCGTAATTACTTAAGCTTGTTTTTTCAAAGTGCTCATAGCCTCTGAATGTACGTAATACTGGAATTCCCCAAATACATGTACGTATGATATGATGATTGTAACATGAATTTATATGGCATACCATTTTACTCTTTACTTCAGCTTCAGTTCTTTGTGTTCTAATTTTGGAAAGGCTGGCATTGCACAGCTTTCACCGTTGTAATTAAAGGGCTGTGTGGCAAGTTGTGGTCATCAGTAGCATTGATGATTTTGACCAAGTTATTTGGGGCCGATTTATTTTGGCTGTCAGGGATGGTCTCGGTAGAACCACGTACGGTCCCCGGGACATCACCATCTAAACTGTGCACATGCATGCTTGACATTTCCAAAACTGACAGCCTGTTGACATTGCTAAGTGCTTAAGTGTTGCCCTGATTCAGTCCACAAGTATAAATAGAGAAACAGTATCAAGCTGAGTCAAAGAACTATGGAAAATGGCATTTCCCTTCCTTTAAGGGAGTAGTTTTGGGTTTGGTTACTTGAAGGGGGCAGTCGGGTTTGGAAAGTAAACCTCTCCCCTTCAAAAAAGGATATGCAAATATACCTGTATTTACCTTGGCTATGCATGTAATTAATGCATATCCATGAGGTAAATAAAAACACAAGACAACATTCTCCACATGGGATGTCAGAAGCTTCCCCTCAGAGTAACTGTATCTGTAGATGTCATCTTTATCAATTCCACCATGCAAGGTTGACGTGGTTGAAATTGAATGTATTGAATTTAGAAATGTAAGATGATGGTATGAGGGACCACTCTGACTTTTAAATTCCTATTTACCTGAAGTGCAACTAAATAAGAAACTCTCCCTGGGGAAAGTCATGTGCCGAAAGTAATTTCTTAGCGTAATAAATCATGAGTGTGTGATACACATGGGTCTGTACATTGTAGCTGGGGGCAGTTTGCGAAATCAAAAAGCTAATTTAATTTCATCCTCCAAGCCAAGAGAGATCAGTCATTTGGAAGTGTTATATTGACAGCCAAATATCCAAAGCTTGGGAAACCGCTGGAGTGTTATGCACTGAGGCAGAAATTACTGGGCAGAGCTTACCAAGTAATGAACAGTACATTCTGTTAATGTACATGTATAAATGCATTCTGCAGAGTGCATTACTGTCGGTAATGGACGTTTTGATTAAATGGTGTGTTCTCATACTGTATGCTGTTCATGACGATTAAGCTGTTTGAAGAAGGCTGCATTATTACCCTCATCTTGGGCATTGTAAAAGTCGTGGCATGGTGTCTTTTTATTTCAAATAAACATCACAAAGTCTTTCTCCCATGTTTCCTTATTTAAGGAAGAAGGGTTGGTCATGAAGGACCGTTGTATAAATCTTGGGAGCATCTTTCACATTGTTACTTTGACCATGCTTGTTGTGTCCATCATTCGTATTTCTGTGTGTATCTCATTATCAACTTTCATTATCGCTTAAGCAAAAGGTGACAGCCACATGCTTCTTTATCCATATCACTGACGCAGGTTTCTGTGAAAAGCAATGAAGCGGCAGACCCACAATTCCTTCATTTTTGTCCATCATTCAACAATATGACAGGCCATGCCATCTCCTCGGCAAGTACACTTACATATACAATATACGCACTCTGCCAGGGCTTGCTCAATAAACAGAGGCGGAACTCATTTATTGAATTGTGCTGACTGATCAATGGCATGTGATGAGGCAACTGAGATGCTATCAATCTCAATTTCAACCCTGGGAGATTTCCAAGGTTTTATGCATCTTATTTCCACTGATTGTAGACAGGTAGAGTCATTCTCAGGTTAGTCGAGAAGCGTTGTGTGATTATACATGTAGCTACATGTACATGTAATTGTACATGCACAAACTACGCATAAATTGAGTTGTACATGTACCACCTACATGTAATCAAGACATCAGTGGTCATATGAACCATGCTTGCTTTTCCAAAGCTGCAGTTCCTCTCTGTTGGAGAATAGCACAATTCAGAGGCTGCAAATAATGCAGAGAATGTGCACTGACCACTCGACGTTACTCATGTGGAGTGCACATTCTGCAGGAGAGTCACAAAAACCAAATCTCTGTGACAAGATGTGATATGAGTCAGAGGGCAAGATAAAATCCACAGTGAAGAATCCAGCATCACCAACTGCTCATCAGATGTACATGTACGTGCATGTCAGCCAGGGTTTTTAGAAATTTAGCAGACCTTTTACAGAAATGTGACAATAGACCGTATTCACGGCGTCCCCAATTTCATTCGTATTCCTGAACGTACAGTATGAATTTGAAACCCTTTATGGGATGGTACCAGGTAATGTGGGGGGGTCACAATGAAATCGTAGAAGATAGTCAGGTTCTTTGAATTTAACGTTTTCAAATAAATACACTACGTTGGGGAATACGACTGAAATTGGGGACGCCGCGAATATGGTCTATTAACACGTATGTAAACCTTCTCGTAGAGTTATTTTCATTTTGAGTACATGCCATATATAAGTTTTATGTTTGTTTCTCTTTATACTAGTCCTACCCCAAACATATCTGGCAGACTGGCAGTCGAATCCAAAAATATTTGGCAGACTGGCAGTTTAATAAAAGTGCATTTTCAGGCAGTCAGGAACAAATATTTCAGACGCACATAGTGCCTTCACTTGGTGTTTACTTAGTCATGATAGACATTGAAATTCAATTACTTTTAGCAATCCATTTTGATGCCAATGTTGGGATTTTGTAACGAATTCTGTTTTTGCCAGAATCAGGGTTGTAATAAAATTTGTAGATGACCACAAAACTCTCTTCCCCCCCCCCAATTTAAAAAAAAATTCTCACGCCTTGGTATTTAAGAAACCACCCCTATATGATACATCCACGTACATGTACATGCGCTCATAGGCTATGAAAATGATGCCTATTTGTGGAATTCTGCGAGTGCATCATGTATACATGTATACATTTAACGTCGGATGAACTGCATATATACCACACCCAGCCAACATTAATACAGTGTAATGGAGTCTTGTGCATCGTCTTGAGGAGTATGCTGGCACAGTTGGAATTGTGTATTTCTTTCACCTTTGGAGAACGACGGGATTAGGGACAAAGCTAATCCATGGATGTTTGCTTTTTATCCAAGGAAAGGAACTGACAGATAAATTGCCATGACGACTGTGGCAGGTTGCCATGGAGGTGGCAGTTTTATTGTGCCTTAGAGACTGCCGTACCCTCACAGCAGTGTGATCAAAATTGATAACTCTTTCACAAACTTTATTTGTGTGGAAAGGGCCCAAACAAAGCAATCCCAGCTTGGCAAGTTAAAGCTAAGGGATTTCTGAATGAGACATTTTTCACGATCATTATAATGTTTTGCAAAGTAATTCCAAATGTACACGTAAAGGCTTTTGCATGGATTTTCATGTTGCAAGAGTCATCTTCAGCAAAGTGTCTTGTGATGTGTCTTGCAGATACTGTCTTGTGATGGGTCTTCAGGATAGTGTCTTGTGATGGATCTTCAGGATTGTGTCTTGTGATGGGTCTTCAGGATTGTGTCTTGTGATGGGTCTTCAGGATAGTGTCTTTTGGTGGATCTTCATGATAGTGTCTCATGATGGGTCTTCGGGATAGTGTCTTGTGATGGGTCTTCATGATTGTGTCTTATGATGGGTCTTCTGGATAGTGTCTTTTGGTGGATCTTCAGGATAGTGTCTTGTGATGGGTCTTCAGAATAGTGTCTTGTGATAGATCTTCATGGTAGTGTCTTATGATGGGTCTTCAGGACAGTCTTGTGATGAGTCTTCAATATAGTGCCTTACTATGCCCCTGTAAAAATTAAGATCAGTTGTGTCTTTTGAATGATTACAGTTCATTACTTCAGACATTACAGTAAGCAGATACATGTATTTTGTGCTAACAGCAGTTTTTTTGCCATTCTGGGGACCTTTTTTACCTGTATATTTTCAGGACCAGCATGCCATAGGCTATGGCGAACCCCCAGCCGCGCAGCCAGCGCTGCATGAAACACACCAGGATTGAGGGATGGAAGAACATAGCGGCCAGCTCGGAGTACAGTAGGAATGCCCCCAGGAGCACCACCACCAGCATCCACGGACTATCACAGTTTATCACCTGCAAGGCCAAACCAGATATAAACTGTATTATTGATCCAGCTCCGTGTTGATCCAGCTCCGTGTTTTGTCCAAAGCTTTCCAGCGCACTCAGCATTGTCTATGGTGTTGTTTGGTCGCTTTACACCTGAACCTAAAGACTTTTACTCCAAAATACTCTGGGGAGTCAGGTTGGTGTAGTGGTGCTTCCTTTGCCACCCACCTCTGCTCACCATAGCTTCATTGAATCCGGAATCCCACCCAGGTCGACAGGTGGATAGGGTTTTCAGTCCGTAGTTGATTCTGTGAGATTTCCTGTAATATTTGTCTGGGGTGTATCTCCTACCCCTAAAACGGAGAATTTCTTCATTGTCTCATCCCCCAGTGGCTGTATTGAGAACTGTTTGTAACTGAAAGGGCTTTACCCTGGCAAAATCAAGAACATTGATATTCTGTGAACAAGTATCTGCAAACATGTCCCTGTTGATGTCCCGGAAGATGGTTCAGCTTGGGTGCATCGTGTACAATGTTGGACATCCCCCATGTCCCGGGTACTAGATGTCTCGGGTACAAATTGTCCTGGGTGTGAAATTTTGGGTACGAGATGTCCCGGGCACGAGTTGTCTCGGGTACGAGATGTCCCGATACCCATCATGTACACCTTTGAGGACATTCTGATGATTCTTTGGATGAAAAAAATTGAATAAGCCTGACGGAAATTACTGCGTTTACAGTGTTTTAATGAAAAGTGTACGTCTTAAGATAGATCATAAAGCCTGTGTTGTGCACACAGGAAATGCTTTGAAGGATGGCATTAATTAAGCATACACTTCATTGTGGTGTAAAAGATTAGGTCTTGCAAAAGACGTTTTGACAGCTTTGTTGCAGTTGTTTTAGACGTATAGTTTCATCAGTAAGCTTTTCTAGAAATTCTTCTGAGAGGAGGGTCATCGCATTGACTGAACCCGTGTGAGAAGAAAAGCTTGGCCCTAGTATTTGAATCGCATACTTTGGATGAAAATAATTTCATGTCAAGTAAATGATTAAAACCAGCTGCTTGTAGAACCAATGGCAGTTAAACTGTGGCATTAAATTGAAACAACAACCCTTGCAATCCTGTTAGAAATAAATACCATTTCTGGTAAATCCTCTGACAATTCATCTGACGCCAGCGCTTCGAGCTGAGCATTCCAGTAAAACGGCTAATGACCTGGATTAATTAAAGTGGTCAGAGTGGCATTCTGGCATCGCCGTGAAGGGTTACTTTACATATTTGCACTGAAGCGACTGCTTAAATTGACTCATTAGTGATTTGCTGTTAGAATTTAATTGTCTAATGTTACAATGCGCACTCCGGAATTGAAATGCGGAGATATTGTAAAATGCACAATGAAATAATGAGCATTTTATGTGTGGTATTCAAACAAGAAACGAAGTCACCTCCTCCTGTAATGAGAAGTAAGCCTTTCTAAAAGCAACTTCAATTACCTTCTGATTTACATGTACGCTTTTAATTTGGATTTTGCATACAGAACTTTATAGATGTTCTTTTTTAATAAACCCTGTGATTACACCCCTTCTTAGCCCCCCTCCCCCTACCTGTTTTCTATATTGACAGTTGCAACCTCGTCAGCCGTATGCACGCAGTCACTATTACAGAAAGCCCGGTGTCAACTTGGTGATGATGATGACCCTGCCAGGTATTAGTTATGTCAGCTATCTGAACAAAGAATCTGTTCCCTGCACCACCTCCTGGGGTATCTACCCCTGTTTTCCCCTCACCTTGAGGTTTTTGTACTTGAAGACCACCGCTGCCAGCACCCCCGTCAGGAAGATGCAGATGCCCTGGACGGACAGTATGAGTATCCGCAGCAGGATGTCGTTCTCCAGGAAGCAGGGCGAGTCATCCATGCATGTCTCGCAGCCCTCTCGACACGGCAGACAGGCGAAGCCCTCCTCGTACATGTTGGGCTGGCCCATTTGCATCAGGTGGTACTCCCGTTCCACGTCGGTGCCTTGGAAGTGGTCCCTTGACTGGCTCTTATCCGGGAAGTAGAAACTGTCGCGACAGACGCACATGTAGGTTCCACTCTGAAATCCCATACCAGGGATGTGCACGCACTGTCGGGAACAAAGTTCAACGTGGGTTGTTAAATGCGTATACCCGGAAAGGAATAGATGTGTATCCTTATTGATAATGTTCGGAAATTGAAAACACGAGTACCGTAAAATGAAGTCTCGTGACATCAAAATTTTCCTAGAAAAATAAGGCATGGCCAGCATATGTCATGATGTCGGAGGTAGTAAAGCACCAAGGCATATTGGAAACTTGACCACCTAAGTCATTAATCTATTCATCAGATTTGTTTACTGAAAATCTAAGACTAGATAGCTATTCATTTAATGTTTTTTAATTTCTCATGGACATGAAATCGTGTGAGTTAGTAGATGAGTGAAACAGTACGCATTTTCATGAGTACATGTAAGTACTACACATTGGCTACTAGGCCTACCTACTTGCAGTGGCTGGTGTGTTACATAGTGCACTGTGATTGGTTCATAATTTATGGCAAGTATTCTTGGGTGAAGTTGCCCGAATGACGGTGGTTTCTTGCTCTGAGAGTAGATTTTATTAGCGCGTTGGAAAGGAGAACAAAGATGTCGCATACTGTGATCTTGAGAAAGTGAAGTTTGCGGATGTTAATGAACTTAGTGAAAATTGCCATCGTGGGTCTTTCTTTCTCTTCCCTATCTCTCGTAGTTGTAGTGTCTCTTGACTTGTTGCTTGGTTACTGGCATTATACATGTATGTAGGGCAGGTTACTAAAGCACGCGGACCCATGTGCTCCCGGTGGCTGAGTTCGAGCACTGTGCCGGAGTGAGCTGTTTTCTACCGAGGCTGAGAACTTCTGGCTACATGCAAATAGACCTGACCGCTGTATCATCCCGAAGCATCCACCATCTTGAGTACTTGTACTGTAAGATTTCGCTCCATCACGGTGTGATTGTGAACAAGCGTGCTACCCACGGGAGGAGCAAGCGGCTAGTTGTTAATCATTAATATGAAGACCATTAGGTGGTCAGGGCGTTGGTTTCGTTACAGTTAGTCACTTCAGTTTTCTATGCATCCGAGAGAAAAAGAGCAATTATTTATTCGTGACTTACAAACGTAGAATGATAGTGTTAACTTTGGCAATGAAACTAATTGCCGTCTTGTTATTTTGGTTGAAATTTACTAGCCATTCATACACACTTTGAAATCTTGTACTCGAGACCAACTGGTCACACATATTGGAGCTGTGTTCGTTTGGAGAGCCAGATTACTTGTTGAGATTCACATTGCACATGTATTCTGCTCTGTTGCCGTGGTGCCATGTGATGCAGTCTCTCGGAATAGGATGTAGATGGCATCTTCAGCAGCAAGTCCAGATCAGCCTCAGCGATAAGTTAGAGGAATTCATCATGTGCTGCCAATTACAGCCCCGCTCCTATCATAGTAAACAGTCGCTGCGCAGCCCCACTTAAAAAAGGGGATTTGGAATTGTTCCACCACGTGCTTGAACCTGATTATACCTAACTCCATCCGCTCCTACTTAGCTTGTGCGTGTTGCCTCTTCCCTGGCGTGATGCGTTGTCAGTGTCGCTCGAACAACCTAATAACAGACGTCATCTAACCAAAGACTGGCCGTCGGTTAGTAAACAAGGATAAAGCACAACGCATCCTTGGAAGCACCTGAATACCTTTTTCCCTCGTAAGGTAATCCTATTTGACGTGCTGCGAGTATAACTTTAATAGACCATGCAGAAAATCATTTTGCTTGAATGCAATGGGGGCAATTTCAGCATTGCCGGTTTCACCTGCCTGGTTGTGTCGGCAGCCGACTGCTGTTTTTTGCCAATTTGCTGGAAAAAAATATTGTGCCTTTCATTGTGCGTATACAGGCAATATACAGGAAAATTTTATGGGAACTCTTTCTTCGAATGAAAAATAATCTCTGTAGGCCTACAGAGATCAGCAATGTGTCAGAAGTTAAGGCAAGTGGGCGGGGAGTAAGGTTGGCGTAGTGTTTCTTTCCTTGCCTTCCACCTCCGGGGACCTGGATTCGAATCCGGATCGGTCCACATGTGGATTGGTTTTTCAATCCCTACCAGCGTCCGTGGGTTTTCTCCGGGGTTTCCTCCCACCTGTTAAAACTGAATATTTCTTGGATGAACAAATATAGATAAATCAAGTTAAACCGCACGCCAGCGTATTCGCGTGATCACGACTCATCTGGAAGGTTTCCACTAATAACGGAGGCACTATGCTAGCTATAATGTTCAAATGTCATGTGCCAAATCATTTTGTGCAATGGGCCTTTCGTTCACAAATATTCACCGCTATTTTGTGAGCATGGGAAACCAATGTTTCCCGCAGTGCCACAAAATGCGCAGCTACTGTACGCTTGTTTTCGAAAGGGAGATGCTTTCGTTTGTATGCTAAAGTGCTATTCAGTTAGGCTCAACACCCGGTTTGAATAAACCTTTTGCGAGTGAAATTTTAATAAAATCTGGTACATGGAGTTTGTGAAATTCACGTGAGCATAATTTGAATTCTCCATACTAATGAGACTGTTACCATATCTCGAGATTCGGGGCAAGCTTTTGCTCAGTTGCATAAGAGACGCCTTGCACCAATACACTGTTTTCAATGAATAAGAAGAGCACAAAGGAACCAGTCCATTCCAGAGATGACGGTCGCTATGCAAAAGCTTGCACCGAATCTGGAGTTATAGCAACAGCGTCTTTAGTAGGGAATTTTTCAACATGGTGCGACGCACGAGCTCAAAAGTTGTTTTGAACCTCAGCGCATGTCTGAGGACTAAAGCTGATGACATCATTAGACCAGAAGTTAAGTAGAAAGAGCTAAAATGTTTCTGAAAAATGCTTAAAGAGAAAATCGTTGAAAATATTTTCTGGACTTGTCTATCAAATGATTCATTAATGTAGATTTCAAGTTTTTCCAGTTTTACAATGAACTCATCAGATATCACATAGCAGGTAATTAATCATTAATCTTTTTTAATCTTCGAAATCAATGTAAAATCGTGAAGCATCTTCTTATTTAAACTATTTCTGTGACGTTACTACTTTGTTCAAAGTGTAGATTATTTTTACGAATCCATAGCAAACTGTAGATTCATACATTACGAATCTACAGTTACTGTTACACGAAAATTCTGTAGATTTGTTACGAATCTACGGTTTTTGCTGTCCACAATAATTGTATTCATCACGAATTAAGTTAATGTTTTACAAATCTACAGTTGTAGTAGATTGGTATCGACGGGGAGGGTATCCTCACTTCCACCCCTCCCCTCGATTATTTTATTTGAAAGTCATAAAAGATAACTTGCTTTCAAAAATTTGTGAGTCCCTATTAAAAGAAAATTGTCCAAATTGGACTAGTAACGTCATAAAATATGTTGGATTAGCATTTTCCGTTTGTGTTTGTTGCGAAATTGCCTGTAATCGCTTAAAATTGGTGGATATAATAAGCATCAGGCAGTACACGACTTGACTGAATACCTGCTTTCTTGTTGCATTAAATTTCTACGGTAAATATAAACTTTAAACTCACTGTTCTCCTTTATCACAATTGTTCTCATCATGATGGCATTGAACTACAGTTGGACGATTTTCTGCCTAATCACTTAGCGTTTGTTCATCGCACGAAAGCTTTTCTCTTGTTTGTAACTAAAATGTTTGAATATTTACTTGATTTTTCAGTACTTTGTAAATTATTCACATTGACCAACATTCAGGAAAGTATATGAATAATCATTTATTCATTTCAGCACATCATGAATAAAAAATGCTAATTAGTAACGCATTGGTGTGTAGTAGGAGCGAGTGTGTTTGAATGGCCAAAGTATGACCCTGCGCATAATGCACTCGCGATAGCAGAGATACTACACTTCATACAAACTGTCATCGTCGTTATGATGTAGGATCTTACCCCTTGCAGTGGCTTGCAGCTGCAGGGGGTTAAGGGACACCGGGTGGCGCACCTGCCCGCCTTCTGGTATTCATTACCTTCCATGTCCGCCAGTGATACATCACTCTGAATGGAACCTCACTGTCAAGAAACAGTCCCGGACCTGAAAGTGCTTTTCCAAAAGGCACCACGGCAGAACAGAGTGACTTGCTCCCAACATAATCCCGGACCACACAGCCCAGCCTTGATGCAAAATGCATGCTGCGAATTTTTTTCTTTTTCTTCTTTTTTTCTTCTTTTTTTATTGCTAGACGCTTAAACCAGTGACCAAATATGGCGCCGATTGCATCAAGCTTATTTCCACATCTCGTGTGGAGAAGAAGGCCTGCATGGGCTAAAAAAGTGACTTCGATCGACATTCAGAAAATGTCAGAAATGTGCTGTGCGTCATGTCAGTGATTAGACTTGTAGATGTGACTCAGCCAGTGACTTGATTTGGTCGCGTGGCAAAGTGTGTCAACTGCTACTCGGAAGAGCGATGATCCAGGACCCACGCGCATATAGAAAAGAAAAAAGACTGCCCCACTTGCAACCTCACACTACAGTCTATTCAAATGTTGGGAGCCATAAAAACAGCGCCCTCTGTAGCGATTGGAACAAAGTAAAGTCCCCGTCCATAAAATTATTATTAATTTTATTACATTATTATTTTAAGTTTAAAAAAAAATTAATTTCGGTTCAACATGTGCTTTTCTCCATTCAAAAACGCTTTTTCCGTGTAATGCAATATAATATTGCTCGAAATGTGACGCCCATGGATAGTGGGCGGCACAAAGTAAACTGCAGAATTCTGTTGCTCCATGTTGGTCATTTCGGGGATTCCGACTACACTTGCTGGCTACGCAATGATAAGTTTAAAGTCCACTCTCTGTCAACCTTATAAGACGTGTTTGCTTACTCAATTACGTTGTCCAAAACCTTTAAACAAGGTCAGTTTGTTTTGTGATAGAACCAGTGTTGTAGTCGAGTACTTTCCGAGTACCAACGTTCTCCGCAAAATACTGAACTGGGTAAGAGGGAATACAGGCAGAGTGCATAGGCATTTGATGGTAAATGTGCAAAGGTAAGATTACAAAATAAATGTCAGACTTCAGACACTCCCAGTTGTGTAAAATTTCAGTTTTAAGGAGAAAAGTACTTTTAATCAAACAGTGATGGTCTGAAGTCATCATGTTGCTTTGTAATCTTACCTTTATGCATGTACCATCAAATGCCAGTGTACTTCAGCTTTGTTTCCTCCTTACTAGTTAAATATTTGGTAGAGAACTTGGTTTTCAAAAAGTACTCGATTACATCACTGGATAGAACTTTGGCCGCACATTTGTTGTGTAAAATAGTTGCTTGAATAAATATGCCGCCTTCCCCGTTCCTAAAACGATCATTTAGCTCACGATTCTTCCTGCATTTCTGACTCTCATTAGGCAAGTTACGGCCAAGCTTCAAATTCACCGGTTTTGTGTGTTTCATCCAATCGTGTGACCTTCGAGGGATTGACGGAGCCGGTGCAGTGAAGCGGCAACCGTGCGACGTCTCAACGCCGGGGCTTATCTGCCAACTCGAGGTCCATCCCAGTCAAACCGGTGCGGTACCGTACCTACGCCACTCGATCGAGCCTGATGCGTTCAAATCAATTTCATCCATAGCAACTCGCAAGCTGCAAATCCTATTAAATTGTGTTACTACTCCTAGCGTCCGACCTTCGGTTTCTCCCTTCATTCGAGCGTGTTTTGTGCCCCCTCCTTCACCTTAGGAGGTTCGACGCAACTGTTTTCCCTTTAATGAAATGTTTGGTTTTTGTTTCGTGTGGGCTGACGCGCGCATGGAGACTCTTAAAGAGCCGGATGAATGCCACATAATGGCCTCTATAAAAACTGAAGGTTTTATGCTTAGATGCGTAATTTGTCATGTTTTAAATCATATTAAGATTTAAACCCATTAGGTGTAAAGTACACCATGAAGTATTTGAAACTGAAAAATTATAGGCATATGTCATTGTTAATAAACGATGTTTTGAGAACGTGTAATTATAACTTTTCACGATCATGCATTTCCAGAAAGAACAAACCATTTATGAATTCTTAAATGTTGAGGTGTAGCTTTTACGTGCCACTGTTCATCCTGCAAAACGCAATCGCTCCAACGGAAAGCTGAACCATCAAACAAGAAACCCTTGCAAAACCTTTATACGTGTGTGATGCATTCCTGTAAGGCTCTAGGGGAACATGTGATCAACGTTGAGAATTATTTCAGTCAACATTCGACAAAATTGTTCACAGGAAACGTTGGAATTCGAGACTTTTTACTACTTACACCGACATTTTGTCCAACTCGAGATCTGTTAACACAAAGCATATACGGTGACGACAACATATTCTCAACACCTCAGATAATGGACTAACATCGGTTTTAAAAGAGTATTCTTTTCTTGGCAGAAGTAGGCCACCCACATTTGATTGCCCATGAGCACCGATGAATACTGAAAATGTGATCGAAGAATATTACTATAAATGTTTGGCTAAAGTGGCAATGAAACCCCATAATCTCATACTGCCGCACTAGTAAGAAACACACTGTTGTCGATTTGTAGATAGCCTATGGGAAAGATTGCACTTTTTATCCAATCTAATCGTATTGGAGTTACATTTTATGGTGAAATCGACTTTTTTCTTTGTACCCATTGCAAATGGCGCCACTGTGTGTATCAATTGTACCAAAGAAGTAATTCAATTCATTTTGATAGGAAGTACTATAAAGACAAATATAAGCGATTATTTTAATAGAAACCTGGCTGAATAGAGCCTCTGGAGTCTTTCATCCTCAGTGAATACAGAGACGTTGCTGAAATTAAAGTATTATTCCCAAGTGCTTGCATTGTGGCATCATTTAATATCATGTTGATTGAAGGTATAATAAGCTTTTGTGTTGGGTAAAATTGTCAAGGAAATGGAAGCGTCAGAGTAGATAATGTTACCAAATTCCACAATTATTTGGCACTTTTATGAATTATGCACGGAGAAGTGTATTGGCAATTACTGCTGTATGACTTATAAATTCGGTCTAGATATTTTGCCCTCTTTGGTATCATTACCACCCTCCCCTACAAGGAAGATGTCTCATCGTTGCCTTTTATAAGGTTGACTAAGACTTTCCAAGGAGCTAATGTGATTGGCTGTCGTTTTTTTTTTCAATTCACTTTTCAGGTGGGCACAAATAGAAGGACATAGACATTCTTGGGTGTAGGACGTTATGATCTTGCGTTAGATATATTTTAAAATGGCTGATCTTGTGTAGTCCCAGTGGAATTACTTTTTTCGCAAACAGTCGAGCGATGGGGAAACCTAACAGTCGTTGGGCGCTCGCGTGTAATGCGTCATCCTCATGGATCTGTGGGACACAATGTGCTATCAAAACATGGTGTGTTGTGATAGGAGTGACCCCGGTGAGCAGAGAGTGGACCAGAAAAGAGGGCGCATGGGCTAATGGGCGGCATGATTACAGTGATGTGGCATTGCACTCTTTATGGCACGACATGGAGAGCACGTCTGAACACCATCCTCTCTTGCAAAGTGAAGAAGAAATCAATCCAAATTCAAACTTTTGCAGTAGATGATTGTTCGTCTCGAATGTTCCAGAAATGCCTGCAGTTGTTTTGCAGGAGATGATCTTGTAACTAAATGTAGGGAGGTTCACCTTTATGCTGAAAGCGCTTTTTAACATTCGACAGCCTTATCATTTGACTTTCTGTCTCTGATTTGTAGAGTTATCTGGGCCTCTGTCCATCTGGCACAACCTTAAATACAATGTTTTCATTGCACCCATATACCCGTCTGCCAACGGCGCCCCACACTTAGGAAAGTAGTACTTATAACCGTAAGGGGTATTTTATATCCACATCGTCTTTATTCCCATTGCAGCGTATTTCCCTTCCTTGTGCACCATATATTGGATATAATGTATTGTGACTATTGTCCAAGTGGCACAATATGCACTTCCGCGGGTTTTTCTTGCTGTCTTATGAAGATAGCACTGTACTTTTTATTAATGTATTTATTTTCCCAAGATATAAATGAAGTGCATTGGGGCTTTGGGTTAATTAGAAGGAGTATATTTTATCATGTGCTGCGCCAACGGACGTGATTTTGTCCAAAGAAACTATAATATTGCACCATCGGAGACAGAGGCAAGACAGGAGACGAATAACACCAATTACCATATAACACTCCGTGCCATACAAAGTAGTTCTGAGTATTGATATGCACCACGTGCCACCCATAATCTAATTTATGAGCACCCGCACATGCACCCCGATTTCGTTAGAATCACCTGTTCGACCTTGTGCAGCATTTACAAGACCTAATTTGACGACATGCCATGCATGACTGCGACAGTGAACTCGGGCTTCCATTCCGCGTTTTGTCAAGTTGTGCAAAATGAGGGTGGGTGCTATATTCGTTACGTGCTCGACTGAGCACAGCGTCACGTGATAGTCAGGTCAGGTTTATACCCTCGAGTCTGACAGTCGCCGGTTTCGTGACCGTTGCTGCGTTGACGTCACTCACGCGTTTTCCCTCAATGCGAATTCGCAACGACTTTCGAGTGTAATGTTTTGAGAGTAAGTTTACCCGCCAATCCGGGGTACTATTTACATGATACAGGTCTACCCATTTCAAAAGAGAAAGAAAACACCGAAAAAAATAAAGCCATTAATATTCAGTAAGTGTGTTTCTGCGCGAACACATTTACACTATTTAACAGCAATTCCCGTTTTATGGACTCTGAACGTTCATGTAAGTAATGTGTTAGCATTTCCTTCTACAGTTACTGACGTGTGCGTTTCATTATTAAGGGTATGTTCACGTTTATAAATGTTCTTCTGTGTGCTTATACACCAATGAACAATGTCCCCAGCGTTCTTGGCCACGAGTCACACGTGCGGCTTTATGTGTGCTGTTAATTAAAGAGCACTGTCAGCCATAGGTTTTTGTTTTGTTTTTTGATGGTTTTTTTTTTTGGTACGTCGACAGCTTTTTGCAACTCAATGCCTAACACCGATGTTTCAATACTTGTGCAAGCATTCAGATCGAGGATGAAATGATTTGTTCGTAGGTGAGTGATTTTTTGTTGACTTAATATGCCTTTACCCAGTGTATGTTCACTCAGGCGCAAGACCCCCTTTTCTGCCCAGTTCAATACTCCCGTGTGTGTGCGTTGCGGCAGTGTGGCTGCATGGGCATGACAGTAACTCGCAATGCTTCGCAGTTAAGCTCTGAGCGTTTCAAGTTAGTCCACTAACCGTGGGTTAACAAAGGTCATCGCTGGAGCTTATCCTCTTGTTGGAGACATAGGAAGTGAATCAATTTATTATTATGTGAAGCACTTTTAACCCTCCTATGCAAAGATGCATTCTCGACAAGATTGTCCTATCAGTCAAATGATCCATATGGTTCCGTGTACTGTGGCAAATCAAGTGGAATGAACTTTTGATTGTCTGTGATTGATACGGCAAAGGAATTAAAGAATATTGGCGATTCACAAAAGTGCACCTCCGAGAGTTTGTAACGCGTTGGTAATCACAGTGCGCGAAATATGTCGATCCATGCGCATTTGGAAAGGGTCGACAGATTTTCCGTGTTGTGATCGGCCAACGCAAACGCAAACTCTTGGAAGTGCACTATTGTCAATCGCCCGTATTGATTTGCGAACCGTCCTCCATGTATTCTGTCGTTTTCCAAAGTTTGTAGCTTTCGTTACTCTACTAGGATAAAACGACAAATACCTTGGTCGTGTTGCTGCATCTATGTGTCCCGGCGTAGACTCCATCTCCATCATCGCATTGGTTGATGTCGATCGATCTAACATCAACATCTACTGTGGCCACGCCCCTGGAATCAATCATTAACAATGCATTCGAAATTAAAGCAATAGGCACATGATAACACTCTGTAATGCCGGCCTCTTAATGTGGACTGGAAAGGATGCTAAGATCGTCTAGCCTTACCGCGTGCAGAGGTCTATTTGGTTGTAAAGGCTAAAGTCTTCCACCGATAAACTTTCTGAGTAATAATACACTAAAGGAAAGTGCCGTCAAAGATGTGTGCACCAGATAGGCCTGTATACGACGTGACAAACGAGTACACGTATCTAGCCAACATATACACGTATCTAGCCAACATTGATTTTCATGGAAAGGAACGCGAGGTTTTTTGACTGGTAACAATTATTAGCCTCAAACTCTGAGGTGGCTTTTAGCTCCGTGTACACTTAAGTGCAGCAAAATTTGGATAATAAGTAGCAATGTTTTAATGAAATTACATCACTGAATGGGAAGAACTGAACATACCCCCCCATCCACCCTTTCTGTTATTTTTCCCCTCTCTCTTTTACATTTTTATTTCCCCGAAGGGCTAGCTCTTTCGAAGATTTTAAAATTGTTAAGAAAATACTGTTGGCGGTAATGCGAGTAAACCTAGCCGGTACCGGAAAACTTAGCTCCCCATCATAACAGCATAATTGAATAAAGACATGTCTGGATACAAGGATAGAATGTAACCCAAGAGCTGTATTAATTTATGTGTAAATCACACGACATGTTTTTAACGCTGTAAGCCAGTTTCTCCTCAAGATGCTGTGGTAGGAAAATAGTTGTATGAGACATACATAAACATGCTTACATCGACTTCAGCGTAAGAATAAGAGGTCTCTGCAGATCTTAAAGATGGATTTTGCAACTGACAAAATTTTTGCAAGTATCGTCGATTTCACAATTTCTCCAATGGTTGTAACCATCTCTGATTTCGCAATTCTCTACTGATCGTGGCATATGTTGGTTTCTGAAAAGGATATACATGGTTAAAACGTTTCATTTGACATCCATTCGCTGTTTGGTGCATATGCGTTGATTATGCTCATGTATGACGGCCGTGAAAGGCTTATCGTGATACTTTGTACTTTTTTTGGCCAATCAGCATTATCGTAATGAGTATCTGTCATTTTGTGCACTACTGGTGGATAAAACGATTGTACAAAGTGCAAAGTTAGAGTATGGAATTCATTTAGTCTCTTATTCTTAAATTGACCAGGTGTCATTTGTCGAATGAAATTGAACTCAAGCAAAAGAAGTTGTTTTTCTGTCTGAATTAGGCGTTCAATGGTTCATTTCCAATCCCGGCTGTTGGTGCTCAGTCAAATGAACTCAGTGACATTTCCGACATTTTGCTGGTATTTTAGGATTGTAGTGGGTAGCAAACTAGTGTCTATTTCTCTCACTAGTTTTAGGACTGACTCCTGATCCATATTCGTGACTATATACCCGTTGCACATTATTCAGGTAGAACATTTAATGTGTGCTTAAGGCCTTTGGCAGTTCGAAGCACGACACGACGTCCTCTTCCCTGCAGCACGCACAAGTACAAACTCGAGCAATTACAGGCAACAACGATTTGGAGTTCATGAGCAGCGCCAAATCGATTCGAGTAAGACACATTTTTGATATTTTCCCTGGCACTACCAGGTAACAAGAGTTATCCGCAGGACATACATTTGGAGTCTTGATTTCGACTCTCTACCAGCAAATAGTTGTGGAGATTGTGTGCGAGTTCATGCAAAGGACAAGGCTGTATTGGAAGCATGTTTTAAACGAAGGACTGTCGCTTATGCAAATTATTTGGTTGTGTAAAAGGTCGCCCCCTCAAACGATTTGAAAACAGTGCCCTGCGAGTTTGGTCTCATTCTGTTGTTGTTCTGTTGTTGTTGTTGTTATTGTTGTTGTTGTTATTTATTTTGGATTTTATTAGCAGTCATCAGTTATTCAAGAAAAGTTGCGTATTAATAGCGTATTAATATGGCTGCTGTAGAAGAGTAAACGAGAAAATCATGTAAACGACTACACACGAACACAGATGCACATGGTGCACTTGAAGTCACTCGGGAGTAGAGTATAATAGCTAGTCCAGGTTGGACGGTTTGGGTTCGAAGGCCAGTGTAAAAATAAGTTTGCATAATATCGGTGGTCATGTATGCCAGGAGTAACAGTCTGAGTCGTTGGAAAAACGCGCTCCTGAAACAGTCGTTTGGTCCACGTGCACAAAGTACCGTCCGGCTTGGGTCCGAGACACCGGGCTCAGCATCCCTGAATCCGCGTATCACGCCGAATTGGGTTTTCTCAAACGGAATTACAGAATATGCTCTCAAGTCGATTACCGCTCCGAAATTATTGCGTGTGCATCGACGCGTGGCTTCAGATTCAGACTCATTTCAGTCGGTAATGGTATAGAGCTGGTCACAGCCATTAAGGTAACGGTGTAAAATGTTGATTTATTTTACCGATTGAATTCGCATTATCATCACCGAGCCGCGCTCCGTGCTGTGTGTGTGGCGCGCAAACGGTGCAATAACAGGTACCCGAAAAAAGTCGTGGCAAAGAGATTTTAAAAATGGGCCAGATTTGATAGTGTGGGATTGTGTGGATATTAGAAGCAACTGGTAGCAACTGGTAGATTCTTAGAGATGGTTTGGCTGTAAGTAATGGCATTTATTTCCTCTTTATGGTAAAAGAGTTTTTTCACAAAATAAGAAAAGCAAGTCAATATAGCTGGCAAAAACTTAAAAACACAGGCTTGTGTAAGGCTAATGAAGAATATAGGAGAAAGCCAGGGTTCTCTACTGCAGACAGGCGCGCTGCAAATGAAATTGATCGTTTCTTTCATACAAGAGGGAAACGACATACACGTGATTGGTAAAAACCTCTCACGCTGAGGGCCCATTCACACGAGTTACCTTACAGAAACAAGAAGTTGACGGATAAATCGATCTGTAAAGCGTGGGTCGGTTTTAAACCGCCCAAAGGAGGTGCCTTTGGGGGTGTATGTGTTAACTGAGCGCACGAGTCTGAGCTGTGTTTGTCGGGGCGTGCTGTAGCTGAAGCTTCATAAAGAACAAAACCACGGTGTCTGTAACTACAGGTAATTTTTAGAGACTTATGGAAACCATTGATTGATTAGCTAAGTAACAGTTGGATAAGGACGACCAAAACACACAATTAAAAGAGTAAATCTAACGTTCTTTACAGCTGCGGAGTATATTTCCAGTCTTGTCAATTCGCACTAGACCAGATCATCACTCTGCGACGCCAGAGTGACAACCCCTTTCTCAGGGATTCAATGTGATCCAGTAGAGTTTCTACATTTCACGAAGCCACGGTGGAAAGCATTAATAGAATCTTGTTTCCCAGCGCCAACATGCGGCGAACCCCGGCACGCCCGGCGGCTTCTGGCCACTTCATAGAGCAAACACGCAGAATTCCGTGACAACATCCATTGGCCATGCGCAGAGATACAGTCCTGATCATATTAGAGGCCGGCTTGTGTCGACGTCGCAAGGGACTCGCTTTGACGTCACCTTTTTCTTTTCTTTTTTTTTTTAATTTAAGTCCAGTTAGACCTATGTGTAAAAGGGGAACAGTGCACGCGTGTGGTGTTTCTGGTCACAAGGTATATCTTTATCTCGTTGGCGGCGTTTTATTCCCTTCTACTCTTGTAGCATAGATTTATCTTGATTCCTGACTACTTTGAGGTTTGAAAGTGCCCCTCCGCAGGGAAATATCCAAGCGGCTTTCTTTTTTGTGTATGTTAACGTTTTGTTGATTCAACAGCGTGTTTTTCAAACAAGAATACACGTATGTATGCTCAATACAAGTTCAAGTTTCAGGAAACAAGCGTAACATTTTAAGGTTTCTGTGCCGGGGTTTTTCATGTCATGCCTGCCATTAAGTTGTCCGCGTGCAGCGTTTTTTCAGTGTTACATTAAGCCCTTGAGTAGGGCCTTTCTCCACCTTGAATTCAATCTCCATATCACCTGCCGTTCATTCGTAACGATTTATTTAGCATGGAGATGATATACATGTATTTAATAAATTATGTCCTCGCGTGTAACATTCCAGTCCAATTTTTTTCACTGACAATGTTTACACGTTGGACTGGCCACGTAAACTCGTTGCGCTTGCATGCCCGCGCGTACCTTTTTAATGCAGGACTTTTAACAAGTTGGTGCGCGGACGTGACTGAAATCCGTTGTAGAGACACACTTAGTCACGAATCTCTGATAGCAACGTTGCGAAAGCTTCAAGTGTACTCGCCAGCTCCCTCGTGAGCTTGGCAATGCATGACGCTGAGATACCCAATTTGAGGATTGCTCAAAGCCACAAGGCTAAAATATTACATACACAATACCTGAAAACCCCCATCATCTCATTGGTGGATCGTTGATCACATGTCATTGAAGTATTCGTTCAATTCAACTGTTACCTGCTGTGTAGAACTTGATTTCACTTGACTGGTCCCTGCCCCTTTTCATGTAGGCCTATCTCATTTCCAGTAAGAAAGAGGAAAACTATGTGGGTACGGAAACCAGTCTAACATTACGCGGTACTACCAGTGCATGGGTAGCGCTTCGGACACGAATCGAATTCGGTGATACATGAAATGTTCCATTGCGCTTGGCTGTGCCTCGTGGAATCGAACAGTCCATCTGTCACCTCATTAATTTGTTCTTACAAACATTTATTATTTGTATGACACACTCATCATCAAACAGCATCCCTTACTAGTGCCAACCCATTTGAATGGTAGCCTGCAGCCGTAGGAGCTGAGTTAATTCGAATAATTCAATATTCGAATATTCCACCTTCAATTCGATCGAGTATCCAAATATTTGGTCTTATACCGACCGGCAGATTGTTGATGATTAAACCATATACAAAACAGTTGCAATAACGCACACGATAGTACATCATAATCACTGAAAAAAACCAGCTTCTCTAGGAGTATATCCAGCCATGATTGAACAACATTTAAGAGATGAATAATACTTCTTGCCCCTGTTGAAA